AATTAAAGAATAAGTCAACTGACCAAAGATCAGGGTCACTGGGTTAATGGTCAAGGTCATTTGGGTCCAAAGGTCAAAGACAAAGTGGATCTCTGACTTTGACCCTGGCTCTTGATGGAGGAGGTATATAAGGTGAAATAAAACAAATCAAAGCTAACAAATGAGTATTGCACCGGTAATTACATTTCTGTTAGCCCAGCAAATATGGAGGTGGAAGGAAACACATCACATCATAGTACATGTAAAATGTATATTTTGCTTCCTTGCGATTCTTTTTGAAGTCCAAATGTCAAACGTCAAGCTCAGCTATATGGGCAGATTGCTTCTTGATGATTATGGGGGATATAATTGCCACAAGACGGGGCCCTTACTGACCTGTCAGTGTTCTAGTTCCTCTTAATTTTATCTGGAAAATTCTTAAGGATGTACTCTTCTGAGGTTTCACAAATTAATATTTAATATTTAACAAATTATGATAGGTATAATAGCAAACACACATCTGAAAAACATGTAAAAAAACTAGATGTCTGTTGTGTGTAGAACATTTTTAACAGGAATTTTTAAAAAATGACCAATTTGGCGGCCATTTTGAAAAAGTGTATTTATGCGAATTTCTTGCCTTTACAAAGGGCCAAAATTTTTGACACTAGATTGATCACTTAAATTGTCATTGTGTCACCATTTTTAATTGTAGCAGGTTCAATTTTGCTGTACAACTTTATAATGTTCAATATGATTAAAATAATATGCAAAAAAGTGGAAAGTTATATATTATTGATATAATTTTTTACATATTAAAGTAACTGAAGCACTTTTGATTTTTGACCTCGAAAAAGGTGAAAAATAGCACAAATAATAATGGGACAAAAAAAAGAAGCACACCGACCCCCCATTTTTGTGGCTGTTTTAGAAAGAGAAACACATTTTCTTTTGATTCATTGAATACTATAAAAAAGTTTAATACAGGATTTTTTTATATCAAACGTTTTAATCTGCAAAAAAGGGTGAAAAATTTGCATTTTTTCATTAAAAAATAAGGGGTAGGGTTAACTAAAATCGCATTTCTGAGTAAAATGAATAAGATTAAAATATTTCACTTTCATAGTATAATATTTTTATCAATTCTACAAACATTCATATACATATCTGTTAACATACGTGGCAGAAATTGTATGAATTTGTTCTGCAAATGGTCAAAATGCGAAAATTCACCTAAAATCACATATTGTGTTAAATTGGTATCTTTGGCCGATCATAGCACAAAAACGAGCACACGGACATGTATTTCTTTTTGCATTTTCTACTATGCCATTATCTCCTTTTTCCAAAAATCAATATAAGAAAAAAAGTTTAATACAGGAATTTTTTGACTTCTCAGAGGTGTACATCCTTAAGCCAAGGTGACTCCATATGTAGAAATATTTGCAAAATTACTTTGTTTTAATATCCAGGTGAGCGATACAGGCCCTCTAGGCTTCTTGTCATGAATATTTCCTCTCATGCAAGCTAACATAGCATTGCTGGTCGCTTTCAGTTGTGAGGATATTAATATCATCTACAATGCCTCGTTTTCATTTAAGTTGAACCTTTGTGATGAATTTATTTCTAACCATGTATTGTTTCAGGCATTGATGGAATGCACAGATGAGACCACGGCCTCACGTCTTTTAGAGAACATTGTGGTAAATGTCACTTCAGCAATATTGCATTTAAATGCCTTATCTAAGTGTATTGTTATTGAAGCGTATTTGGGATGCACTCTGCCACTACTTGTTACCCGAAAATAATCTGTACATTGACAAGTTGTAATTATCGCTTTGAATAAGGTTGTCGATGTATGAGCTTGGAATTACACATTCATTGAATCAATTATCACCATCAAATGTGTCTATTGATTTTCTTTCGCCAACCATAAATATTGACAGCATGCAGCTGATCGCTGTCCACTGTTTCTCACAGATTAACCAAAGCTATTTGTAGTGTACAGGTATAACGTAGCTATTTGCATTTACAGGTGAGACGTGGAACAGGTGTGCTACGAACAACCCGGCGAATCGGCAAGGAAATGTCTCGTAGAATATATTTGTTTCTTACGAGCAGAAACCCGGATGTCATTATCAAATAACACATATTATCACATAATGTACTGTGTTATCTAGTGAATATACCCATGTCATACTTTTTTGCGTATTAACCCATGTAATATGACCTATCAGCCCTGTGATTGATTGTAAGTTTCAATTGTTTCGATGGTGACATCACGCCAAGGACAAGTACATGACGTCACAAACTTACACACTGGAGTCAAAATGGCGGCTTTTTACATTTCAAGGTTGCATGAAAATTGTCGTTTTGCACAAATAAATGCCACAAATCTTGATTATGTGATAAAAAGGATCTTATACTCGTTTTCATTTCATATAATATTTATGAAACTCATCACAAATTTTTCTTTTTAGCTTGCCAGAGGCTCACTAAATTGAAGAATTCTTAAGACTCGTTTCATATTTCTCATATGAAATGGAAACTCATGTAGGATCCTTTATTTCCCTAGGTGGTTATAAATGTTTATATGTCAGTCACTGCAAATACATGTAACAAGAATTCCCTTGGTGCAAATAAAAATGTGGAACTGTTTGAACTCAACTTTTTATTTATCTATAAAAACACAGTAACAACATTATATTGAGATGTCAACTCCACAAGATTTAACACTAAATCCTAAAAATTAACTTGATTTCATACCATACTATTACTACTAAACAATATACAAGTTTTATTACCGAGGCATGTTTTGTAGCATATATATATAAACAGAAGTCAAATCTTCACTGGTACAGGTATATCTTTGCTTTATATACATAGTTATTATATAACACTATTGCCAGTTGCATTTAAACACTTTTATGTACAGGTATTCATAAATACATGTATAAGAATATATTAATCTATGACATGAAGGATGATGAATGACATTGATGGCCAGCTGTAGTTCTTCACTAAATCTGTTGTTCAAGCAATCGGACCAATAATTATAAAGTGATTTCTTCTATGAATTTTTTTATTGTTTACCAAATATTTTGGAAAGTTGTACATCTATAAATGATGTGTTTGCAAATGGTGAATATTTTTTTTCTTCTATTAAATGTAAGGCAACTTGTAAATCCAACTTTATAACATATTTAAATTCGTAATAATTCACCAGATGTATTAATATACACAGAAAACATGATTACTTGCTTTCATCTGGGCTAATAAGAGTGATTTTAAATACATGATAAAATTCATTTCATAATTGTAAAAAATATTTTAAGTTCATTACATGTTAATAATGACATGAACTCGGTACTAGTGCAACCTTATTTTTCCCCAACCTCTCGGTGTTCTCATAAAAAGTGGGTTGTCGGCAAAAGTAGCCTGCTCTTCATCCACTTTGAACCTGGTATTATTTAGAATTTGTATAGGACAAAACTACAGCATGTGAACATTCAACCGACTACTCCTTTAAAACAACAGCTTGTTTTAAAAGCTAGCTGAGAAGAGTGCCTCTTCAGATGTAAAATACACGAGTCCAATACCAAACACTCACATGGGATACTTGTATTATACCTTTATCATGACATCACAATCAGATAACGGTACCATCTAATGACGTTACAATTGAAAGCCTGGCAAAACGTCATTTGACAGACTATGACAATCTTGCCACATAGAGCTATTCGCACATGCTTGCCCGAAAAGTTTTGCACAAATCTTTGTAATTTAGGTATGATTTACCATACATTTTTCCAAATATGGGAAACACTAGTTTGTGTATCTAGTGTTACATTTGCAGTGTCTTTATCATGTTTTACAAAAGTTTTAGTTAAGACGACAGGTGGGAGAGAGAAAAAAAGTCCATCATTTTGTAGGTTTAGGAGGAGCAGAAGTTAAACTTTGTCTTTCCATTCCTACATAAGTGAAAGTAGATGAAAAATAATGGACAAACTTTAGTATTCAAAAGGAACAAAGGAGCATAATTATGTATGTAGTTGGGCTCAAGACCATATTTAAAATAAATTGCAATACCCTGTCTTTTTGAGATACAGATCAGAATAGAAAGTTTGGTGGACGTGGGTTGAACATTAAGTTATGCTCTGGACTCACTTAATTGGTATCAATTGAATTCTAAACAAAGGACAAAAACTAACCATAATGGAGCACAATTTGCAAGTTCGGAACATGACACTCTGCACCTAAGATACATGTACATACAACAATGTGGAATAAGTTTTGGTAAATTCTTTGAAATAGTATTAACACAATCTACATATTGATATAATCTTTTGGACACAGATTATCAATTAAAGACATTTACATAATTTTTATCTGATAATCATGCATGGTGATAGCTTTCTTTATCAATGCCGAATGAATGGGATATATGCCCCAGACAATGTGACTGATTGCCTGACTGCCTGACAGACAAAATGAAAACCTATAGTCCCCACCAGTTGTACCAGTTGGGGACAAATTATTCATCTAACTGCAAGTACAAGTATTCTCTAATAATTGCAGTATTAAGGTGAAAATTTAGAACTGCCAAAGCAACTGGCTACATAGTGATGTGAACAAGTTACTCCTGGAGCAGCATTACCCCCACCTTAAATTTGCTTCTTGCGATTATCTCTATATGTAATGCAGGACAATCTTTTGCATCAAGATTTCATTATGTTCATAGTCAAAACAAATGTATTTCTTCTAATACTTGTTCATACAGTAGGAAGCAGCTAAATGAAAATACAGGTTTTTAAAATATGTTTTTATATGTTTAAAAGGATTCATTCTAAATTACCTTGGCTTTATTATAAGTTAATTAACTTGTCATTTATTTCTTGGAAAATTATGATTAAATTTTCAAACGGGCCACATGATGCAATGCTTTTGATACAAAATGAAGATACTGCATTTATACAAATTTAATCTCCATGGTAACAAGCTGAATATCACACTGTTGTATCACATGGTTCAATTACTGTCCATGTCAGGCAAACATCTGACCTGACATATATTGCAAGGATTCGGTACATCTGAATATTGGTCATTTCTCTTTTCTTAAATATCGATTCCTGTACATCATTAAATAATTGAATAAAATTGCAAGGAATAAAAACTGTATGTACAAAACATACATGTAATATTTTCTGACAGTAATCAACACCTAAGGACGGTATGTTTAAAATCCAAACAAAGAATAACAATAATATTGAAAAACTAACTGAGATATTTGAATACAAATGAACTAGTTATAAACTTCAAGTCTGGCATTTCTTCATTCAGACATCTTTACCACGTCTTCTTAGGCATATAACTTCATCTGTTGTTGGACTTCATCAATGCTATTGACACCGAACTTATCACTCTGAGTCTGCATCAGTCTAAAGATGTTTTGAAGTTGCTGGTGCTGAATCTCGCGTTCATTTTGAACCTGCTCAGGTGTAAGTTCCTCTACAATCTTCTTGGTAGTAACTCGTTGTTTGGCTTTCTTCACTTCACTCTGAATATGTTCACAGTACTCCACAGGATCTATGTCATCCAGGTTAACCGCTCCTACAAGTAAAAAACTTTAGTATGAAACTATACTGTTTATTAACATTGCCAAATGTTAGTTGGTTTTTGATGTCTGAAACAAATCAAATAGTTTCAAGGTCACAGAGGTAATTTACTACAGTAAATTAAATAGTCTAACAAGTTTAAAGGATGATCCATCATTTTAAGAGTATAACATTTGACCTGTAGCTTGACACTGCCTGACCATGACATACCACTGTCGCATAAGTCTGATGTCAATACATGAAATTATAGGAATAATAGCCAAAATATCTTCAAGAAATCTATGTCTATGCTGTATTTAAAAACTTAAGGTCATATTTAAAGATTGCAGTTAACTAATTATATTGCCCAACATAATATGATAATATAATTTGAGGGTCTTATATACCACTTTATCATGTACAGTTTGTAGGTCGTCTCATAGCGGTTCACAAATAATTTGACCATAATTAAAGTCCATACCTGAAATGGTAACCAATATCTCCTTCGGAAACCAACTTGTATTACACTTATTTTAGTGCTTGTGGACAAGGTCAGAGTCATTAGCTCCCCATATCTTTCCATAAAAACACTATTTTGATGATATTTGCTAAAAAGCAGTTCACAGATTTTAATCCAGGTTGTATCTCATTCTCAGTGAAACGCAACAAATTTCTCTTTAAACTGAACATTTCCTCAAAGGACATGCATGGCTTCAACATGATATTGATAATCACACACTTTTAATTTACTGTACATCATTTCAATATAGATATTAATATATATGAAGTAGGAGAGGAAGAGTGATAAAGATATAGCGGTCCTCCTTAAAAGCGTCTTCAACCGACAACAAGTGTCGCCAGACAAAATCTTAAAAAATACTGAATAAAGTAAGCGACATCAGAAGATATGTTGTTAATATGACTATAATACACCTCTGTACCAAATTTCAATTGTATATTCGATAAAATGTCAGAGTTATGATGAATTGAATTTTTACGATCGTGGCGTGGCACATGTGTGTGTATTCGCATACATACATGTATAGTGAAGAAAGCGTCGCCAGATAATATCGTTACAATTACACGCTAAAGTAAGCGACATCAGAAGATATGTTATTAGTTAGACTTTTATTGATATATATTCCAAAATTCAGCTCGATATTTGGCATACGTGTGTGAATAGAACTCAACGTATGAAGAAGTGTCTTCAGACCATATCTCTAAAATTCATCGATTAAGTAAGCGACATCAGAAGATATGTTATTAATGTGAATATGATACACCTCTATTTCAAATTTCACTTAGATATATGAAAAAATGACCGAGTTATCATGAATTTATTTTTTTACTATTGGCGGCTTGGCACACGTGTGTTTATAAAACTGTACAGATTGGTGAAGATAGTTTATTGAATTGTGATTCAATAAAAGAATTCAATACCATTGCACAAAAGATTGATGAGTCGTATGGAACACGTTTAGAAAGATATTGGTCAGAAAAGATTTTACCAACGATTAAGCGCAGGGTTCCAAAAGGTTGGAAAAACAACAATTGCGAATCGATGAATCACATCATCAAACTTCTAAGGGACTGGAAAATATCAAAAGTTCCCGAACTTTTTCAGCGTTTGGATACCATTCAACAATCACAGTACTCTGACGTATGTAGATCATTGCATGGTACCAAGGACTATGAATTGGCCGCGCACGCCCAGCATTTCAAGTTGACCAGTCATGTGGCGAGAATGGTCAACGTTTAATAAAGCACGCAAAGTTGACAAGTTCCTAAAACATGTGTGGAAGAAAACAGACTTTTTAACATCTACGAATGGTATGTTAACAATACTTAAAACCACAGCAATCGCCAAAAAAAACAGGGACGCGAAAACATGTTGGCGCGAATCGCATCGAAATGCACGGTCCTGTTAAACAACAAAAGTTGTAACTTAGTTACCTGCGGACAATTACGCTAAATGAAGAACTTTTTTACGCTTTCACAACACTTGTGTGCCCGCAGGACGGGATTCATGATGTGAAATTAACTGACATTTGACTTTTTTTGAACAGAGAAACAGTTATTCCTACCTATACAGACAAAATGTATTTGATTATATGAAATACCGATATTTACACTTGTGTGCCAGTTATTTCATTAGAAGTTTAAAACGATTTTTCAGCTGTACCTTTACAGCAATAACCATTAAAATTTGGTGTAGTATTCATTTAAAACATCAACATTAAATCGATCAGTCACACAAACATATAACGGACCCCGAGTAGAACCACGTCCAAGTCTGTAGGGTCTGGTAACATGCAAGAGTGTGGCTGAGAGTTCTACAATATAATCCGGTCTAACTGTGTTCACCTATGTGAAGCCCTACCCTAAGTACACATATGTGACACGGCGTATAGCCTCGTAAAATTGTAAAATTAAATACACGATAACTCAATCATTTTTCAACAAATCTACCTGAAGTTTGGTATAAAGGTGTATCATAGTTAATGAATAACATATCTTCTGATGACGCTTCTTAATCGATTAATTTTAGAAATACAGTTTGAAGACGCTTCACAATCTGTAGAGTTCTATTCACACATGTGTGCCACGCCATCGATCGTAATAATACTCAGTCATTTATTCAAATATCTACCTGAAGTTTGGTATAGAGGCGTATCATAGTTATATGAATAACATATCTTCTGATGTCGCTTACTTAATCGATGAATTTTAGAGATATGGTCTGAAGACGCTTTACGATCTGTAGTGTTCTATTCACAGTCACACATGTATGCCACGCTGCCGATCGTAAAAATAATTAAATTCCTCATAACTCAATTTTTTTTAAAATATCGAGCTGAAATTTGGAATATGTATCAAAAAAAGTCTAACTAATAACATATGGATCTTCTGCTTCGCTTACTTTATTAGCGAGTAATTTTAACGATATTATCTGGCAACGCTTGCTTCACTTTAAATGCGAATACACACATGTGCCACGCCGCGATCGTAAAAATTCAATTCATCATAACTCAGTCATTTTATCAAATTTTAAATCGAAATTTGTTACAGAGGTGCAATATAGTCATATTAACAACATATCTTCTGATGTCGCTTACTTTATTCTGTATTTTTAAAGATTTTGTCTGGCGACGCTTGTTGTCGGTTGAAGACGCTATTAAGGAGGACTATCTTGGCAAAAATATGACAAACCTCTTCTGTCTCGGTACCATTCAAGTCTATTCATATAATGGTTATTAACCAATCACCATAGAAACGGCAGTGAAACTAAGGTAACCATTTCTGCATCAGATTAACTAGGAAGTAGTCGAACTGCACCACATAGTAAGTCGCGTAGAGATTGAACAAAAAGATTACTTTGAGGCAAATATATGTGGGACATCCTTCCTTAATTAGCTAAAATCACTGTTTTTTCTTTCAAACTGAACTCTAGAACAGCACCTGTTGTCGACACTGGATTATCGCTGATGCCATCGGTCCGAGCTGCTGCTGGTGCTGGAGAGGCGACGTCGTCCTCTCCTTGCATCTTTGTGTCGTCGTCCGTTATTGGATTGGGTTGACCTTTCCTCCATATCCGCATGATGTTTCGAAACGTGTAAACAGTTGAAGCTAAAAGTACGACTACTGTTAACACAACAGTTATTGCGTTTAACAGAGAAACGTTAATTCCAAAGATATCCATCTCCAAAATTTACCGTCTGCAGATCTGCGATTCACAAAATCACGCAAATTCTCGAACGCCACGAGAAGACTAACAAGCGCCCCAGCGAGTCAGTTCAAGATGTCTGCGCCCATGGCAGGTAATATTTCTGAAGAAATTTCATGCTTTTATTTTTACAAGTCACGAAGAACAACATAATCGACCGACAAGCTCGCGAGGATTTCAGACGATTTGCCCCAAAACCGTCAGGCCCCAATTTTGGTTCACATCGCCAATGTTTACAGTTCATTTCACTCCAAGTTCGCATATCGCCCCAAAATGTCTTTTTCGTCCTAGGCTTTATTGACCCTACAGTTCTTTCGCCCCTCACTGTGCACTAAGTTCACATCAAAACGATTAAAACAAAGGAACAAGTCAGGTCTGTTAATGACACAGTGTTCTTGTTCATTGTATCAGAATCCTGGTGTGTATATAATAAATAAAATATACAACATTTGATATAGAGCCCTATGCAGCTAAAGCCACTCTGAAGCGCTTTACAGTACATACATATACAATTTAATACAATGAATACAATTAGCATATACATTATTCAATACAATTTTGAGGAATTCGCAGGAGCTGCCTTATCAGGCGCTAACTACTAGTCCTATATACACCACCTGGCTAATATCTCCCTATGTGTGTATGCCTGCGTGTATGCTGGAGATGTAATGTGTTCTGTTTGTAGTGAGACCATACTTCCAACGGTATCATATATAGTGCCACCTCACTTGAATGCCACAGCACAGATACCGCAACATCCACCCCAGATCATTTCATACTCCACCTGGGTTGTTGGAGTTGTGTGGGCAGCAGAAAAACACTTGCTTGGAAGGCCGGAGTGTTAACCACTCGACCAATCCGCCCACATAATCTTAATTTGTTTATTCCATTAGTGTCAGTCCACACCTTATTCAACGTATCAGTATAGGTAACCAATGTATGACACAAAAACTCATAAGAGACACCTTTGTTTATATGTAATAAACATATTATGGAAACATAACCTTCATGGACCATAAACGAACATACTTTTGTATGATTGTGCTGATAAATAGATAATGTATAAAAGTGAAAAGATAAAACACAAAACAAATTCTATTCAAATCAACTTATTGTACATAACGGTAACATCTACCCAAAATATTACAAGGTAAACTGACCTGCAGAAAAATGAACAACAGATTCAGAGCGGAAATGCAGAAAACGCATAATATATAACAAACCACTCACAATTTTTTTTATTTGGGGCGATAAAGCTTTTGGGGCTAACTGAATTTTTGGGGCAATACATTTGGGGCTTAAAGATTTTTGGGGCAATATGATTTAAAATTGGGGTGTAACAGTTTTTGGGCAATTCGTTGGAAACCCGTATCAGGGTCTATCTGTATTTTACAGGACACACTCTTAAATAAATTACCATATTCATGTTTAAGCATGTATTAGGGAGACTCTATGGTCATCACTAACGGAACTAAAAAAAAATGATGTTCCGTATCGCTACAGTTCACCGAAGATAAAACTAATTGAGTCATAAATGTATGTTAATCATCTGCATATTCTGCTTTACATGTAGGTTATGATTGTCCATAGTTATACTTCATTTGTTGTAGAAACCATGCAAGAGATACCTGTGGATTATCTAAATTTTCAGTGACCATTTTAATCAATCAAAAAGCTGAAAAAACATAGTTAAAGATAACCAGATATGAAAAACATACATCTTTTTATAATTTAATTAAATTGTTCTAGCATCCTTCATACTCCAGGGATTTCGCTCACTTACGCTATCTGCAACCCTAGAACAATTTGTCATTGCAAAATTGAAGCAGTTATCTTTTCCATTGGTCTCCGGTGAAAAATAATTTACCAATCTGGCAATCGCTTTACTGACTGCTGTCCTTGCAAGAAAGTCTGTTAACTTAACTGTTGCCCTGCCGTGGAATTCTTTTGATGTACACAGAATGCACCTGCTGTTACCCACTGCATGTGTCGTAAGAGGCGACTAATGCGGGAACCCCATGCAGAATTGGGTATTTGCTTTTGTGCCCTCTACTTAAGGACACAAACGTGACCAACATAAATCTGCTGCACCCATTACAATATGTTGGATCTTTATATTTCTTTCTTCTTCTAACTTCCTTTTATTTCCTAGTGCCTTTGTTGGCAATACAGTTGGGAGCAAACTTAACTTGGTATCTAGTGCACTTCGTAGTGCACACATAGTGAACAAGGAAGTGCATTTGACAAAACATTGAAGTGCACTCTAGTTCACTTCAGTGTTAACTCCAGTGCACAACAATGTGAACTCAAGTGCACTAAAGTGTTTACCAAAGTTTAAAAGACTGAAGAACATATTCCAATAATTGTTTATGATGAAATGGGTTCCTTTATGATATGAAAATTGAAAGAGAAAGGAAAGGAAAAAAAATCAACTGAACAAAGAATTGTACACTTTCTCTGGTGATTATAGAAAATCTATAAATAGCTGTACTATTTCAAAGGAAAAAGTTTAAAAGTATACTTTATCATAATTTAAATTCACACCACATTACATATCAATGTTGTTGTGTCAGGAAGGGGGGTCAGTATCTGTTATGTGGTATGGGTAAATGTTTTCCCATAATTTATACTTTTTATGAAGAAATTCTCTATAACACGACATCAATAGAGTAATTTGCTTCTTTGTTTTATACAAATTAGACAAGAAAAGATAGAATTCCAGAAAAAAATGCCTTAAAGGAAAATTAAGAAAAAACTGAGTTTGTCTGATTTTGATTTCTTTGCTATATATGTATACACGTCAGGTACATGCTGATGGTTGAATTAGAAAATACATCCCCCCAACCACCAACCCCTCCCCTGGTCTAATGTGTTCCCCACACCAATGTAGCAGGTATACAGCTGGCCGTGTAGTACATTAATGAATTACCACTTGTTAAAATGAGGACAAAATTCATGGTTGCAGGGTACTGCAAGCACCTGTAGGTAAAGTTATATACATGTACATAAATGAAATAATAATATAATAATAATAATATACAGCATTTATATAGCGCCCTATATAATTTGTAAAATTAATTTAAGGCGCTTTACAACATATGGATAATAGTAATGGTTATAATTGTGAAAACTAACAACAAAGGCTTGCAATCACTTTCATACATTTAACAAGCAATGTGCACATAATTGAACAAATAAAAGGGTGGTATTTACATGACGTCTTTGCAAAGATTCTAAAATGCAGACGTGAAGAGGTGAGCTTTTATCTCCCTCTTGAACTTGGCCAGGGTATTCGACTTCTTAATAGCAGATGGTAAGCTATTCCACAACGTAGCCGAAACCCTCCCAAAGCATCTGTTTCCGTAGGTCACAGTACGAGATTTTGGGACACACAATAAAGATTCTGACTCCGACCGCAGTGATCTTGATAGCCGATACAGGGTAACAAGTTCCTGTAGGTACTGAGGAGCTGTTCCATTCAGTGCCTTGTATGTGTATACCAGAATTTTGTACTGCGACCTGTATCGTACAGGTAACCAGTGCAACGAATAAAGCGCAGGTGTGATGTGCTCTCTCTTTCGAGTACGAGTAACTAGCCGTGCTGCAGTGTTCTGAACCCTCTGCAGACGACTAGTTAGTTTGTCAGATATACCACAGAGCAGGGCGTTACCATAATCCAACCGAGAGGTAACAAGTGAATGCACCAAAATCTTGCATGCATCTGCAGTTAGAAACTGCCGAATACAGCCGATGTTCCTGATCTGGTAGTAACAGGATTTGGCAATCGCGTTCACTTGTTTCTCCATGTTCAGAGAACTGTCAAAGTATACCCCTAGGTTTTTAACAGCTGGAACAGTCTCAATAGTTCTGGCACCAACCTTGAGCTGGAGAGCCATTGTTTGCTGACACTTTGGGGAAAAGACGATTAGTTCCGTCTTTTCCTGATTAAGTTTAAGCATGTTGGCGTTCATCCAGATACTGATATCTGTCAGACAAGCTTCCAGACTTTCTGAGACTGTATTCCAACTGTCCTGTGGTTTTATGACCATGTAAATTTGTGTGTCATCAGCATAGCAATGATAGCAAAGGCTATGGCGACGACAAATCTCTCCAATCGGTTTGGAGTACATACAATATTTTCGTGGTCCTAACATGTACACCGACCATTGAGGAACCCCAAAATCTAGTACTTTGTCATGTGATGTGGCAGATCCGATGGCAACACACTGTCGTCGTTCACTCAGGTATGACTGTATCCAGCATAGTGCGGTATCAGTCACTCCATAAGTTGATCAATTTACTGATACAAAATCAAATCAATTAAATTTCACAGGGAACCTCAAGTTTTAATCATACAGTTACATCTTTCCTTCAGTGGATTCAAAGAATGTAACCACCCCCCCCGACACATATTTTTCTTTACAATATGATATCTACCTGAGGATACATGTATGTATATGGGCAATGACCATCCACTGACCATTACACAAGTTTTTATGGTATGTTAAAATGACAAATGAGCTTCAAAAATATTGGTTCTGTGTAGCATATATTACCACATCACTCAGAGATTAGTTCATTGCAACCATTATACAAAGGTCATGGCTTGTCGGGCTTTCAGTAACCCCTGACAGAAAACAATATCAGAAATCAGGTAACTTTTTCCCTGCTGTTTGGAGGGTCACAACACTTGTTATGTATACATGTGACTGTCCTGTCGAATCCAAGGGTCATTACTGATTTTGGTAGGTCATAAACATACTCTCAATGATCAACTAAAAGCATTGGTTAAAGAAATATATCAATAAATACAGTGAAATTGTTAGCTCACCTAGCCCATATACGTTTGTGGGTCAAATTTGTAAGTGTTTGGAAGACTTAATTACTACAAGGCTTAGGGTGATGTATGAAGCATGCTGGGAGGACTGTCAAGTTTGTTCAAATAAATGACCTTGACTTATTTACAAGTTCACAAGGGTCAATTTGTTGAAATCGCTGAACAAAATTCTAAATAAAAAGGGTCTTAGGGCGATGATATTTAGCTAGTAGCATTACAGGGTGTAGGCCAATAAGGAATAACCTTGATCCACTTTCAGGTCACAGGTTCAAATTTGTTAAACCTTTTAACAACTTCATTTGATTAACCTATAAAACTTTGGGTATGATATTTGGCAAGAAAGATGAAGTGATGAATGCTTTTCAACGGCAAACAGGTCAAAGTTGTCAAAACCTTAAAACAACTTCTGAGAAACCAAAAGGTTGAAGGTGTTATTTATGCAGTAATCATAAATATGCTGCAAACAAAGGGCTAAACATGTCACCTATGAAATTTAGTTGAAATCTTCCTACAAAGATGTATAGGTGTAGAGAAATGATGATTATCCTTTCAAGTTAGGTTGACTATTTAGTTTCTTCAAATACATTTGGCTTAGACCCACTTTGAATGTCAGAGATGTGATTGCCATTGAATTACAGGTGAGCAATACATGACCATTGGACCTCTTGTTTTTCCTGTCTCAAGGTCTCTAGTCTCTACCAATTACAAGATACACTGAAGCTGGTTGAGTATGTTTGTTGACTTTGAGCACTAGAATGGTTTTATGATTATAGTGCCCTGACTTGCTATAGAAATTTCAAGACTGTATTTTTCATTTTGGGAATAATCTCACAATTTTTCATCTAAAAGCAGTGTAATTTTCATTATGTAGAGTCAAATATTCCCAATATTCATTGATAAATATGAAAGTTCCTATGCACTTGTCTTCTATACTTTATGTTGAGAGATAGAACCAGTCACCTTTTGTAAGTGCAGTCAGGCTTATTACCAGTTAGATTTTTTTGTAAGGACAGTCAGGCTTATTACCAGTTAGAGTTTTCAGATGTTCTGTAATCCCTTATCCATCATATAACTTTAAACTTAAAGGCTTGCTACTAGAATATGACAAAAATTTGTACCTGGGGTTATGTCTCTGTACTTAAAAACATTATAAACCAGTACAGATCGGTATACCAACATGTGATTAAGCTGCTACAGAGGTAGCTTATTAGACAGTTAAACATTATAAACCAGTACAGATCGGTATACCAACATTTGATTAAGCTGCTACAGAGGTAGCTTATTGGAAAGTAAAACATTATAAACCAGTACAGATCGGTACACCAACATGTGATTAAGCTGCTACAGAGGTAGCTTATTAGACAGTTAAACATTATAAACCAGTACAGATCGGTATACAAACATGTTATTAAGCTGCTACAGAGGTAGCTTATTGGACAGTTAAACATCATAAACCAGTACAGATCGGTATACAAACATGTGATTAAGCTGCTACAGAGGAAGCTTATTGTACAGTAAAACATTATAAACCAATACAGATCGGTATACAAACATGTGATTAAGCTGCTACAGAGGTAGCTTATTGGACAGTTAAACATTATAAACCAGTACAGATCGGTATACCAACATGTGATTAAGCTGCTACAGAGGAAGCTTTTTGAAGAAAAAGCTCATACTGTAGAACAAGCATGTATGCATGAATCAAAGTAAAGTAGAAATACATTGTATATTTAATTGTAGGAACGGACCATTTGTCCCATATTGAACATGTCATTCTCGTCCTGTCTGGAAAAGGAGGTGTTGGAAAGAGCACAGTGGCTACCCAGATAGCTCTTGGTCTGAGACATGCCGGGAAGAAGGTATGTGTGTTTGTTCCCAATCAGTTCCTTATGTAAGTATGCGGCTCAATTCCACAGTAAAATCCTGATATAATACCCTCATATCATTTGTCACCTTGCTGAATGCAAACAAATACTCAAGTGTCGGAATTCTGGAACAAGGATTGACTGTACATGTTATGATAATTTCCTCTAATATTTCAGGGTGTTTTAAATTAATTTGTCTAAATAGTTTGTTAATGTCCCTATGAAACATGCTATACTGTCCAATTTATTTGACTGTCTCTATTATTGGTAAATCATTTCGTAATATTTGTATAACCCTCCAAAAGTAGGGCACATTACATTGTCATGTTGTCCATCTCTTAGTCTGTTGTACCTTATTTTATCACAACAGCTAGGAACACAGTTTTCAACAGAATTTGGTGTATTTTATGAGATTTGTATGTTTTGTAAGGTTTTGTAAATTTACATATAAAATGGGAAGGATATGTTAAATTGTACAATAATTTTGGTAATTTCTTATTCCTATAAAAAAAAAATTGGTTAAGGAAGGTAATTCCTTAACAATTTTTTAACCCTTAGAGAAAAACAGAAGAAACATTATTCCTGGGTATTGGAGTAAAAGATGTTTTCCCATTTCAACATTCCAAAATTTGATCATTTTCCGGAGTAGAAAAGTACAAATGTATTTTTTTTCTTGCAATATTTTAATGTTTTGAAACATTTTGTTGCAAGAATTCATCAGAAAGTATCTTACTACGACACTTTATTTAAACAAAAACTAGAAATTCCTTGGAATTTCTTTTGAATGTGCTATTGTTGAAACTCTGTACGTCAAATATCAGAATTGTTTACAACCACATATTCCCTTTCACCAATACATTGTGTGCGTCTAAAGCTCCGCTTTGTAGTGTTCTTGTTAATCGATGGTGTGATTACCTCATACTCTGTATTGTTGTCAATTATGTGACAGGTTGGGTTATTGGATCTGGACCTATGTGGACCGAGTATTCCACGCATGTTTAACCTGCAAAACCAAGACATTCATCAGTGTCCAGAAGGGTTTGTAACATTTAGATATAACACAAAAATGGCTTCAGAAATACTTCATCCATATTCAAGACTGATGATGATAGGTATAAAACTTAAACAATAACAGTTTATATAAATGTATCTCAGACAATTTTCACATTTAAGAACTGTATTTGTATTTTTAGTACAAGTATGGTCTTTTTCTCATTTTTTTTATACAAAAGTTTGCCCTGAGAAAACTTCTTTCATATTTCATCTACATTCACAAACCTTGCTATACTTTTGTTTCTTAAAAAGCAGAGAATAACATATAAGAATCAGGTTTGTCGCCTCAATCAGGTTTGTCACCTCGCTATGTATAAAGTTATGTCCCTTTGTTCATTTTTGTTACGAAGATCTTATATTTATGTATCTTGGGACATCATATCAGCATCATAAAATATTGTAAGATTTTTCAACTATTTTCCCTATTTTGCATATTTCTATATCCTCTGTGTGGCTTCTTTATTATGCTTTATTATTGTTCCACCCTGCATTACTTTTATAGTATTTCCATTTGTTTAGTTGGCTGCCCGTGTTTGTAGACAAGGACCAGCATTTGTCCGTCATGTCCATCGCATTTCTCCTAGAGGATGCTAATGATGCCATTGTGTGGAGGGGACCCAAGAAAACAGGTGACAACATTTATATAATTGTATTTGGAATTCTCTAAAGAGATTGGATTGTTTATTAGTGTTCTTTTGATATGAAATCTCACATTCTAGTTGAATAATTTAATATTACCACAGGCCTTTGTATGAGTTTTATATGATCTTTTTCTATGATTTTAATAAACTTCATATGAAATGTATAGAAATGTAAACATACAGGTTTAATTTAGGAGAAAGCATATTTCCTATCCAAAATTTTGAAAATGTGGGCTAGGTATTCATGATAGAAAGAATTTGTACGTATCTATCACCGAGTATCTCAACTGATTTGGGTAATTAATCAGTAAAAAAATAGTTGATCTGCAGTCCTTATGATACCTAGAATGTTTCATTTCTCCCTTATTTACTCCTTCCTTCCGGTGTTGTCCCATCAGGCCGCTTCAGTTAGCCCCTCCCTGAAATAGTGTTATCCTGTGGTATGTCAGTCTGCCATGTCAATATGTTGGCATTATAAAGTGGCCCTATCATCAGGGGTCCTTGTCATTTTACTAAGATGTTGCAGAGACATAAAACTCAAAAAAGTTCACTAACAAAGTAATGGGTGTTGTAACATACATATGAGAGTCAACAGGAGGAAATACATAGGCTACATACACTGAAACTTAAGTTCACACAATCACTTGAGACTTTTGATAATTTTGCAGGTACTAGCGGGGGACTTATCATGTTTGAGAATATTTTTCTAGTGATTATTTAGTGTTGGAGCATTAGCTTAAGTAAAAAATAGACTTTTCCCAAGTTGTAATTTTTCTTTTAAATATTGATACATTATATCATGGAGTAGGACACCCAACCCCTTCATGAATAATTTGAGTATATCATTTGGTGGATAACTGAACTGTTTGAACCTGTCATGCCAAAAATCATACTGACATCCCCCCCCCCCCCCCCCCCCCCCCCCCCTTCTTCAGAGCTTTACCACTGGAATGTTTGTTTGAAGTGTGTGTAGTCTAAAATTAGTACTGACATTTCAACTGTGTATTCAATCATTTCTGTGAAAGTCTGTTTTCTTTAGCCATGATCAAGCAGTTCCTCAGCGACGTGGTGTGGCGTGACCTTGAATATCTGGTGATAGACACGCCCCCGGGAACCTCAGACGAACACATCAGTGTAGTGGAGAGTCTTAAGTCCTACAACCCTGATGGAGCAGTTCTGGTCACTACGCCACAGGTACATCACAGTGACAGCTCACATGAAGGGCAAATATGTTAGCAGGATATGTAGTGGATTCTGTCCTCCATTCATCCTTTTTTGTCCAGGCAACTTGTTCCTGAGTCTTCATCTGATCTTTAAAAAATTCAAATATTGCTTTTTCACCATCAAGCTTAGTTACATGTCTCAGTTTTTCAGAATCTTCTTATGAACTTTTTAATGTTTTGATTGCCCAAGAAAGTGAATACATTAAGGTACTGTGTTAACAGGCGGTTGCTGTTGGAGATGTGAGGAGAGAACTGACTTTCTGTAAGAAGACACACATTCCAGTCATTGGTATCATAGAGAACATGAGTGGTTTTGTCTGCCCTCATTGTACAGTAAGTGTGATGACTTTAATTGGTATCATAGAAAATATGAGTGGTTTTGTATGCCCTCATTGTAAAGTAAGTGTGACTATAATTAGTATCATAGAGAATATGAGTGGTTTTGTCTGACCTCATTGTAAAGTAAGTGTGACGACTTTTATTGGTATCATAGAAAATATGAGTGGTTTTGTATGCCCTCCTTGTAAAGTTAGTGTGACTATAATTAGTATCATAGAGAATATGAGTGGTTTTGTCTGACCTCATTGTAAAGTAAGTGTGACTATAATAAGTATCATAGAGAATATGAGTGGTTTTGTATGCCCTCATTGTAAAGTAAATGTGACTTTAATTGGTATCATAGAAAATATGAGTGGTTTTGTCTGCCCTCATTGTACAGTAAGTGTGACTTTGTTTGGTATCATAGAGAATATAAGTGGATTTGTCTATCCTCATTGTACAATAAGTGAGACTTTAATTGGTATCATAGAGAACATGAGTGTTTTTGTCTGCCCTCATTGTACAGTAAGTGTGACTTTAATTGGTATCATAAAAAATATTAGAGGTTTTGTCTGCCCTCATTGTACAGTAAGTGTGACTTTGTTTGGTATCATAGAAAACATTAGTGGTTTTGTCTGCCCACATTGTACAGTAAGTGTGACAACTTTAATTGATATCATAGAAGTTATGAGTGGTTTTGTCTGCCCTCATTGTACAGTAAGTGTGACAACTATAATTAGTATTGTAGAGAATATGAGTGGTTTTGTCTGACCTCATTGTAAAGTAAGTGTGACTATGATAAGTATCATAGAGAATATGAGTGGTTTTGTCTGACCTCATTGTAAAGTAAGTGTGACTTTAATTGGTATCATAGAAAATATGAGTGGTTTTGTCTGCCCTCATTGTACAGTAAGTGTGACTTTGTTTGGTATCATAGAGAATATAAGTGGATTTGTCTATCCTCATTGTACAATAAGTGTGACTTTAATTGGTATCATAGAGAAAATGAGTGTTTTTGTCTGCCCTCATTGTACAGTAAGGGTGATTTTGTTTGGTATCATAGAAAACATTAGTGGTTTTGCCTGACCTCATTGTAAAGTAAGTGGTACAGTGACTTTAATTGGTATCATAGAAAATATGAGAGGTTTTGTCTGCCCTCATTGTACAGTAAGGGTGATTTTGTTTGGTATCATAGAAAACATTAGTGGTTTTGCCTGACCTCATTGTAAAGTAAGTGGTACAGTGACTTTAATTGGTATCATAGAAAATATGAGAGGTTTTGTCTGCCCTCATTGTACAGTAAGTGTGACAACTATAATAAGTATCATAGAGAATATGAGTGGTTTTGTCTGACCTCATTGTAAAGTGAGTGTGACTTTAATTGGTATCATAGAAAGTATGAGTGGTTTTGTCTGCCCTCATTGTATAGTAAGTGTGACTTTGTTTGGTATCATAGAAAACATTAGTGGTTTTGTCTGCCCTCATTGTACAGTAAGTGTGACTTTGTTTGGTATCATAGAAAACATTAGTGGTTTTGTCTGACCTCATTGTAAAGTAAGTGGTACAGTAAATGTGACTTTGTTTGGTATCATAGAAAACATTAGTGGTTTTGTCTGCCCTCATTGTACAGTAAGTGTGACAACTTTAATTGATATCATAGAACCCCCGAGTGGTTTTGTCTGTCCTCATTGTACAGTAAGTGTGACTTTGTTTGGTATCATAGAGAACATTAGTGGTTTTGTCTGCCCACATTGTACAGTAAGTGTGACAACTTTAATTGATATCATAGAAAATATGAGTGGTTTTGTCTTCCCTCATTGTACAGTAAGTGTGACTTTGTTTGGTATCATAGAAAACATTAGTGGTTTTGTCTGCCCTCATTGTACAGTAAGTGTGACTTTGTTTGGTATCATAGAGAATATGAGTGTTTTTGTCTTCCCTCATTATACAGTAAGTGTGATGACCTTTGATTGGTATCATAGAGAATATGAGTGTTTTTGTCTGCCCTCATTATACAGTAAGTGGGATGACTTTTAATTGGTATCATAGAAAACATTAGAGGTTTTGTCTGCCCTCATTATACAGTAAGTGTAACTTTAATTGGTATCATAGAAAACATGAGTGTTTTTGTCTGCCCTCATTGTACAGTAAGTGACTTTTAATTGGTATCATAGACAATATGAGTGGTTTTGTCTGCCCTTATTTTATTGTGTGAATGAGTATCAATTTCAAAATGTCAATTGTTTAAATTTGGTATGGACATTTTAGAGTAAACTTTGACATAAAAATTTAGAGAATGAAGATTTTAAGGAAACATCTGATACTCAACCCGTATGCCAATTTTGTTTTAGGAATGTACCAACATTTTTTCAAAGGGTGGAGGAGAGGCATTGGCAAAACAGTTCCATGTGCCTTTCCTTGGTAAGTATATTAGAGCTTCATATAAGGTCTCAATCAAATCCTTTGCAAAAACAAACAAATATCTATACAGTGTATTAAGGTCATAGGAGTGTATTGCTAAACAGAAATAGGAAGTACATCCCTAGTTGAAAATCCAATGTAGGGAGACAGTATCACAATTTCCGCATATTCTAATGTTTAATATTAAACTGATGAATATTGTATGTTTATTATTGACAGAACAGTGTGTTCTTTCAATATTAAAATATTTCAAAGCAATTCAGGCATTAATTCAGTTGTTTTTTAATCATTGAGTCACATGTGTTCATTTTTCTGTACTTCAGGAAACCGGCTACCTATNTTTCAGTTGTTTTTCAATCATTGAGTCACATGTGTCCATTTTTCTGTACTTCAGGAAACCGGCTACCTATTTCACTTCTGTGAAGTTTTTCAAGAACGATAACTCTTACATGCAATTACTATGTGTATATGGTTTTATTATATATTGTCAATTTTTGATAGTTTATAGATAATTAATTTTGCACAATTTCAGCATTTATGAAATTGATATACATTAATGCAATACTAATCTATGTCAGTATCATTTTTATTGACAATATTTTGCAAAAAATTGTGTTTCATTTTTTTCCCAAAGTTCACTCCTTTTTACTTAAATTTCAATTTAAATCCTTAAAATTCTGACAACCTATTTTTTTTTTTGTGGCAGAAAATTTTCTTTGCTTCAAAGCAATATAACTACAAAATTTGAAGAAATTCTACTGAGAAATGGCGACACAATCCTATTACCTTAAGTACAAAGATCACCTAAGGTATTATGCTAATATTCATCCATACATTTGTATGTCAGCTTTTGCTTGCCAAAATTATATATCATCTCCAGGTCTGAAAAAAAATGCAAGTTACTCACACTACATTTAAAGAACTTTTTCACCAAAAGTGTAAAACTTCAGACTTACTTGTCCAAGTTATAACTTCAGAACTACTAAAGAAGTTGTTTTGAAATTTGAACACATGTAAAATAACTCCACTGAACTCACTCCATCATACTCTTGAACAGGCTGTATTCCTCTTGACCCCAAGCTGACTCACTGTCTGGAGCAGGGAAAGAACTTCCTGGAGGTGTATAATGACACCCCTACTCACAAAGCATTGGATGCCGTCATAGAGAGACTTATACGCATTGACCGAGACCTGCCCTGATCTCAGAGAATGTCTAACGCCTTGACCTTGGGACCACAACAACTCTTTCGGGCCAGATATGGTCTCAATGATAGGATATATAGCCATGCATGAGAAAATTAATGCCATTGTTGATTTTGAACACATAGAAGGAAGTGTTTATGGTAATATTGATATTGGAATTTTAGCACTTGATATGAACTGTACAGTGTTGAAGTTGATATGCAAATACATAGAATATTAAATTAATGATATGTTAATGTTTTAGTCTATATGTTTTTGCTCTGTATGTATTGTGATGTTTAATTTTGTTCCCAAAAGTCGTGCTCCACTGTGTAATGAATTATGGATATATTATTCACTTCTAATAGTCTCTGCTTAGGTCTGACACCTGAGACAAAGTCTCTGCGTAGGTCTGACACATGTGACAAAGTCTCTGCTTAGGTCCGACACCTGAGACAAAGTCTCTGCTTAGGTCCGACGCCTGAGACAAAGTCTCTGATTAGGTCCGACGCCTCAGACAAAGTCTCTGCTTTGTTCCGACGCCTGAGACAAAGTCTCTGCGTAGGTCCGACACCTGTGACAAAGTCTCTGCTTAGGATTTTATATGTATGTTCCCCTTGGTCCTTGGTCCGACGCCTCAGACAAAGTCTCTGCTTTGTTCCAACGCCTGAGACAAAGTCTCTGCGTAGGTCCGACACCTGAGACAAAGTCTCTGCTTAGGTCCGATGCCTGAGACAAAGTCTCTGCTTAGGTCTGACACCTGAGACAAAGTCTCTGATTAGGTCCGATGCCTGAGACAAAGTCTCTGCTTAGGGTCGACGCCTGAGACAAAGTCTCTGCTTAGGTCCGACACCTGAGACAAAGTCTCTGCTTAGGTCCGACACCTGAGACAAAGTCTCTGCTTAGGTCTAACACCTGAGACAAAGTCTCTGCTGACCTAATGTGATTGCCTTACATCCATCGCCATTTGTCCATAAACTATTCACAATTCTGACTTCTTGCAACAAACCAATAAACCAATTTCAATAAAATTTAGATGGAAGGTTCCATGTACAAAGGCAAACCAAAACTGTGAATTATAACGCCACCGTAAGAGCTTTTACATAAGCTTGCCCTGAAAGTCTTGGTTGAATCTTTAAATTTGAGAAGTACATTTAATAAACCATACCCTCTTCTGCTGTTTCCAAATATGACCTTAGATTGTGGATATGTTATCTACAATTTTTTCTATATTTAGTGTTCCATTTGCCTTTTCTATGTCATGTTTTACCAAATTGTCTGTTAAATGGTGGATGATCAATCAATATGCAGGTATGTAGGATATGGAAATTTCCCCCTTTTCTGGGGTGGTGAACTTTGTGTCAGGACCTTGGCTGAGCCAAACCAATACCCTGGGGTAGAATATCCATATCCCACATACCGCTTATGTAGACTCTGTTAATCTTCTGTCATGACATACTGAAGTGTCTGTCTATGGAGGATTTTTACAGAGCTATGTCCGAACTATAAAAAAAATTTATTATCATTAGAGACAAGACCTTTTAATATGTGTATTACAACTAGGTGTGAATCAAATGAATACTTGAAAGCAACTGATATAAAATAAAACTATTTGTGGTGCAGGTTTCACTTTTTCTTGTCAGTCATCAAGTTTTTATGATTATTTTAATACTCTTGATTTTTGTTGTATGTAAGTAAAAATAAAATATTTCACCCAACTTCATGTACCTACCCTATGTCAGGCCAGGACACATGAAACACAAAATCTGTATTGTTTGGACTCATTTAAAATGTGATGACATATGTTACTGTCTGTCTGCTTGATACTACACTGAATGTGCCTTTCACTGTTGTCCAGTTGTGCTTACACTGTGCAAGGTGTTGATGTTTATTTTAAAGTAAAATTTATCTTGTTGCTAATAAGTCTGTGCCAGCCCACAACAACAGGTTGTTTTCTGTCAGTGTGGAAATGTCTACTGCTCAATGCAGTGAAACCTGTCGTAGCTGCCTAAAATCAACCATCTTCTTTAAAGTTGTTGAGCCAGGAAGGCAGAATACCCTCCGACATTTTATATAAATTTTCTCGTAATAGTATGTAGTAACAGTTCCTTGTAACTGATAACTTAGAAACCTAGATATCAGTCCATGAAGGCAAGCAACATTGGTGATGAATGTGTAGTGCTAATTCTGTGTCTGAGTGCAATATACATATGAAAAAGTATGTACAGAAAATTGTATTGCTAAATATATATATCTTGAAAAGTATACATATCTCAATGTTGGAACGTCGAAGTGATGATTTCACCAAACAAAGACTAGGCGTTTTACTTCACTCATTACATGGTTTATGTGCTAAGTATTCAGTCAGCAGTGTCCATGTATTATTATTATTATAATTCAAGTAAATACAATTATATATGAGAAAGGAAGGGCAACAGATTTTATGTTTGATTCTCTTTATGTTTTTAGAGTGCATAAATTAAAAATCTATAGCTGTTTTGTCTAATTTGTGTTAAAAAGAGCACAAGCAAATTTCTAATAACAAAATCGTTGATCTGTGCAGAAAATTTTTAGAAATGAGGAAGGGAGATAACTTTTCATTGTCTTCATAGAAAATTGTACATGTATCTGGTGATGGGAAATGTTTGTAAGCTTTTATCAATATTTCCTCAAATAATCCTGCCTTTAAAACTAATGTTATGTTTTAAGATACCAAATTTAAAGAAAATATTTTATTTCTTCAAATATTCCATCGAAAAGTATTTATCTAACAAAAATAGAATAAAAATTCTGTAAACTCGGTTATGTGTTCAGCATTAGACTTTACATGCACCATTGATGATGTAGCACTTGATTATATGGTTATGAAAGGAAGTTTAAATAAATATTATTCCAGGAAACACAACCCTGTTTGCTGTGTGGTATGTTCTAGAGCAACATAACTTCCATATATATGAATAAGAAACCGACAGGAATTGTGTCACCTACTGGTCATGACTGTTTTGTTACCCTTTGGTATTCAAAGGACGTATATCAAGATAAGAACACAGAGAGGAGGCGGAGTAATTATGCATGACTGTTCTGGTTGTATAGTTTGTTATCTGAACTAAATAAGAAATTAGGAAACGTTTTGGCCAATTTCAGACAGCCATTTTGTATTTACTGAGCCTAAACATCATTACAATAACAACACTTGGTAAGAGTAACATCAGACAATGTTTACCTATTTGGGTAAAATTAGCCATCTTGGACCCAAAAAATCAGTGCAGGACAATGAGAGGTTATCACGGGTATTTAAATTGGAATAATTGACCTGGAGGAGTAGTAGTAAAAAAATTAGAGAACAGGGCGATCAACTTGAATTTACTGTCTGAAAAGTAACAACACTTGTTTGGGACTTCGAGAGGATTGTTTCACCCAATTTCATAATGAAGGTTAGAAACAGCTTGATGTAAAAATACGGCCTGATGTAACGTGTCCCCGTCAGTAGACGCTACTCTTATGATATATTATTTTCACCAAGACCAAACCTGATGATACATTGTAGGAGTGTCTGCCTATGCCAGATCAGATCTTCATGTAGGTCGACATGAAGACATTGAACTGTCTCAGAATGCTCTGTATGGGCGCCTACAGACCGCCTAGTCTCTGATGACGGTTTTGTAGACTGCACTTCGTTTGGTCTTGATATTATTTCCACCGGAAACATTTTGATACTGGATGACATCAACTGTGAATTTGACCATTCAACTTGGGGCAGACATCTATCAGATAAATGTTTTGTAAATGTTGCGATCCATCCATTTTGGATGTTGTCCTAACCAATCAATCATCCTTATATCACAACTACATCATTTCTACTGTGATATTAGCGACTGGTTTAATAATATAAACGGCGCTGCCCCAAGTTGCCTAGTCGTAAGGTGAAATTAAGGCAGTTCAGTGATTTTGATGAGGAACAACTCAAGAAAGACATCTCTAGTGTGCCTTCCCATGCTGCTGATGTTTTGAGGACACTTATGATATATACTGGGCACACGAGTATGAGCCTATCAAAGAATTAACTCCCAAAAATAACAAACCCTCATTTTTGTAATAGCAAACTTTGCAAAGCAGTTTATAAAAAAAACAGCGTACATACATGTTTGTCTTTTAACAAGTACAAACGATACCCAACTCCTGTTAACTGGGACATATTTTGCATGCATCGTAGTCTTGTAGTTAGTATAAAACGCAAATAGACCTTACTTATAGTATTATGTGAAGATTACAAAGTCATTATAGACCAAAATGAAGTATGTAAAATCCTTCTTAAACGAGGCTCTGGTTCTTTATCTCTCCCTCTCACAAACGTGGTTATTTTTTGTTATCACAAAAGATGTTTCCTGATAGGTTGATGCAGGCCTAGGTTATCCCAATTTTTAGCCCACCATCATCTGATGGTGGGCTATTCAAATCACCCGGCGTCCATGGTCCGTTGTCCGTCCTTTAACAATTCTTGTTATCGCTATTTATCAAGAAGCACCAGAGGGATCTTTCTCAAATTTTATATGTATGTTCCCCTTGGTCCTTAGCTGTGCAGGGCAACTTTTGAGACTGATCTGATAAACAACATGGCCGACAGGCAGCCATCTTGGATTTTGATAGTGAAAGTTTGTTATTGCTATTTCTCGGGAAGTACCAGAGGGATCTTTCTCAAATTTTATATGTATGTTCCCCTTGGTCCTTAGCTGTGCAGGGCAACTTTTGAGACTGATCTGATAAACAACATGGCCGACAGGCAGCCATCTTGGATTTTGATATTGAAAGTTTGTTATCGCTATTTATCAAGAAGCACCAGAGGTATCTTTCTCAAATTTTATATGTAGGTTCTCCTTGGTCCTTAGCTGTACAGTGCAACTTTCGAGACTGATCAGATAAACAACATGGTAGACAGGCAGCCATCTTGGATTTTGATAGTGAAAGTTTGTTATCGCTATTTATGCAGAAGCACCAAAGGGATCTTTCTCAAATTTTATAAGTATGTTCCCCTTGGTCCTTAGCTGTGCAGGGCAACTTTTGAAACTGATCGGATAAACAACATGGCCGACAGGCAGCCATCTTGGGTTTTGATAGTGAAAGTTTGTTATTGCTATTTCTCGGGAAGTACCAGAGGGATCTTTCTCAAATTTTATATGTAGGTTCCCCTTAGACCATAGCTGTGCAGGGCAACTTTTGAGACTGATCGGATAAACAACATGGTAGACAGGCAGCCATCTTGGATTTTGATAGTGAAAGTTTGTTATTGCTATTTCTCGGGAAGTACCAGAGGGATTTTTCTCAAATCTTATATGTAGGTTCCCCTTGATCTTTCGTTGTGCATGTTATATTTTGAGACTGATCATAAAAACAAAATGGACTAAAAGAATAACTAAACAGATCTTTCTCATATTGCAATGATCGATTCTATTTCTTTCACATTAAGTACTCTACTAGTAAATATGTGAAATGGCAAACTCACTTTGAAGGTTGGCTTTCATACACATCAGTATTAAGTTTAGATCAAAAGTTACCTCAAGGTGCATTTACTGTTAACATGACTCGATCAAACAGATTAGAGGAAAGAAGAGAAAATATCGAACTGACAAAGAACTAATGAAGATGGTACAAAGGTGGGCGCCAAGATCCCTCTGGGATCTCTTGTTATTAATGATATTGTTTACCCAACCTGTATGATTATGCTGACGATAACACCCTACTCACATAAGTGATTATCCTGTCAGCTTAGCCAATGCTCTTGAGAAAGAGAGTCAAAATTTGATAACTGTTCTTGACTTGATTTCTCGCCTAAACATAGAGCCAGGCCCCGGTTTCATGAACTTAAAATCGCTAACGAATTCCTTTGCTAAGATTTACTGAAAAATGCGTTTGATGAACGTGCATTAACTTAACTAAGAAGCTTCTTAGAGTTGAGGAACGTTAACGAAACCGGGGCCAGGCTCAATGTTTAGGCGAGAAATCAAGTCAAGAAAGGTTAGACGGAGGAACCTTAGAAAAGTTAGACCTATATTCGGATTATCTCCCGTGCTTGTTCTCCATAACCGAAGCAAAAGTCGCTGAGGGATCGGCCCTGCGCCATGGCCCAAGCTCATTTGTTTGGTGTGCCGATTTGTTATTCATTCACTCAATGTGATGTCATCAGATATAAGTTTATGACATTAAGGCTGTTTAATTAATTTATGTTATTAAAAAATCAAGTAAGTGATATCAAGAATTTTTTCTGATATACAATCGAATTTATATTCTTTTGTGAACTTTTATGATACTGATTGTGTCTATTTTATTAAGACATAAAGTAAAATTAAAGATATCACCAAATAGATTTAATGATACCAAAACTCACGAATATATCAACTGCACCCAATACGTCAGCCAAAGTGAGCTAAAAGAGTAACAGACGGAAAAGACTCATAGGGACGATTCTGCAAAGTTTTTATTTGTGTGTCTATTACTATCTGAACACGAAGAGACTATTCCTAATGAGAACCTTGGTTGCCATTGGGACTTGGACAGTGGCAGAGTATAATCCTGTTACAGTTCAAACGGAATTATCAGCCTGTTATATTGGGCCGATTTACCACATATATGCACGTAGATTAATTGGGCTTGCCCACACATACATTGAGCTATTATCATACATACAATCATTAAACCATGTGCCATGTTATTGAACAAAGCCAAAGCTTTGGTGTCCAAAGACGACCAGATATCATCAGTTCACAGTCTGTTAATTAACCCGTGCTCGTCAATGGTGTTAAAATGAATTCAATTAGAATGGTTTTAGAGAAGCTTGTATAATGCATAACTGATTGTGTGTCCCTCTACTGTTGTTATAGATCACAGTATATGTGGTCATATTTGTGTCCCTCTTGTGTTGATTAAGAAAGTTTTTTACTTTATACACCTAGTAACCTGTGTACGTGTCCCTCTAGTGTTACGTAGTGTAACCTGTATGTCTCCCTAGTGTTGGTTTAGACAGGTTTCACTGTATACACGTAGTGTAACCTGTTTGTATCACTAGTATTGGTTTAGACAGGTTTCACTATATACACGTAGTGTAACCTGTATTTATCACTAGTGTTGATTTAGATAGGTTTCACTGTATATACGTAGTGTAACCTATGCGCCTCCCTAGTGTTGGTTTGGACAGGTTTCACTGTATTCACGTAGTGTAACCTGTATTTATCACTAGTGTTGATTTAGATAGGTTTCACTGTATATAGGTAGCGTAACCTATGTATCACTAGTGTTGGTTTAGACATGTTTCACTGTATACACGTAGTTTAACCTGTATGTATCACTAGTGTTGGTTTAGACAGGTTTCACTGTATATAGGTAGCGTAACCTATGTATCCCTAGTGTTGGTTTAGACAGGTTTCACTGTACATACGTAGTGTAACCTATGTGCCTCCCTAGTGTTGGTTTGGACAGGTTTCACTGTATACACCTAGTGTAACCTGTATGTATCACTAGTGTTGGTTTAGACAGGTTTCACTGTATATACGTAGTGTTACATGTTTGTCTCCATAGTGTTGGTTTAGACAGGTTTCACTGTATACACGTAGTGTAACCTGTATGTATCACTAGTGTTGGTTTAGACAGGTTTCACTGTATATACGCAGTGTTACATGTTTGTCTCCATAGTGTTGGTTTAGACAGGTTTCACTGTATACACGTAGTGTAACCTGTATGTATCACTAGTGTTGGTTTAGACAGGTTTCACTGTATATACGCAGTGTTACATGTTTGTCTCCATAGTGTTGGTTTAGACAGGTTTCACTGTATACACGTAGTGTAACCTGTATGTATAACTAGTGTTGGTTTAGACAGGTTTCACTGTGTATACGTAGTATAACATGTGTGTCTCCCTAGTGCTGGTTTAAACAGGTTTCACTGTATACACGTAATGTAACCTGTGTGTCTCCCTAGTGTTGGTTTAGACGGGTTTCACTGTATACACGTAGTGTAACCTGTGTCTCCCTAGTGCTGGTTTAGACAGGGTTCTCTGTATATACGTATTGTTACCTATGTCTCCCTAGTGTGGGTTTAGACAGGTTTCACTGTGTATGCGTAGTATAACCTATGTGTCTCCCTAGTGCTGGTTTCAACAGGTTTCACTGTATACTCCGTAGTGTAACATGTGTGACTCCCTAATGTTGGTTTAGACAGGTTTCACTGTATACACGTAGTGTAACCCGTATGTATAACTAGTGTTGGTTTAGACAGGTTTCACTGTGTATACGTAGTGTAACCTGTATGCCCCACTAGTGTTGGTTAAGACAGGTTTCACTGTATATACGTAGTGTAACCTGTATGCCCCCCTAGTGTTGGTTTAGACAGGTTTCACTGTATATACGTAGTGTAACCTGTCTCCCTTGTGTTGGTTTAGACAGGTTCCAGCCAGCCACTGTTCACGCTCAATGTTGCCTCAGCAAGCCCGTATGGTCACCCTAAATTTCACCCCTGATAAGTCATACTTATAGACCCAGTTTAACACCGGAATTCGTATATGTAACTTGGCGATAGAAGTTATACTTGACTTATTCAAATGGTTTATAGCGACGTCAACCTAGTCAATTAAAAGGCATTAGGCTGATGTTATGAAACCTTAGTTCACAACATTAAATAACATGCCAATATCCTTTGAGACCTAACTGAATGCTATGGAATTTACCCAAGTAATGCGGGCCTTAATTTCCTATCACCAGCTATGGAGAGGCATACATACTGGTCTCAAATCGAGATGGATGTTGCTACATGCGAAACCACAAAATCATAGTAAAATTCCGCCAGTCTTACGTTTTCTACACCCCTGGAATAGGTCAAGACGAAATCGAATGCACGCGGTTAGCTATTTGGCTGGTTTCAGGTTAAAAAAAGACCAATCGCTAGACTGATACCCGTCATTCGAAGTTTACAGAGGAGCGACATCCGACTTCAAAGCTGGTCGATTTCACCGTAAAACTACGGTCATCAACTACAGAACATTCGCTTTTGTCATGATATGTCACAGGGCTGCAGATTTTGTAAGAGAACGTAACTTCTGTAATTTTGAGGATGGTGTATCATTGTCACGATCCACTAAGTAAGTAATGCTGTCGGACCAAGGTGTCCGATCCTGACCTAGGACAGTCCACATTCACATATACACAGTGTTTAAAGGATGAACAATAGTCTACAGAATCAGTGTGCCAATGACAATAGTCTACAAACTCAGTGTGCCAATGACGATCCGTAGACTACTTCCAAATGTAGACAATGTACACATGACGAAATACTTTCCAGACACATGACGTTAGTAGTGTACAAAAGACCAATCCATATATAAATGCATATATGACGTTGTACTGCTTGGTTCTGAAGAACACAACAAAACAAAATAATCCTGGGTCCACCTCCTCATATAATGACTAGAAAAACACAGAATATATTGTTTCTTTAGACGCCATCACTAGAAAGATGCGCATCTGTCACCAGTTTCTGTTTCGGAGGTTCACCTTAAGTAAAGGTGGGTTTTTTTGTGACACTTCTATCTTCGTAGAGCATAGAACGCCGTTTTCACGACTCCTTCGCCTACTGACTTAGCTGTAGCGGAATACCTTGACTTTGCCGCGGTCGAAACCGACCCAGAGGATGTTTTCGTTCTGGAGACTGATGGCTACAGGTCTAGCCTGGTCAATGTGCAATGTGCTGAGGTATCGTCCTTCCCTGTTTACTAGTAATAAGACTCGGTTGTTTCTATCTGCCACGATCATGTTGCCGCTTGCATCGAAGCACATGTCATATGGATCAAAGAACGGTCCTGACTTCTTCTTGCCAGCCGAATCACTCTTGTTGCCCCTGTACCGGAATTGGAGAAGGAGGTTGGAATCCATGACCATGACGTGTGGTTTATCGTCACCACCCCACTCCGGATCGTCTCCGTCGGCCACTGCAATGTTTCCTGACACCGGACACTGTGCGATGTGGCGTGGGAAAGTGACCATTTGTCGCTTCGTACGGTCGGTGGTAGTACGCTGAACAACTTCGCCTTCTGGTGTGTAAACCGTCACCGTTTTGTGTGTTCCCACCATCACTTTGTTGTCCCCGGTGATGCAGAGAGACAGTGGCAGGTCAGTGGAGTGGAACCTCACGCGCGGTGTCTTCTCAGATTGTCCCGCCTCCCGGATCTTGTAGTCGTCCTCGCTTGACACCCACATGTTGCCAGTGACTGGCGACAGACTTAGGTCGTCCGGACAAACTTTGAGTTCGCGCTTGTCTTTGACCTTGCCCTTCTTGTTTACAAGGAGGATTTCGTACGTGAATATGTCGAGAATCCACGTGTATGGTGTGTTGGCTACCGTATGAATCGAGTGGATATCGGTAGAGTGCTCGAACTCGGACAAACAGAACACTGTCCTGTTCCCATGATAAGGCATGTTCAGCATGCCCGATACACTCCCATCGAATATACCGGAAGCAGAGTCGTCAACAAAATCCTGCATTAACTTAGCAGCAGGATTCCCCAGAGCGGTCTGCTGATCAACTTCTGTTTGCTCGTCCGGCACGGTGAGTCCACCAAAGCTCTGCTCAATCTGGTCGAGGGAGAGCGACCCAGCGTTGAAGAAGGTCGACCGTATGGCTGGTGCTGTCGGCAGTTTCAGCGCACTGCTCACCTTTTTCTCCATTGAGTAAACTTGGGTAGGGTTACCCGTCTCTATCGTCTTCTGGCACTCGTGTACAGACAAGTTCAGTTCCGCGTACAACGCATGTAGCAGCTTCCGGTACTTCAGCATCTTCTCTTCGTTCTCTTTCTCGGTCTCCTCGCACTGTGCCACGAACTTGTTTGTAATTCTGTCAATTTCTTCCTTGAGTGTCTGACCCTGTTGGCGAATTTTCCCTACGAGTGCTCTGTACATCGTTTTATTCTCAGCCAGTTTCTCATTAGCGGACTCCACCTGTTTCCTTACCTTTGGAATGGCCGTTCTTTCAGCCTTGTCAATAAATGAACGTATGTTTTCTCTTTTTAAAGGAGCGACGTCAATAAGCTTGACCAATCCATGACGTTGATGTGTTGTCGTCACACAGTCCACACAGACCAGTGATCCTTCACAGTCTTCACAGACCAGCGTCACCTCGTGACCAGGATGATGTTGACAGTATATAGATCCATTGATCCTGACCGGAATCAGGGATCTTGGGGTTCGAACAGGCAGTTTCGACCGTTTCACAGGGTTCTTCATGGAAACGCTCTTCATCGAGGCGCTTTTTACGGACGCGCTCTTAACGGACGCACTCTTCATGCTTCTCAGCTGGAATGGTGTCGACCGCTTTGACATGCTGGGGTAAAATATCCCGACTTTGATACTGTAATGCAATATGTCACCTCCTTCGGCGGTTCATTTCGTCTGTTTGTCGTGTAGGTTATACATTGTATATTCACGTATTGTCTTAGCATTCATGGCCGCCGAGAACTGGCCAACATATTAGATCGGCGTGATAAATATATTAAAGCCAAATCAAACTTACCAATCACAAAGGCAGCTACTGCCACATGTTAAGTTTAACATATTGTGATATGACAAAGGCAGTTGTAGGAACAATGCTTCATTAAGCGATCGGTTTATGTCAGTGTGTGTGTATCTAGTTACGGTGAGGTTTACTGGGTCTGATCCCGACACATGGTCAATAGGAACACGTCATAATATTTTAATTACAGTTATATTATAGTGAATTCTAAAGTAATGTACACGTGCAGATATTAGTGGTCCGACAGCCAAAACTGTTAGAGAGGAGAAACTATTTGTTCAGCATTCATTACCAAAATAACCATAGTTGATGCTATGTTTCAGAACACGTAGAAAAAATAAAACTTTATTACATGGTTCGTGTAGTGTGACAGGAATGGGTGTGTAGAATAACGGGTATATGCATATCCATATTACCAATTATTTAACTTTTTGTTCTTCTCGGCATGCGTGTTTTAATGTTTTCGATCTATATACTGAATGGCCAGTAAAATCGAATAAGCTATACAAGTCAATATGGGCCTTTTAATTGTTACTTTTTGTCGGAAAGCGGTCAACCTGATTTTGACAAAACTTGGCAGGAATAACATTCTGTTAGTCCCGAATAAATATCGTTTGTTTTGGTCGATTTAAAATTCAAATAGCCGCCATGACTTTAAACTGACTGAACACTTCCAGACCTTACTCCCAAGTTGACAGAGGCAAATCAAAGTAGTTATTTTCTTTGCTTTTGGAAATAGTAATTAAATCGGTGTCTGCACGATATCTCGCTGGAAATCTATACACGATGTGTCCAAAGCTCTTGTGACGTCTGTATATGAAATATATTTACAGCATGCTACAACCATTAACGAAACTTCATAATTACACGCTGGATCTTATTACTGTCGCAGTGGATAATGACTGAACATTACTTCTCTCCCCATTTTACAGATGAGACATAAAATAAACAAAGCATCCAATTCACGATAAGTAAATAGTTTGGCCAAGTCCAATCATTGTGCTGTCCAAATGATCATGTCTTTATCAACGTCGTATTTCTTGGTCATTTACCAATTAATTTGGTCAGCGTTCACATGTCTACTCAAACTTCCTCTCTGAGTCCTTGGTGTCATGTTTCATTGAGCCCTGCTGATAGCACTGGGCAGGCCGTGTCTGGTGGTTATTATGTCCAATTAGTTCCCGTTACACTAAACAGCACAGGCTCTCGTGATTTATGATGGTGACGTCCATGTGGAATTTTGACTTTACAGTAAAGGTCCTAAAATGTAACACTATCTCAATAGTTCAGTTCTAAATATTGTCCTCCGATCACTGACTACTATATTATCTATATATTCTATTCGTTATACATGTGAGTAACTTTATCTAATAGTGAGTAAGGTGTCATTATGTCCTTTTGAACATAACTCACTGCTTTGCTAAACACTATTATACTTTTGTGAGAATACAAGGGTTTATTGTGCCCTTGGTAACAAAAGCTCACAAATACTCATGAATACACAAAATCTTAGCATAGGTTCGGTGGTGTCTTTCGTCGTGCGGACCTCCTGATACTTGGTTTATTATGGATACCTCTTTCTTCCTCCTCCACATGGCGTTGTTCCGGTGGTGGTGTTATAACTCTTTCGAAAAACGACGATTTTCTCGTAATTTGGTGATTTTCTCTTTCTGCTGTTACCATGGATCCTTTCTTAGATTTGATTCGGTATGGGGTTGCCAGCTTGTCATGTGTGTTGAGCGGTATTACCTACTTTGAGGTTTGACTCTGGAGCATGCCTTGTGCTGTCTGATCGCTCCTTCATATTTCGTTTCTTTTGTTTTCCGTTTCTCTCACTATGGATTTCTCCCACTATGGAATCGTCGCGAGTTTTGACTTCCATGCTCGGTATTTTTACGCGAATGTTTCGTCCAAACAGTAGTTCTGATGGCGAAACACCTGTTGTAGCGTGAGGTGTTGCTTGATAATTACGTAAGAAACGGAACAGTTCTTGTTTCCACACTCGATTTTCAGCATGAGCAGCGCAAATCGACTTTCCTAGAGTCCTCATGAAACGCTCTACTTCTCCGTTGGCGTGAGGCCATAGCAGTGTAACCTTTTGATGTTTGAAACATATTTCTTCCGCAAATTTCTGAAATTCGTTTCCGTTGAACGGTGGTCCATTGTCCGTTTTCAGCTTTTGTGAAATTCCAAACATTGCAAAAATCTTTTCTAGTACCGGTATAACAGTACGTGATGATACATTTGATAGTATCTCAACTACTGGATACCTCGAGTAGTCATCGACGAGTACCATTAAGTAGGATCCTGACGGTAACGGTCCTCAAAAACCAGGCTTACTTAGTAGTTGTCTGATGCAAGGCACGGAATACAGCCCTAACACATGTCCTGAACTTTTTTGTCTATATCGGGGAACTTTTTGCCGCAGTAATTGTTTTCACAATTCCCTGATGTCCCTCGTGGGCCAGCTCTATCGCTTGTTGGTGTAGAATGGTGGGCATTACCAATCTGTTTTCGCATAACAGCATCTCACCGTCACTTGTGGTAACAACTGTCAGATTACTGCGTACTCTTGACAATCTTTCCAGGGTTTTGCTGTCATAATTTTTTGTTTTTCATACTCCCGATTTGACGGAATGCATGACCATTTGAAGTTCCATATCCTTCTTAGTAGCCATACATATTTCGTGGAGTGTCATTGCCTTAGGTTCCGCGTTTGTTGCAATATAACGTATGTAGCTTTCTGCTATTTCAGAATGTTTACCGCTTTGTAAAATTGTTGGGTGACTTGACATATAGTCCGCGGCATTGGTTTTGCCTGGCTTGTATAAAACCTTGAAATCCTCTTGTTGAAGTCGTAATCTCCATCTCTCGATCCTTGCTGGTGGTTTTGATGTTGGATTGTTGAAGATACACTCTAGTGGTGTATGACCACTGATGAGCGTAATGTGTGTCCATAAAGGTACAGATGAAAATGTCCACAGCTCCACACTAAAACTAGTGCCCCTCGACTCTCAGTTTGTGAGTATCGTTGTTCAACATCTGTCAGAGCTCTGCATGCGTAAGCGATTATCTTTCCTTTTTGAGATAAGATAGTGCCTAATCCAACAGGACTTGCATCCCCTACAAGATGGTCCTGTTTAAGCTTTTCAAATGCTTTTTCGCTGACTGACTGTCCATTTCCATGGCGTTGTGTTTGTAAGACTTCTTTCTTAGTGGTTCCGTTGTAGTAGAATAGTTGGGTATGAATCGTCCAACGTAGCTTGTCATGCCTAGGAAGCTTCGCACCTCTGATATGTTTGTTGGAGTAGCTGCGTTCTTGATTGCTTCAACCTTTTTAGGGTCAGCCGATATTCCTTCCGCTCCAAATATGTACCCATAAAATTCTAGTTTTTTCTTGTTGAACTCGTACTTGTTTTTGTTAAGTGTTAAGTTATTTTCCTTTAACCTTCGGTAATGTTCGTAATGTATCTTGGAAAATTTCTGCTGCTGATAATATACCAAAACTCAGTTGTTTGTATCTTCGAAGTACAACGTGCGTTGTGAATGTTGCAATGTTTCGTGCCTTTTCTGTCAACTCAAGTTGATGATATCCTGCTCTGAGGTCTAGTTTGGAGAACATTTTTGCACCACTGATGTGTCGTTCTCTTTGTATAGCCTCATTGGGTAGTCTCATGTCTACACATATCCTTATTTCTCCAGGACTTTTTGGTTTGGGAGCCACGACAAATGGGTGAAACCCATGGTGTTGGTCCTGTCACTTTCTCAATGATGTCCAACTTTTCAAGTCGATCAAGCTCAGCTTCTACATGTTTCCGTACATGAAAGGGAACACGTATGTGTGGTTGAGCCACAGGTTTTACATTGTTATCAATGTGTATATCTACCCGAGTGTCTTTCAATTTCCCGATACCTTCGACTATGCAGGTGGTATATATCCAAGATGGCAGACATTTGTGAACAGGGGGGGTTGCTCGCAATTAAGCCCCTCCCTACTTTTGGTCCATGTTTTTTCACTAGGGGTGGAGCTTATCTGCGGTCAAATACAGTACTCTGAAAAGGCAGCACCATGCCAGGGAAAGGTTTTCGGTCGATCACGGAACACTAGAGAACGCCTGCAGACAGTAGAACTCGCTGGGCTATTGATCTTAATTCTTATACTCCAGTCCTTTTCTACCTAGGGAGGAATTTGCTAATTGTCCTGTATTGTAGCAGACTTGATTATCAGTTGCGTATTTAGGTGTAATGTATAAGGTTTGATGTATAAGGCGTAATGTTTGCTTAACTCATTCACCCCTGAAATTTCATAATGAACTATTCCGTCCTTTTAATAGGAAGAGTTCAAAAGTGTCTTCGGGGGGAATGGGTTAATGAGTTTTGTGATATTTACAGAATACTTCTCTTTTAAAATACAACGAAAATATAAAAATATGTTAATTGTTTTATTTGTTCTTTTCTTTAAAAAACAACAATAAAATACAAAACATATCACATATATAACTTGTTGTCAACAGTACTCCACCTGCACAGCTTAATCACAAACACTCTCTGGAAGATAACTCCTCCTACTGACACAAACCACAGAGCTAGGGCTGTGACAAAACATCAACAACATAAATTCGAAATTGAGTTATCCATGATTGAGAATTAAAAAGTCATTGAAAGGATATTTTGAACAAACTTCACATGAATGGTTTGGTTATAGTGGTTCTTCTGCTCTTGACTGAACACAGAATATGTAGCTGGTACATTTGATGTGGGTACATAAACTGTAATTTCAATTTACGTGTATAAACTAATATAATAAAGTCATACCCTGTTTGTGAGACAACAACTATGGCACTGCTTTGGTGAAAATGTGTTTTACCTAATCCCCAGTGTATATAACATCAAAACTCAAGGTTTCTCTGTACAATATAATAGTCTTCACTTCAGACCAAGTACCTGGCTAGGCGATATTTGTTAGAATTCTAACATATGTTGACATAGACACAAATCATTTATTTAAAATATTGTAATGAAATGGTTTGTCTCCGTCAACATGATGTGAAGAGATTGTTTAATATCCACATATAATCTCAAACATCAAAATAACTTACTGCATGAATATTAGATACATATTTATGTAACAGAGGTCATTATTATTTCAATGCCTCTGCTAGGAGTCGAACCAGGGATCTCTGGCTTACTAGTCTAACGCTCTACCAAATGAGCTAAAGAGAAAATCTCCCTAGCCGAGTCGGTAGGAAGCGGGTAGTATTTTACCAAGGTGACATTTGAATAACATGTATATTGATTTAATTACCTTCCTCTAAAAGTGTCCCATAGTTGGTACTTCATAGTTAACATGGCTGATAAATGTAATTCTGAATTTGTTCGTATCACAATCCTGGTTTGGTATGTGCCCTAAGTAGGGATAACTAAGTAGGGATGATCATAGCTCATAGCTTGTTATTGTGTCATGCGGATTATTAACATATAAGTATGTTCTGTGATCACATTGACACAGGAATCTATCTTCTTTGTGTAATTACTGTATCCTTACTTAATAGGGACACAGAAGTCTATCCACTTTATGTAATTACTGTATCCTAACTTAATAGGGACACAGAAGTCTATCCACTTTATGTAATTACTGTATCCTTATTTAATAGGGACACAGGAATCTATCCTCTCTATGTAATTAGTCCCCTACCAGTTCCCGTTTGTCCGGGGCATATCTTCTATACTTTTTCATCTGGAGTAACCAGATTTGGTGAACAAGGACATATTGGGATAGTGGAGTGCGGAGTACAATATTTAGGTTACTATGTCCTCACTGTGACCTACGCTTTGATGTTTGACCCTAACTTTTGAAAAAGTTTGTTCGCGCTATATCTTCTATACTATTTACCCTGGAGTAAGCAGATTTGGTGTACAAGGACATCTTGAGATGGTGGAGTGCAGAGTGCAAGAATTAGGTCACTGAGACCTATGACTTGAACTTTAACCTTTACTTTTGAAAATGTTTGTCCTGGGCATATCTTCTATACTTTTTCATCTGTAGTAACCAGATTTGGTGTACAAGGACATGTTGGGATGATGGAGTGCAGAGTACAAGAGTTAGGTGACTGTGACCTATGACTTCTGACATAAGTGTACTTTTTGTTAAATATAGAAATCATTACCGGTGGGGGACTGTGGTTTGCCTTCCAATACTTTGCCTTGTTAATACAGACTCACATATTCTGTAAATCCATTTTGCGAATTAATGAATTTAAACTTAGAATGGGGCTGCCATGTTTGCCATATTAAAACTCTTATAGCAATCCAGAATGATATGCACTATGATTATCTGTATGATGTACTATATGTCATTAAATGACTGCTTTGATTACGTTACAAAGGTAGTTCTCATAAGCATGAGTATAAACTACACACAGTACAAAAATGGATATCAGCTGCAAAAAAACCTTATTGGCACAAGAATTGGATAAGAAAGACATGGTTGAAAACTACCTGAAAAGTGGTTATAAACTAAAAAGGAAATGGTTATCAGCTTCAAAAAGGTGTTGTTATCACTTGCACACTGTAAAGTAGTTCTCATATACAACTGTACAGAGGAACAGGTTACACCTCATTTACTTTGTGATATCTCCGTTTATGGTTCTCATTTGTCACAATAGGTAAATATAATTTTTCCAATCTTGCAACCCTCATTCTTAGAAACTTCAATAGATCACCTTTTAAAGAATTGCATCAAAAATGAAATAACAAATTGCAACTCTTAAGATACACGATATAATTTCCATTTTCACAATATAATTCATCACCATTGCAAATATATGTATCTATAAAATCTCTATACACATGTATCGATAAACAAGATATCTATATATAGCATTCTAAAAAATAAGATATCAATACATATATATCTAAAACAAAAATTAAATAAAACAAATATATGTATAAGTATTTTTTAACTTGCATTTGTATCTATAATAAAAAAGACTGTACAAACTATATTGTACAGCAAGTATCAGCACTATTACATAGTCAATACAGGCTATATTACATAGTCAATACAGGTTATATTACATAGTCAATACAGGCTATATTACATAGTCAATACAGGCTGTATTACATAGTCAATACTGGCTGTATTACATAGTCAATACAGGCTATATCACATGGTCAATACAGGCTATATTACATAGTCAATACAGGCTGTATTACATAGTCAATACAGGCTATATCACATGGTCAATATGGACTATATTATATAGTCAATACTGGCTATATTACATAGTCAATACAGGCTGTATTACATAGTCAATACTGGCTATATTACATAGTCAATACAGGTTATATTACATAGTCAATACAGGCTATATTACATAGCCATTATGGACTATATTACATAGTCAATACAGGTTATATTACATAGTCAATACAGGCTGTATTACATAGTCAATACAGGTTATATTACATAGTCAATACAGGCTATATTACATAGTCAATACAGGTTATATTACATAGCCAATATGGACTATATTACATATCACATTATCATACTTTAGAATATTTTGGTGTTCAAAATGGATGATTACATGTTGTCCATAAAATTTTGGCGTTTGGTGATCCTGTTTGCTAAATTTTGGTGCTTTCCGATACCATCAGTCTATTCCATTACAGTAGTTGTGCGATTAAAAGAGTTGTTTTCAAATCTTATAATTATACAATTTATTGCATTAAGTTTCACCTGGCGAGGAGAGCACATGTTTGTAAGATCACTAACAGCTTTACTTACATGTACCCTATAGTGAAGTGACTTACCTGTATACACTTGAACACAAGTAATACAAAAACATATATGAAAACATTGAAAAGTTATGACACCTTCAGATTAAAAAATACCTTTATTAACCTGTTATTTTTCGAGTGTGTTATTCCTGCCTTAAAAATAAGCTATTTAGTCTCAAACACTCCAAACACCAAATAAACCAAAATATATTCACATCCAAAATATCCAACAGTACAGTGTCGGTTCAGCTTTTAATGTCTGTTTCTCAAGCTGATTTTTACAAACAGATATGATGAAGACAAAACAAAAATAACAATCTACAAAATACAAATGTTTGTGTTATTTTCTTTTGATTTGGCCCTTTAACCTTGACCAATGACATACAAATCTAATAAATTAAATCTATGTTACAATACATGTCCTACAGTGTAAATATAAACTAAATCTGCTGAGGAATTCATGAGCTATCTATACACAAACTTTTCTATGGACAGACAGATGAACTGAAAAAGTGATTACTATACAGTGTAACCCTTCTACTAAGTAATGGTATAAAATAAAATAAAATATTTTGAATTTCGTTATAAAATCTCATTTGACCTCTAGACTTTCAAACCATTGGCATCTGCTATATTTTGTTGTCATTTTATTAAATCCATGCCCTCACCTTATAAACTGGTAAAAAGTACCAAAATTTATTTTGTAATCAACAGTGTTATCTACTACTATACAGATATTATCACGAGTCTTTGTTACAACACAACAGATGACAGCAAAGACATGCCCTATGACACAAACCTTCCTGTTTCTCCTGGGGAGGAAGCTGTGACCTTGCAAAATTAATGAACACCTGCTCCAAAGTTGTCTGACTCACCGAATAGTCCTCAATATTGAAGCGATTCTTTGCTGCCTCCATAAGCTCAAAGATGTCAGCCCAGGATAGTTCCCGGTTGTTGATGTGGTAGTGTAGTGACCCCTGATGAATGTCTTTGAGTTCATAACCGGGGAAGTTTTCTTCAATGTAGGTCATGAGTGGGCGCACTGGTGCCAGTTCTCCCTCCGGTGTGTATCCTACCTTGGCCAGCAGAGTGTATCCCTCACCAAATCTGTGTTTCAGATGCTGGGTACTGCCCAGACACTTAAACTGACCATTCACCATGATGGCCAGTCTGGTACACAAGGCTTCACACTCCTCCATACTGTGAACAAAGGTCACAACCATATCAATAGAGGTCATAAACTCATCTATTGAGGTCACATTCTTATCAACATTATTCACAACCTTATCAACAGAGGTCATAAACTTATCAACACAGGTCACAACCTTATCATCACAGGTTATAACCTTATCTATTGAGGTCACAATCTGATAAACATTCTTCACAACCTTATCAACAGAGGTCACAACCTTATCAACACAGGTCACAACCTTATCTATTGAAGTCACAGCCTTATCAACAGAGGTCACAACCTTATCTTTTGAGGTCAGAGTCTAATAAACAGTAGTCATAACCTAATCAACAAAGATCACATCCTTATCTATTGAGGTCACAACCTTATTAACAGAGGTCACATCCTTATCTATTGAGGACACATTTTTATCAACAGAGGTCACAACCTTATCTTTTGAGATCACAACAATATCAACAGAGGTCACAACCTTATCTTTTGAGGTCACAACCTTATCAACAGAGGTCACATCCTTATCTATTGAGGACACATTTTTATCAACAGAGGTCACAACCTTATCTTTTGAGATCACAACAATATCAACAGAGGTCACAACCTTATCTTTTGAGGTCACAACAATATCAGCAGAGGTCACAACCTTATCTTTTGAGGTCACAACCTTATCAACAGAGGTCACATGCTTATCTATTGAGGTCAAAGCCTTATCAACACAGGTCACACCCTTATCAACAGAGGTCACAATCTGATAAACATTAGTCACAACCATATCAACAGAGGTCATATTTTTTTCTATTGAGGTCACAAATTGATCAACAGTAGTCACACTTTTATCAACAGAGGTCATAACCTTCAACAGAGGACACAATCTTATCAACAGTGGCTACATCATTATCTTGGGTATATTGGCACTTTCACCCCAAAAGTGGGGAGACAACTGGATACAAATTTGAGGTCAATCAATATAAAACCCTGCCGTACCAAATATGAATGAATTTGGCTAAAAATGTGGACATAATAATTTGTATATGAAGAAGTACCAATGGAACAAACAAAAACTAAAACCAAACAAAATGAATGATTTCACAGTAGATTGTATAGGAATAGACTACTGACCTGTGTGAGGTTAGTATTAGTGTCCTCCCGGAGTCCCTCACACTTGATAGTGTGTCCCACAGGTAGCGTCTTGCTACAGGGTCCATCCCTGTTGTTGGCTCATCAAGGAATATCACTTGTGGGTTACCCACCAGAGCTATGGCCGTGCTCAGCTTCCTCTTATTTCCCCCACTGTGAATATAAATAGGGGAAAACCTTACACCTATAGTTATATGATAAGGTTATGGTTATCAGGTGGAACCTTGCTGGAAAGTAGGCCTGGCTAGAATTCACATTTGTCTGGCATGGATGTACAGTTGGCTTAAGACATCATTCTAAAGAGTACTTTATCTTGTTAGAAGTGTATTTAAGCTATAATCTAATGGATAACTGTTTTGAAGCAAACAATCAATATCTGCATAATTTAATTAATTATTCAGGTCATATAGAGCACAGTGACCTTGTGACATACTGTTTCATTGAACGGGGTTGTAGGTCATAATACTGTGAAGATGAGGATGAAGACAGGATGGTGCTTTAAGGAAAGAGTTGAGGGGGAGAGATGATGGGAGAATTTTAATGCTGTAAGTGGGGGTTAAGGGGGAGAGAGGGGGGAAGAAAATAAAACATGTGTTTTTTTAAAGTTACACTTACCTGTATGCATTAACAAGCTTATCAGCATGTGCTTTCAGTAGGAGCATATCCAGGAGACTGTCGACAACTCCAGAAATCAGGGACTCCTGTACACCTCTCAGGCGAGCGAACATATACAGCGTCTCCTTTCCGGTCAATTGGTCAATCAGAGCATCATACTGGGGACAGTACCCAAGGTTTTGCCTCACCTACAGTAACAAGTCACACTTAACAAATTTCTAACCTACATTAACAATTAGTCACTATTAACCAGTCATGATTAAGAAATGTCTAATCTACAATAATAACACAAACAATAGTCTCACTACAGTAACATTCTACAATCAACAAATATATAACCTACATGACAACTATAATAAGTATAATTATGACTCTCAAAACAACATGAAAGATTACTGTAGGCATATTCATGATAATTATAGGCATATTAAGTTCTATTATAAAACGTCTTGATGACTTTATGATTACCTTTGTAATGTCACTCTTGATGTCGTAACCTCGCAGGTAGGCTTCCCCTGAAGTCATAATCTCATCCCCGGTCAATGTTTTGAAGGTGGTGGTTTTTCCTGCCCCATTAATACCAAGAAGTCCAAAGCACTCGCCCTGAGGGATCCCCACACTGATACGGTCAACAGCAAGCTTGGTCCCATAGTACTTGGTAAGCTCTTTAATAACTAGAGAGTTCTCCCAACATAGTTGGTCTGTGTTGGTATTAGCAAGTCTGGCTCGTTCAGCTGCCACGTCTGTGTCTTCATGGACCAGTGTGTTGTCTGTATACAGCCGTGTGTGGAGTCCTGTGGCTTGTTGTATGAGGAGGGGGGTAGTCTCACTTTCAGCTCCACTCCTGTTGGTGTGCTGGTCACGGTGACCGAGGAGGTAGAGGAAGCGCAGGGAGAGCCCTGATTCTAGAAGCAGGATTATGTTGAAATATATGACACCTTGTATGAACATGAACACCAACATACGGCCTATCCCGCCCTGGTCCCAGCTCAGGTAGTCGTTCTGGTAGTAGATGCATCCACTCGGCCCACAACTCCCCGTAGTTGCTGAAATAAAACAAAAGAAATCTGAGTAAGCTAAATACATGGTACTGAATTATATTGATCAAGAACTTGTTTCAAGTTAATATATATTTGATGTGACTTTCTTGTTACTGATAAAATCAGGGAATTTTTCTTCTTACCTCCACAACAGGGGTTAGGGAAGATTGGACAGAAGACAGTGATATTAGGACAGATGTTGAGGTATTCATGATTAGCGTAGTAGTCAGACAGGCCCTGGGCCAGGCAATAGTTGGGTAGCAGCACCAGGAACACCCACTCTAGAGCATGGGACAGATCCTCCAGGTTAAGCTCCGGGATTGACAGGATACCAACTGCTAATAGTGTCGCCACACCTAAAAAGGAACATGACTAGTTATATTTCTCATCACTAACAGTGCTTCCACACCTTTAAAAGGCTCACAAATAAGATGACCACAACTAATACTATTGTCACGCCTACTAAAGGGAGACAACTATATTTAAAAAGACCCCATTGCTAAAAGCATTGCCAAACCTACAGAGGGAAGACCACTTTGTTGTTATGACCCCCATTCTGTCTTGTAAGACCACCATGTTGATAAGATTCCAAAATTCCTCAGAATTTACATATAATAAAGAAGAAACAAGCTCATTTCTTTTCCTGATCAAAATTTGTGGATTTATTTCCATAATTATCACTATATATATATATTAAGAAACTTACATCATCGTTTTATTAAGATTATCAAACTCTAAACTATATCAAATGATAATTATTTAGCATCAAACGGTCAAACATACCTGCAATTATGTTGAACATAGTAAGCCAGACGTAGCCTGTAGCAGGCTGGGAGAAAAGGAAGGATAAGAGATACATGAAGGGCAACATGGCCCAGCCATACAGCAGGAACAGCAGCAGAATGTGAGCTATGTGGTCATCCAATATGAACGCTTCAATATCAAATGCCCAGAATGTAACTAGGATGCACAGGCTTGGCATGAGGTAGTTGATTACATCCCAGCAAAAAGTTGATGCCCAGAAGTTAAGGGAGCCAACACCACTGACAAACTGTATATGTTTGGACTTGGTGGCACGCTCTTTGATAATGAAAACAACAAAACTACTGGCCAAGAAGGACATCCCAAACACAACATTGAAAGCAACCATGAAGCCAGTGGTACCCTGAGTTATCTGCTGTTTAATCTTCTCTGCGGTGGTGCGAGGGAGCGGGTGGTTAATCGTGGTGATGGAGAAATCTGAGTTATTTGTGACATACTGGATCATCGCGTTGCTAAGTGCCGCCAATGATATCACCGGGGAATGATAGGATTGGTCATTGAAATAAGCTGTAGCCTTGACCTTATCTGACCCAGATAACTGTTGGAAATCAGCCGCCACCATATAGTGGAGATTGTACAGGCCAATGCTTTTTTCTCCTGTGTCCACCAGGAATTCTATAATGTCCGATGTAGCGTTATATCCCGGCTGAGCATTCACATGAGTCACAGTTTCTGTAGAACTTTGATCAAACTGATTGCTGTAGAATTGACTGATGTTATCACTAAAGTTACCAGGACTGTTTCTGTACACAATGGTGTTGGCCCCAAATCTGTCTGTGGTGAGCGTAAGTGGTGGGAGGTCCTCGGGACCAGGAAATGTCTTGATAACAATCAGAGCCATGAGGGTGAAGAATAGTGGTACAACCAGCTGACTGACTGTTACCAGTTTGTTACGGACTGTGTGGAGAGCTCGCTTCACAAACATGGCCCAAAACTGCTGTAATGTCAGCATACCATGTACATTGTATTTTATGTTAAAATCTGAAAAGATACAAAAAGAATGTTCCTATTTCATATATTCTAAATTTCACAGGGGTTTAAATCCTAAACAAACAGTTGTAGATTTTAATTCTAAATGTGTAAGTCCTGAGTAAAACTTCATTAGGTACATAATGCTGTGATCTGAACAATTTTCACTTACAACATACAAAATAGAACAGCCACCCAATATTGATAATGGAAAAGTTCAACCAGTAGTCAAGTGAGGAAGCAAGCTTTTTTACCCAGAGCGAGACTGTCCCGCCTGAAGGATGAAGAGGTATCCAAACTGAACCCATTCTGTGGGTGTATCATCTTCGGCTTTCCCCTCAGCCTGTCTGTTACAGAGCTGCTGTTGTTCTGTCCTACCCTACAAAGCCAAAGCAGCTATGTTACAATCTGTAGTCTGATATAAATATCAGCCTTGTAGACTTGGCTTTTAGATACTTGCTTTGACACTCTAGGAATCATGGTAACAATATCTTCATTTCGACCGATGGTAAATTTTTTAGTCTGTGCTTTGATACAAAACTCAAACAGAAAAAAAAGACAGAGAATGATGTTTGGTTTGTGTCTAAAATCTGAAATACAAATGAGAACATAGATTTGTACCTTAGAAACACTTCCTCCATGGTAGTGACGGATGCTCCGTAGCTTGCAATACCAAGATCATCCTTGTTAGTTTCCATTTCTCTGAACATGTCAGAGAACCTGTAGGAACTCTCCTGCTGAAGTATGTAGGAAAGTTCGGCTGCAATATTACTCTCTATCTCAGCCACTGGTACATATGTCCTAATTAACTTTGTGATAGTGTCCACATCACAGTTTGGCTTCTTCACTATGACCATGTGGTACCCAGCCCCTGTGAAACATAGGATATGCTAAAAATGTCCAATACCTGACAGCAGTCTAATAGCTAACGTCACAACTGAAACAATTCAATAATATCACATTTTATAGTTGGAATAAAGGCGTTACATTATAACAAACTGTTACTGTAGAAAGTTTTCTTTTAACTGTTTTTATGACAAGATTTGATAGAAAACGATTCAGGTGTGTGGAGGAAATTCTAGTCAGGTTTATAATGGGTTAGAGCCCAAACCCTACACATGAGATCGGAATTTATATATCCTCTATTCTGACATTATTATGTGTGGGTTATCTTTATCAAATCTCACCTGTTGATACTATTCAAGTATTTGTTAAAAAAATTGACTAGAAAATAAAAAAATTATCAACATATTCTTACAGTATGAAAATATATAAACATGCTAATGTTATGCATACCTCTACAGCCCTAGTACCCAGGACTATACACACAAATCCCCTGGCAGAGATATGTGGATCTGTAGTTAAATGATCACTTACCATATTTGTTTTTGAGAAACAGTGAGCTTCCACAGCACTTGACGACTCCATCAGCCATGATGGCGATCCTGTCGCCCAGGACATCAGCTTCATCCATGAAATGGGTGGTCAGGAGTATTGTCCTACCTGCTCTGTGTTTTTGAAGAACTGTCCAAATCTGTCGCCGGGCATCTGGGTCCAACCCTGACGATGGTTCATCAAGAATGACAATCTGTAACCAAACAATGCAAATTGTTATGAAGCATAATTTTCGGACAGATCAAATATCAGGTTAAAGCTATGAAATCATGATTTGTTGTCACATATTACAGAGTCTGACATATAGTGTTTGAGTGGTACTACACTATTGGATACAGTCATTGATGACACCTCTCTTTGACACTATAAACAAAATCTTCATACACAGAATTATGAAAAAAAAATACCTCAACCCCATAAGGCTTTACTGGTGTTGAAAAATTACAATAACATTCAGCTTTATGAACAAAGAGTGATAGTTGACCTTTGATCCTGCTATGAGAGCAATGCCGACAGAGAGTTTGCGTTTCATGCCACCGGAGAGCTTGGTGCTCCTCACATGTCTCTTGTTTTCAAGTTTGATGCTTTCAATCATCTCATCCACAGCACTGGTCACCTCACTAGATGGACAGCCCTTCAGCTGGAACATATTATACTTCTTTATAAACATTTTAACTCATCTATAATAGGCACCTTTAGGACAACAAACAAGTTTTTCTGTCTAGTTTATTTAATCTCCCAACATTTATACAAAGACAATTATAGGTCGCATTACTTTTGAAGGAATTAAGATTGTTTAGAAACTATTTCAACTAATGTTGCAGAAAATGTCAACCTGATGTTGCAATTCATCGTCTGTTTTTTAAACAACTTTTGAAAATCTCCTTACCAAAAGAACAGTCAACACATGCGAGAATCTTCAAGTATACATGGTAGATGGACCAACAAGTGAGAACTTTAAAATTCAAACTAGATGAAAATTGTGGGAAAAACATAGACAAAATGTGTTTAAAAGACTCTTTACAATTATGATTTAATGTACATGTGGATTGTGTTTGCAACGAACACACCACCTTTAATTTTATAATAGCTTTACTTCATATTTTACCATGACAATGAATACAAGCCTAAGTAGGATAATGATTTGACTACAAACCTTAGCAAAGAACCAGAGATGTTCCTGGACTGTCATAGTGTCAAACAGAATGTCATGTTGAGGACAAAGTCCAAGACTATTCCTAACACTGGCTATGTCCTCTCGAATGTCATAGCCATTCACGTTAGCCGTGCCACCAGTCGGGGGGATGAACCCTGAAATGTAACCAATCTGGAGTTTAGTTCTAGCATAGCTACATTACTTTCTATGGTGGACTATCATAAGTTATTTCATCTGAAAAGTCCAACAGCATAAACAGTTTTAAATAGCAGATCCTGAGACATGAAATCTGGCTACCTATATGATACTAACTATGTTAATGTCACCAAAATAACTCTCTACTTAAATAGCAGATCCTGAGACATGAAATCTGGCTACCTTTATGAAACTAACTATGTTAATGTCACCAAAATAACTCTCTACTTCAAACTGTATTAGTATGACACCCAGTCTTGAGATCATATCATCTGTTCGTATAAACATTGACCTGTTCCTGTAACCCTGCTAATACACCTGTTAACACTGACATTGACCTGTTAACACTGACCTTGACCTGTTAACACACCTGTAAACACTTACCTTGACCTGTTAACACATATCTTTACCTGTTAACATTGACCTTGACTTGTTCTTTTACACACCTGTTAACTATGACCTTGACTTGTTCCTTTACAGACTGATAACAGTGACTTTGATCTGTTCATTTACACACCTGTTAACACTGACCTTGATCTGTTCCCTTACACACATTGATAACAGTGACCTTGATCTGATCCTTTACACACCTGTTAACACTGACCTTGATCTGTTCCCTTACACACATTGATAACAGTGACCTTGATCTGTTCATTTACACACCTGTTAACACTGACCTTGACTTCTTCCTTTACACAACTGTTTACACTGACCTTGACCTGTTCCTGAACACAGATGTTAACACTGACCTTGACCTTTTCCTGTACAACGCTGTTACCACTGAATTTGACCTGTTCCTGTACACACATGTTAACACTGACCTTGATCTGTTCCTGTACACAGCTGTTAACACTAACCTTGATATGTTCCTTCACACATCTGTTAACACTGAACTTTACCTCTTCCTGTACATACCTGTTAACACACTTGTTAACACTGACCTTGACCTGTTCCTTCACATAACTGTTTACACTGACCTTGACCTGTTAACACTAACCTTGACCTGACAACACTGACCTTGACCTGTTAACACTGACCTTGACCTGTCAACACTGACCTTGACCTGTCAACACTGACCTTGACCTGTTAACACTGACCTTGACCTATTCCTTTGCACATCTGTTAACACTGACCTTGACCTGCTTTTGTACACACTTACCTTGACCTATTCCTTTGCACACCTGTTAACACTGACCTTGACCTGCTCCTGTACACACTTACCTTGACCTAATCCTTTGCACACCTGTTAACACTGACCTTGACCTGCTCCTGTATACACTTACCTTGACCTTTTCCTTTGCACACCTGTTAACACTGACCTTGACCTGCTTCTGTAACACCTACCTTGACCTATTCCTTTGCACACCTGTTAACACTGACATTGACCTGCTCCTGTACACACTTACCTTGACCTATTCCTTTGCACACATGTTAACACTGACCTTGACCTGCTCCTGTACACACTTGCCTTGACCTATTCCTTTGCACACCTGTTAAAACTGACCTTGACCTGCTTCTGTACACACTTACCTTGACCTATTCCGTTACACATCTGTTAACACTGACCTTGACCTGCTCCGGTACACACCTGTTAACACAGACCTTGACCTGCTCCTGTACACACATGTTAACACTGACCTTGACCTGCTCCTGCACACACTTGCCTTGACCTATTCCTTTGCACCCCTGTTAAAACTGACCTTGACCTGCTTCTGTACACATCTGTTAACACTGACCTTGACCTGCTCCTGTACACACTTACCTTGACCTATTCCTTTACACACCTGTTAACACTGACCTTTAACTGCTCCTGTACACATCTGTTAACACTGACCTTGACCTGCTCCTGTACACATCTGTTAACACTGACATTGACCTGCTCTTGTACACACTTACCTTGACCTATTCCTTGACACACCTGTTAACACTGACCTTTACCTGCTCCTGTACACATCTGTTAACACTGACCTTGACCTGCTCCTATACACACATGTTAACACTGACCTTGACCTGCTCCTGTACATACCTGTTAACATAGACATGGTAGTGGTTTTGCCCGCTCCATTGTGTCCCAACAGTACAGTTATCTGACCATCATACATGTCCAGGGACATCCCAGCAACAGCAATATTCCGCTTCTCATCTTTACCAAACTCCTGTGTAAACACAAATACATGTTTCTATCAACAAAAGATCCTTGCACACACTTGTATAATCAAATCTACCACATTCATCCAAAAATGTTATTTTTCTTACATGAAAGGAACAGATAAGTAGACATACAATTCCGAGCATCCATTAAATTATCTTAAGTTAGGAGAGGAGAAAATAAAGTGAATAATTATACAAGACCAAGTGATAATTTGTTTGACACAGTGAAAGCTAATGGTGTGCCAACCTTTCTGAGGTTGCGTATCTGTATCCCTGCTGGTATGCCATGAGGGTCAGACTCAAAGTAATCAGGGTCCTGGCCAATACAGATTCTCTTGTCATCAGGAATGTCCTCAACAGCCGAGGTACCGCACCAGTAGTTCCTCTACAACAGTCGAGGTCACACAACATTTTAAACCAGTATGACCACTTTTATACTTTAAATCTGTACGATAAATGTCATTCACAGACCTGCTAAATACAAAACTCAAAGTGCTGATGAATACAGCACTAGAGAAGAAGCTTTTATTTCTTTTTACTTCACCCTTACTTATGCTCTATTAGTCTCATCCCCACATTTAAATATATCTGGAATTTTCTAGTCCTTCTATAGTCAAGTTTGACCTTTAACAGAGACGTGATAATGTTTCATGAGAAATAAGTCTCCCTGTGATTTAATGTGAAAATTTATCTTTCATGAAAATAGAAGAATTTATAAGGTTACCAGGCCAGGGTTGTTGATTTTATGTACTGGAGAGTAATATGTATGAGTAAAAATTATTATAAGTAGTAGTATACTCACAGTAATAAAGAAGTACCAGGGTTGAGGGACACCATACTCGCCAGGAAACACAGCCTCCAAATACAATGTAATGAGGCTGTATACCACTGAGTCGACCACCAGCATGATCATTATGTGAGACATTGCAAAGGTGTCGTCTACAGATGCACCCTTAGTGAAGTTGTCCCACTGCACTCCAGTGCCTATATATAAAAAATTTCAACATAGACTGATTGTCAAAGTTCAAAAAACAAATTGATTTTAAGGATCAAGGCAGATAATTAAACTTAGTATTGATATAAATAATATTAATATAAACTTAATAGCATTGAAAAGCAAAGCCTTGTCTGAGGGACTGACTACCAGCCCCATGTAATGTTTTCATTCCTATACTGTATACCTAACAGGAAATTTTCACCCAGTAAAATTTTTGCCTTTCAATGGTAAAATCAATTTTTACACAATATTAAAATTAGCCATTCACCTTTAATTATTATGCATATTTTGTTGTTAACAAATGATCGTTGTAATGATATATTTGTCCTCATTACGAAGGGCTAAAAAGGTGAAAATTAAACAGCAGCGAATATTTCCTGGTATACAGTATACCAGTACCTGTGCCTTCAAACATGCCAATGACTGCTCCCCCGTATGCCATCGCTATGTTAGATACAGCACATGCAGCTATCTTCTGTCCCCAGGTAAATGTGTTGTAGCGAGGCTCCAGAAAAAAGTATGGTACGTAGGAGATGAAGAAGAGGATGCCACCCGCTGCAGCTCCAGAATTAGCTGTTGATGAAGACAAGTTATTCTTATGCTACAGTTTGTAACTAGTTCAGCCTCATCAATCTTATAACATTAAAATGTATTTTGTATTTTAGCAAGTTAAGTATTCATATTAACAAGTTTTCACAAAATTTCTTATTTGCTGCCTTAGTAATCATTCCGTGCTGAATGTATCAGGCACAATCACATCCTTTACAACAATATGCTTCCTTTTTAACAAAATTTCTTATTTGCTGCCTTAGTAATCATTCTGCACTTAATGTATCAGGCACAATCACATCCTTTACAACAATATGACAAACCATAGTGCTCTCAACTTGTTTAAACAAGACTTACCTTTCTTGAAGAAGACACTTATGGCAAAGCAGAAGGAAATTGTTGCAATGGCATACAGCAGAAGAAAGACAAAGAGCAGTGAGGGGTCGGTAAGACCAATGACTCGTCCTTTGTCTGTTTTCACACAGAAGAATACTGTCATGATGGACACAGTGACCAACAAGAACAGGAAGTACTTGGTGAACCAGGCAGACCAGTGCAGCCAGTTACTCACACCCATCATCTTCATCGACTCCTAACAAGTTAAATAATACAGTGACTCAGACACATCATCTTCATCGTCTCCTAACAAGTTAGATAATACAGTGACTCACACCCATCATCTTCATCAACTCCTAACAAGTTAAATAATACAGTGACTGACACCCATCATCTTCATCGACTCCTAACAAGTTAAATAATACAGTGACTCACACCCATCATCTTCATTGTCTCCTAACAAGTTAAATAATACAGTGACTCTGATCCATCATCCTCATCGACTCCTAACAAGTTAAATAATACAGTTACTCACACCCATCATCTCCATTGTCTCCTAACAAGTTGAATAATACAGCGACTTAGACCCATCACCTTCATCGACTCCTAACAAGATAAATAATACAGTGACTGACACCCATCATCTTCATCGACTCCTAACAAGCTAAATAATACAGTGACTAACACCCATCATCTTCATCGACTCCTAACAAGTTGAATAATACAGTGACTTAGACCCATCATCTTCATTGATTCCTTATAAATGTTACAATAAAATGATTTAGAACCATCTTCTTCACTGACTCTTATCAAGTAAGGCAATAAAGTAACTCAGATCTATACCCATCACCCTTTTTTTAATCCTTTTAAGATGATAATACAGTTACTTAGTTCTCAGTCACTTCTACCAGGTCATTTCAGCATTCTATGGTAAATGCATATGTTAATACACAGACAATATAATATTATACAGTAATAAGGTATCATGTTTTACATGGAACAAAATAAGTTCAGCAACTAGTAAAAGTTTACATAAGGATTTTTTTTATTTCATGAATATAAACTATTTTTGTTTTTATGATTAGTAGTATTTAATCATTTATAAACAAAATTAGCCAATTATTAACAATCTCAAGTCTGGACACTGTGTATCTGTGGACATGAATTGTTCTGCTAAAAACATTGTTGTAGTAATGGAACAATTAAAGCTTCAACAACTTCCACAACACTGGGATTTCAGTTAGGTTTTAACTCCCCTACCCATAACTAAAGCAATCACACTGAAAGGCATGCATTAGCTGGTTAAAACTTTTCACCCCTTGGTCACTATACCAAGAGATAAAGATGGTTATAAATATAGCCATCTGCAAACTCGTCTCTGAACCTTGATTTGTCAGTGAATATAACTTCAACAGTGCTTTGATTTACTTGGATGTCCAACTTTTTGGCCCCTTTATCACCGATGAATTCTAGAAGGACGAAACAGCTGTGTGATGCAGTGTTATTCATTTTTGGCATACTGTGTATATTACTGAATTGTAAAGGTTCAATCATCTGTTTGTTACTTTCATCTTTCACTCCACTGTCTATGTATCCCTTGACAATGAATGTGGCATAGAGACACCTGTGATGTAAGGATAACGGCAATCCAAAGACAGGATATGCACAGTTTGATAATAAATTTCCCTTATTATGGTGGAACAAAAGGTCCAATCAGCTGTTTTTTTTATTGAAAAAAATAGATAACATTGGGAGGTTGTCACATTATGATAACAAGATTTCCAAGGACAACCGGAACATTCTCAATTAGAATTCCTGTCACCTGACATTTGCTTTTCAGCCATGTTATCGTTAAGGGACAAAAACCAATCTGATGTATGGCAACAATAACAGGCTGCCAGCATCAAACATTCCTATAGCAAGCTGATGCTGTTTATAAGGAAGACCTGGATGTTTCCCAATTAGATGGTTTGGTGATAATTTTGCTGTTACCTTCTTCCTAAATGTACATACTAGGGCATACTTTACTAATGTTGCAGTGTTTGCAATGTATGTATAATTTTAGATGTCATAGCTACCAGTGAACACTGGACTACTGTGTTATATGTCATAGCTACCTGTGAACACTGGACTACTGTGTTATATGTCATAGCTACCTGTGAACACTGGACTACTGTGTTATATGTCATAGCTACCCGTGAACACTGGACTACTGTGTTATATGTCATAGCTACCCGTGAACACTGGACTACTGTGTTATATGTCATAGCTACCCGTGAACACTGGACTACTGTGTTATATGTCATAGCTACCCGTGAACACTGGACTACTGTGTTATATGTCATAGCTACCCGTGAACACTGGACTACTGTGTTATATGTCATAGCTACCCGTGAACACTGGACTACTGTGTTATATGTCATAGCTACCCGTGAACACTGGACTACTGTGTTATATGTCATAGCTACCCGTGAACACTGGACTACTGTGTTATATGTCATAGCTACCCGTGAACACTGGACTACTGTGTTATATGTCATAGCTACCCGTGAACACTGGACTACTGTGTTATATGTCATAGCTACCCGTGAACACTGGACTACTGTGTTATATGTCATAGCTACCCGTGAACACTGGACTACTGTGTTATATGTCATAGCTACCCGTGAACACTGGACTACTGTGTTATATGTCATAGCTACCCGTGAACACTGGACTACTGTGTTATATGTCATAGCTACCCGTGAACACTGGACTACTGTGTTATATGTCATAGCTACCCGTGAACACTGGACTACTGTGTTATATGTCATAGCTACCCGTGAACACTGGACTACTGTGTTATATGTCATAGCTACCCGTGAACACTGGACTACTGTGTTATATGTCATAGCTACCCGTGAACACTGGACTACTGTGTTATATGTCATAGCTACCCGTGAACACTGGACTACTGTGTTATATGTCATAGCTACCCGTGAACACTGGACTACTGTGTTATATGTCATAGCTACCCGTGAACACTGGACTACTGTGTTATATGTCATAGCTACCCGTGAACACTGGACTACTGTGTTATATGTCATAGCTACCCGTGAACACTGGACTACTGTGTTATATGTCATAGCTACCCGTGAACACTGGACTACTGTGTTATATGTCATAGCTACCCGTGAACACTGGACTACTGTGTTATATGTCATAGCTACCCGTGAACACTGGACTACTGTGTTATATGTCATAGCTACCCGTGAACACTGGACTACTGTGTTATATGTCATAGCTACCCGTGAACACTGGACTACTGTGTTATATGTCATAGCTACCTGTGAACACTGGACTACTGTGTTATATGTCATAGCTACCCGTGAACACTGGACTACTGTGTTATATGTCATAGCTACCTGTGAACACTGGACTACTGTGTTATATGTCATAGCTACCTTTGAACACTGGACTACTGTGTTAAATGCCATAGTTACCTGTGAACACTGGAGTACTGTGTTATATGCGACTCAAACACCAGTTGGTGGATTCTCAGTTGGATGCAGTACACATTGTCTATGCCACAATTGAATATCGAACACTTTTAAGAAAAAGGTTACTGAAGTTGTTTTGTTTAGTAGGTATACAGTATATGTTATACAGTATTATTTTAAATAGCATCAGTATCATGAATTTTGATAAACCGTGCAGGTAAACACTACAATTTAATATATCACTGACCTTGAGTTTCTTTTCCTTTTCATGAACTATGTCCTTGACAATATTGAGAGCGACAAGCACAAAGCTGAGCATGATGACAAGTGGAAATTGCTGCTGTATAACGAGGACGAAGTTGTCGTCATTGTAGGGAGGGTAAGGGTGTCGTCGGAGGCCCAACTCTACATGCTTGTTGGAATCAGTACCATTATTCAAGGCGCCTTGCAACTCTATCACTGCATTGTTAATGGCATTCTGGAGTGCTGTAAACCCTTCTCTAACATAACCTGGAAAAGTCAAAAAGGACTAAAATGTCTCATTCTCATCCATCTACACCTCTGTACTTGTAACTAACAACTGTGTATATGTTCTAGTACAGGAATTTCTTTCTGTTTTTCCATATAAAGACTACTTGTCTATAAATAAGAAATCATAAAAAAATTATGGAGTATGCTCCCCAAAATGGTCAACAAGACTGAAATAAATGTGACATCAGTATGATGTGGACCTCAGGCGTAATGATACAAACCCAAAAATATTATGTGACACATCACATTTCCATCCTACATATATCCAAGGCAGAAGATATGGAGAATGTATCTGACTTAAAACCATGACCATGATCTTAGGCGTACAGACCCAATTATGGTTTGCGACACCCCCATAATTCCATTGAGTTACCTTCAGCGGATCAGAATTTATGGTCCAGAAATTATTTTCAGCTTTCTTCAGCGAGTCACAAGTTTTGGCTTGAACATACAATTTGGACACATAAATGGAGAGATGAAGCAGCGGCTATATGCGCTGTAAAGTTATTTTGGGGAGCATAAAAAAAGGTTTCTGATTCCTCTAGTAATTCTTATATACAGGACACCACATATAAACGCCCTGTCCAAGAACGTCGAAAATAGGTGTGAGGAAGCAGGACTTTTATACAAATCATTTAATGTGTGTGAAGGCAGTAACATGAATGTACAATGCCAACATTCTTGATAAGAAATTTATTAATATTTTAAATGTGATATTACTCTCAACTATCTAACATAAATATTTTACAATTGAGTCACGTCATTTTCCCCTCCCATATCCAAACACATATCTTCTATCAAACTTTATTCCCATTTTCTTATCACAGTGGGAGTAACATCTTACCTGGCGACCCTCCACATTTCTCACCGATCTCTCGAGGTCCAACTCGTTGATAAACAGGAAACATGAATTGTGTGTACCAACTGGTGTCCATCTTAAATGGGTTGAGACGGAAGCGTGAGTGTGCCAGTCTTGGTACTGAGTCCAGACGTATCTTATACTGTATGTCCTGTGGCATAGCTCCTGTAGGGAATGTGTTAGTGAAGGCAATTCCTCCCAGGTAGTCCCGAGTGTTGTTAACGTAAGTGATATTTCCAGTTCTGTTGACAAACTGTACAAAGTCCACCATCTCTGCTTCTGTCTGGAAACCATGATCTACGAAAACAACACAAAAGCTACTGATAATAGTAGTCCATGAAAAAGTAAAGATATCTTATTGATAAGGATGTTTTTTAATCCTTTTGAAGAAAATTGAAATAAAGTATTGTTTGAAGTAACATATACTCCTCCCCTGACCCCTAAACTTCTAGGCCAGTAAAAAACATTCTACTGCATATCAATACGGCAGCAAATCAAATGCTGTAGCACATCCATACTGCAGTACAACCATACAGTTGATACCCCAACAAAACTACATTGTCACACATCCATAATGCATCAAAGCTGAAGCACTGGATATCCATGATTTAGAAACGCCACACTGTAGCACAACCTTACTTCAGTAAAGGTCATACTGTGAGGCACGTCCATACTACAGTACAAGGATACTGCAGCAAAACATACTTCAGTACAGCAATACTGCAGCAAAACATACTACAGTGCAGCAATACTGCAGCAAAACATACTACAGTACAGCAATACTACAGCAAAACATACTACAGTACAGCAATACTACAGCAAAACATATTACAATACAGCAATACTGCAGCAAAACATATTACAGTGCAGCAATACTGCAGCAAAACATACTACAGTACAGCAATACCGCAGCAAAAACATACTACAGTGCAGCAATACTGCAGAAAAAAACATACTTCAGTACATCAATACTACAGCAAAACATACTAGAGTACAAGGATACTACAGCAAAACATACTTCAGTACAGCAATACTACAGCAAAACATACTACAGTACAGCAATACTACAGCAAAACATACTACTGTGCAGCAATACTACAGCAAAACATACTACAGTGCAACAATACTACAGCAAAACATACTACAGTACAGCAATACTACAGCAAAACATACTACAGTGCAGCATTACTACAGCAAATCATACTTCAGTGCAACAATACTACAGCAAAACATACTACAGTGCAGCAATACTGCAGAAAAAAACATACTTCAGTACATCAATACTACAGCAAAACATACTAGAGTACAAGGATACTACAGCAAAACATACTTCAGTACAGCAATACTGCAGAAAAACATACTACAGTGCAGCAATACTGCAAAAAAACATACTACAGTACAGCAATACTGCAGCAAAAACATACTACAGTGCAGCAATACTACAGCAAAACATACTACAGTACAGCAATACTACAGTGAAACATCCTACAGTGCAGCATTACCACAGCAAATCATTCTTCAGTACAGCAATACTGCAGAAAAAACATACTTCAGTACATCAATACTACAGCAAAACATACTAGAGTACAAGGATACTACAGCAAAACATACTTCAGTACAGCAATACTGCAGCAAAACATACTACAGTACAGCAATACTGTAGCAAAACATACTACAGTACAGCAATACTGCAGCAAAACATACTACAGTACAGCAATACTGCAGCAAAACATACTAGAGTACAAGGATACTACAGCAAAACATACTACAGTACAGCAATACTGCAGCAAAGCATACTACAGTACAGCAATACTGCAGCAAAACATACTACAGTGCAGCAATACTACAGCAAAATATACTTCAGTACAAGGATACTGCATCAACACATAGTACAGTACAAGGATACTGCAGCAAAACATACTACAGTACAGCAATACTGCAGAAAAACCATACTACAGTACAGCAATACTGCAGCAAAACATACTACAGTACAGCGATACTGCAGCAAAACATACTACAGTACAAGGATACTGCTGCAAAACATACTACAGTACAGTGATACCATAAGTAACACATCCATATGGCAGCATAGCCATGCTATAACAAAACTCCACTAGAGCAGTGTCTAGTATAGTACATCCATATGGCAGAATAGCCATACTATAACAAAACTTCACTAGAGCAGTCTAATATAGTAGATCCATATGGCAGCATAGCCATACTATAACAAACTCCACTAGAACACAGTCTAATGAAGTACATCTATATGGCAGCATAGCCATACTATAACAAACTCCACTAGAGCACAGTCTAATGTAGTACAATCATATGGCAGCATAGCCATACTATAACAAACTCCACTAGAGCACAGTCTAATGTAGTACATCCATATGGCAGCATAGCCATACTATAACAAAACTCCACTAGAGCACAGTCTAGTATAGTACATCCATATGGCAGCATAGCCATACTATAACAAACTCCACTAGAACTCAGTCTAATGTAGTACCTCAATATGGCAGCATAGCCATACTGTAACAAACTCCACTAGAACACAGACTAATGTAGTACATCCATATGGCAGCATAACCATACTATAACAAACTCCACTAGAACACAGTCTAATGTAGTACATCCATATGGCAGCATCCCATTGATTCAGCAGAGCCATACTGCAAACAATTTTGTCATATTTTCAGAATTGTTAATAATTAAAGCTAGAGAAGCAGGGACATTAGTAAGACTAGAAGAGAGATGTCCTACCGCTGTTATTATATGATAATGTTTACAGCATTATGCTTACCCCAGTCTATATAAGGGAGATATTTCTTGGCTCTCTGGATGATTGCATGGGTCATACTGTTGTTTGGGGAATAGGCTACCTTAGTTGGTAATTTCCTGAAGTCTAAATTATTAAATGCTGTACATTCTGTCCAAGTAACTGCATCTGGGACTGGCTGACCATCAACTCTGAGTCGAACAAATATCAGGATCAAGGAGAAGACAGTAGGAATCCCTATTTCCAGAATTGTCACTATCTTCTTCCGCTTTTGTAAGACATAGTTTTTCCATAGTAAAAGAAGAAACTTGGTGAAATTTCCCATTTTTAAAAGTTAGGGTATATATATATATATTTGATGATGAAAAGACCAATCCTCTTGCTGACATACTAGAAGCTATCACGTCATATATGCTGGTAAATCTTCATTTTGGCAGGTGCCTGAAAAAAGAAAATATTACCTTGAAAATTCACATATATATCAAAAACCTGTTTTCTGATGTTTGAACACTTTACTTGATTACAAATAATGTGAAACATATGTATACCTAAAGTGTAAATAAATCCTAATTTTTGTGTTATGCTTATCCCATATTATCTACATGCCATATTTTTTTTTATATATGTACCATAACAGGTCCAGTACACTCTGCCGACTGAGCTATATAGCTGTAAAGACCTACAATAGCTCTATTGACCTATCTGAAATAGGTCTTTTGAGCTATTTTCAAGTGATTTTCTTTTTTTAAAGAAAACGAAACAAAGTCGCTTTTAAAAGAAGATTGTATCATTAGGTTGATAACAAAAGACATTAAATATAAGTATTCTTTTCAAAAAATAATGATGTAAAAAAATCGGAAATTTTACATTTATGAAAAATGAAAATAAACATCTAACTGTATGCTCTTTGTAGTCAACATTACCATAAACCTTATTGTTTTATGCGACTTTGCTTTAANAACTGGACCTGCATAAGTACTCTGATTTTCTGCATAAATCTAGCTAGCGTCAAAAATTACCAAGACCAAAGTTGGCAGTAAAGTGAAACACAAATCATTATTGTTATGCTTGTTTGTTTTAGAGACTTCAGCAGAACAAGTTGGGTAATGAGCCCAGTGCTGTAATCATTTGGTACACGTCTTCTTTACACTGTTTACAGTTATCTGTTAATCAATAGACTAAACAGAAATCACAAGATTATCAGATTATAGTGTCACCACGGTACATTTGTGTCCCTGTGACCGTTGCAGTATATATTTAATGGAAAATGTTAGTACTGTTATTTGCTCTTGGCGTACATGTACGGAGCAAAGTCAACTACAAACCTGCAATCTACCAATTGATGGCTGAGGAGTCACCGAGTCATGTGTTCGCCGGAAGTAAACAATATGAATATACTTTCTGTTTTGATTTTTTTAATAACCTATGAACGCTTAACTTGCATAGCTCTGTGGATACTTAGTTGAACTGAGTCACATGGACGCTTAAGCTGTCATGGCGTCGGTGACTTTTAGATGAAAAATGTGAATCTGACGTTGTTTCACGATTTTCAACATATGTAATGGAAAGGGACGGTGACCCAGAGGAGCAAGCATCATGTTCAAAGTCCCCCTCCTTGTCCGAGTCGCTAGATTCCCAGGAGAGTGACAAGGACGCTAGTACGGACCAATCTGAGGATGAAATGGACTCGACTTCAGCAAATACAGCAAGGCATATGAATGTAAAATTAAAAGGAGACGCTTATTGTGAATGCTACAAGAAAGGTTTAGACAAATCCTGCAAATGTGGAGAAGATGACACATGTAAGTTACTATACTACTTTACTGCTAGATCAAAAAATATGTATATTGTCGGACCGGGTAGACAGCCCATGCATTTCATTTCCTTGTACAATCAGCATGTACATTGTACTGCCACAGCATTGAAAAAACAATAGGTCGAAGTATTAACATTTATCTAAGTTTGAGTTCACTGTTACTTTCTCTTTATTTGAACCACAGATGTTAAGGATGCATGCTTCTCTTTTCTATATTTGCTATTTGAATTAGAGTTATCTCCCTTCTCAAACACCCATGCAGGTTGGGGATCAAGAAAATAATATACATGCTGTTACCTATTACTATCATTAATACCCTGCCGGGTATTAAATCGCTCACATGCCTTGTAATGGAGCAAACTCGGTGTGAATCACACCGGGCCGATTTTGGAATTAACGGACAGCACATTGGTCTGCATCCATAAGTGTGTTTGTAATGTAAAATATTTCTGTTGATGTCCTATATACCTTCAAGTGAAACTCTGCCCTAAAAGTCGTTAAATTATCAAGCTAATGTCTCTAGGGGAAGTAAAATTTGAATTGACCACCATTTTGGAAACTTTGTATCTCTTCGGATATAGGTCAGACATCTATGTATATATGGGTGATATGACCCAATATGGAAATTGAAGTAAACATGGCGGAATCAGTAGTAATACTTTATTTGGCCATGCAGGCCATACATAGAAAGGATAAAGGAGATAACATCACACATGATTCGTCATGGCGGTCGTTTCTATTTTTTCCATGACAGACTTGGCTAATTTTGTGAAAGAGTTTTTTTATTAGTAAGCATTCGTTTTTTCAATAATTATGCAATATTTACTCATATGAGGCGTGAATTATATGTAATATTACAGATTAACACTTTTGATTTTGCTCCATTAGTTGGCATAGGACCGCTTCGTAGCTCTGACCACGCAATATATAAAAAAAAAACGTTGTCAGAAAGTTACATTATTGCAGCTAGCTGTTACCAACTGCATGCATCGTAAGAGGTGACTAACGTGGCAACCCCTGTAGAATGGGGGAATTGCTTTTGTGCCCTCTAAATTGGGGACACAAAAGTGACCAAAATAAAGCTGTTGCACCCATTGCAATATTTGGGATCTTTATTAACTAATAATTTACTAATGTACTGTGTATATATACATTTCAGGTTTCAGTCATCCTTATAATTAAAAAATATAAAACTAGTAAGATGTTGACTGTTATATATTTATCTTTTTTTCTACTATGGTACCTTTTATTTTCTAGGGCCTTGCTTGGCAATACATGTACCTCACTTTTCGCTTAAAAAGCCTTTCATGTTGAGTGTTCGCCCAGGTGAAGAAGGCAGTGGGTTCTGTTCCCAGGCCGGGACACACCATAAGTCCTTAAAAATGGTAGTTGTTATTCCCTGCCTAACGTTCAGCATTAAGGGGAATGACAACAACTGGTTCAACCATTGTCGGTATATATAATGTGACCGGGCGGAATGCTGTGCTGGGTGCCTTCGCCATGGAATTTTAGTGAGATAGCACTATTAAGTCAACATCAGATCCGCGCTATCACAAAGAGGCAATACACCAAACATACCCTGTCTCCTGCACACACAGCATGCATACACTACACACATGGAGTCATGTCTTTAAATGACCTTAGCTGTTAATAGGACGTTAAAAATAAAATCAAACCAAACCAAATCCTTCTCAAATTCAGCTTTAGAGAGCACTCAACCATAATGTTTTCCCAAAATAACAAGACAGTAAGTTAAATAATATTCTATTTTTATATATTTTGCATATGAATATAAAGAGTGAAATGGCACATCCATAGATTCATTATATAATGAAACCTTATATTTCCAGGTTAAAGGATGCTAAAGTCAGTCTTTTGCCTATTGCAGTTCTTACAACATGGGTCTACTATTCATTGAGTAATTTTAAAAACTGCCTGGTAGGAAAGGATGTATGATGGTACACATAGATAAGTCTATTCACCTTGTGAACTGTTAAAATTGAGTCATCTTAGTTTCACATCAGCAGATAACACTCTGTGTCACATTAATGATTTAATCAAATCAAGTGACACGCCTAGCCAGTCATCTGGCGAGTGCCTGGTTCGGGAAATCGAGCAAGCCCATTGTCTTTTCTTTTCCACTTTTTCTTCATCATTTTCTGTATCATTCTTGGCATATCTTATTGTGCTTCTGAACAGACAAATAGAAACAATAAATACAGCTCTGTAATATTTCAGAGTTTGGAAAACATTACAGGCTTCATCATTATAGTACGTCAATATGGTTTCACAATACTTAGTACAGTGATGAGCATCATGTCTTTCTCACTGTCACTGAACTATGTTGCAATTTACGTTGGTTTATGGAGTTGCTTTTACCATGGATGTGTAATTTACAGTGTGTGGAAAAAGAACATAAAGGATTAGTTTTGCCAAATAGAATCATTCAGACCAATATCTATCTCATGCATTTGTAAATATCAATGTTAAAAAAAAATGCAATTGTTTTAATTGAATATTTTCAGATTTTGAATGGCGTTGGGATGATGGAACCAAATCTGCTGCTAGCTTTGTGAAGGATGACATGAGGGAAGTGATGTTCCACATTGATTACAGCTGTGGTACAGCGGCTGTACGCGGCACACTGCCACTTAAGAATGAGCAGTATTACTGGGAGATTAAAATGACAACACCTGTGTATGGAACTGATATGGTTAGAAAATTATTATTGGAATATTTGTTGGTATAACGTATAGATAGAGAACATAATCCTCATGAGTTTTATAATGTGTAGGTTTTCCATAAAAAACAAAAGTTAAGTGTCCTTGCAACTGATGCATATATTTTGGCTTGCACGAGAATCCTGTGAACTGATGCTGCTGGTCTTTGTACATTGAGCATCATCTGTTAACCTATTTATTTAAACTAAAACACATTCTACTAAATTGAACAAGCCAGAAGTTAGGGAGAATGATCAGTGCATGGTCTTGACCATTCTTTTCATTTTGAAGCAGTTTTAAATTCCAATATATCCATCATGGCAGTCATTTAGAAAATATAATTTTACCATCAGATAACTTAAAGTAAAATATTACAGAACAAATTTTGCTGGAATGTGATAGGAATGATCAATGCCGAGATGGAGACTTGGTATTTTTGAGCTGATATGAATCCAAACCGTATATACGCTGAAGTGGCCGACAGAAAATCTATGATTTTTTTCATGCAATTTGAAATTACTATTTTGAAAGCGATCAGAAATCCAATATGGCCAACATTGTCAACTGTTTGAAAAATATTTCCAAACTTAAAATCTAATTTAAGTAAACACTTTTTCAATCATTGTTGCAAATGATTAGTTAATGATTCTAACCAAATCCTAGTAATGCTACTTTCATTATTTTCAGAATTATGTGAACATTGATAGAAAATGCTGTATGTCTGCTTTTAATTAGACCATGGAACTTTTCAACATCTTGTAATACAAACAGAATTTAGATTTAGATTAAAAGCACTGACAAACATTTGTTGTATATTCTGTTCTGTAGATAAAGTTCTGCCTACAGATAGATATTTTTAATGTGAAAGAGTTTGTTAAAAAAAAACCCATTATTTTTCAGATGGTTGGTGTTTGCACAGAACACATTGACCTGAACAAGTGTCGCCACATGTTCTGTAGTATGATTGGCCAGGATTCCGAGTCATGGGGTCTGTCTTACACAGGCATGAGACAGCATCGAAGTATCAAGGAACAGTATTCATCTAAGTTTGGTCAGGGCTCCATCATTGGCATTCACCTTGACATGTGGCATGGAACATTATCATTCTACAAAAATAGGAGGCCACTAGGTAAGTAAGGTTGACGTGGGGTATTTGACACACTCATTTTAAAGAAAAGGAGCTAAGCCATAAGGTTAAGTTAACATGTAGCATATGAAGGTCTTAACAAAGTGTTGTTACTTTTTTGGCTACTCTGAAATTCAAAATATCAACCTTCATCCCTGACAGGCTGAAACATTATCAACTTCTCAATAATTGCATTCGAACAATTGTTCCTTATAAGGTCCCAACAAAGTGGACTTACTTTTTAGACAAGTTCAAAATTACTGCCATAGGCCCCCTTTGGCTGATACATTTTCAACACCTCGTGAACTGCTGCAGCCATCGACTCTAAACTTGATAAAAGCGTTCCATATGAGTTCCTAGCAAATTGCTACTACTCTTTGGGTTGATACAAATTCAAAATGGCCTCGCTGGCATCTGATTGACTGAGACATTTCAAATTCTTGTCAGGAACTGCTACTGTAAATGACTACAACTTGGCATAAGTTTTCCTTATGAGGTTCTTATATATATATATATATATATTTCTATTTCAATGTAATTTGTAATTGTTCTAGACAAGTTCTATTCTTATTATATATAAGCACTATAATTGATTTAGAGGTCTATTTTCTTCATGCTTCATTTTGTTTTGTGACCAACGTGTCTTTATTTCTTGGAAATATATTGTTGAAACTAAAATATAAGATTTTTTTTATGGCAAGTGCAATCGAGCTTCACAAAATTTGAACTTAAATAATTGCACTTGCTCAAAAGAGGAGGCAGTTGAATATGGGTACATTCGTGTATTCGGTTGAAACGGTCGAACTTGTAAAGAAAACAACAGGTACAGATCTGAACTGACGCTGACCTTAGGAAAATTCGGCACGTGTAGTTTGAGGGGTCCAGACGTACCTGGCCGAAACTAAAATGCTGACTATTGCCAGTTTGCGTTATTTCTTTCTTAAACAATATCAAGCCACATGTAGTTTTTAAGATACGTTATGTAATCCAGTGGGTGCGTGAGAGAAGGGCATAATATTCTTGATACATTTGTTTTTTATTCTCCGAAACTGTGCATTTTTAGCTCTGCTTATAGATCGGTCCATGTGTGTTCGTTTATCGAGGAAAATTTCTGCGCCACACGTACCGTTTCAACCGGGATATGCGAATGTAGCCTATGTTATTTAGATGGCAGTCAAGGTAATTGGCCATGATGTATGTTGTAGGTGTGGCATATACTGGTCTCCATGGTAAGATACTGTATCCAATAGTATCATCAACGGCAGCGCGCAGTGGCATGAAGGTGATTCGTAGCTGTTCCTTCCAAACCTCCCTCCAGTTCATGTGCTGCCAAGTTCTCCGCAAGGTCATTCCAAATCACTTGGATGTTTTAAAAGTGATAAACCTGCCACCTGGTTTTAAAAACTTTTTAGAAAACAATGTGAGCTGGCTTCTCCAGCCATGTCCCCCACATATACCCCCAAGGGATAAAGGACTAAAACGTAAACCCAAAAAGAGGACTAATGATGGGTCTGTACAGGCCGATGATATGGCGGGTCCAAGCAATTGTAAACAAATGTTACTCAAGTAAGGAAGTGCTACAGTATAAGGCGTATCTTGATAAGCTAAGGGAGACAATCTTGCTTGTGTCCATTTTTATTGAGTATTTTCATTTTCAGTGAACATTACTGAGATGGTGTTTAAAATTTGATTTTACACAATATATTGCGTTTATGAAAGCAGTTGTGGTATTTCATACATATAAATCAAGTTCTATTTAAGAACAGATCTCATTCGTTCTACCAAACTTACTCATTTGTTCTACCAAACTTATGACACCATTCATTTTTTAAGTCTTCATTGAATTCTAACTTCATTCTTCTTTTAATGCATTTCCTCCATTAAAATACTAAAAAGAAATAAGATTTGCTCAAATCATTTAACTTATCCCCTAAACACCTCTTGTAAGCTTTGACATGTCAGGATTTAGTCCCTCTACAAATACTTATTATTTTTTAACAGCAAACCCATTTCATTGATACTAAACAACATCCAAAAAAAGTGAGTGTATGGTATATATTTGTCCAGTTTAATGTGGGAATATGTTCACATTCTGCAATCATAAAGTATTTTGACTTTTTCAGATGAAAAATGAACGTTTTATTGTCATATTAAACCAAAATGGCAGCTCCGACTGTATGCTCCCCAGGTTGTTGAGAAAGGTATTGGCTGGTTGCAGAGGCCGTATAACAACGGATAATAATTTGTGAACCGCTTTGAGACGACCTACGAACTAGGTTGTAATAAAGCGGTATATAAGAACCTCAAATTATAATTATTATAACAGTGAATTGCAGATTATGTAGGTTGTTAAATTTGGTACTTGTTACACAATACCTGCAACACTTACTTGGATTAACTTAAAATTTGTGTAATCTGTGTAGAAGAAGCAAAAAATGTACCATGTTACCCTTTACCATTAATACCCCTTTACCATTAACACCTGGCCCTTTACCATTAACACCCCTTTAACATTAACACATTAACACCCCTTTACTTTACCATTAACACCCCTTTACCATTAACACCTGGCCCTTTACCATTAACACCCCTTTTCCATTAACACTCTTTCCATTGCTCCTGAACAACCAAGATTCCTATGTACTGCAGTAGGATATCTTTGTGCCATCTGTTCCTTTGTCTACATCCCATTAATATCCTTATTGTCTGCTATTTCTCTCCTTTTCTCTCTATCCCCCTCCCTACCTCTGTCTAGATCCCCTAAGCAAAACGTTGATATATCAATTAATTAATCTCGATTGAAAAATTTGCTCGTGTCATATCTGAAAGTGAATGTGATTTATTCTGATCTAGGTTCCAATGTAAAAACAATAATGTTATGCTAATACATTAAATATGGTATTTGTAAAATAAATGTATTAATTTACTGATATGCTGACATTCCTAAGCTGATAGTCATGTAGATAGTATGTATGGTACATGTATATATAGACAACCTCAAGAAATGTACCAGCACAAACATCATTTGAAGTTCTACATTTGGTGATTTCTCTACAAATACCCACAGATTAATCTCTACTTTTTATGCTCATCCATTATAGATGTATGAAGGAAAGGTAAAGTCATGTGTACTTGAAGATGCCTTCGCATAAAATGTATTGCTTCAGGAAAATCTTTAAGATCAAAACATCTCATATATTGTAGCACATCTACTTTTGTTTTCTTAGGAATATATGAATAATATTTACCCTGATATTATGGATTATTTTACATTTATAATATAAAAATGATTTTATGCTGGTAGCATTGGCTGATATTACCTGTACATATTGGATCAGGATTATAAAACCCAGATGGGTGATATAACTCCATGTCACATATATGGATCGGATCAGGAATATGAAACTCAGAAGGTGATATAACTCCATGTTTCCTGTACAGATCGAATAAGGAATACATAAGTCAGACTGGTGATATAACTTCTAAGTTCATGTTACCTGCATAAAGCAGATATAATTTTGATACACTGGAAACCCTATATATTCAAACTATTATTAGCAAATCCAAAAGAAGGTACAGAGTTGAGGTAAACTAAGAAACTGCTATAGATGTTGTCAGGTGGCATTTAGTCATTGGGACTTAAAACACTTAACACGTTTTTATATATACTCTGCAACCACATTTAAGAAAATTGTATCCTAGTGATTTGTCCAAGGAATTCATTAGATTTTATTTTCAAGTGTTACAAATTCAAAATTCTATATTAAATATTTAGATAGAGTTTAAATGTATATATAGCTCTACTCTTCAAATAACTTCATCAGTAATCATGGTTATATATTTGCTATTCTATATGCTGAAACACTATTAATTGATTGAATTGTAAAGACTGGTAAGAAATCACCATGGCTGTAACTTGACCAGACATGTTTTTTAACAGGATTTTAACATACTTTGATATGGAGCATCTTTGGTGAAGGGGACTCACTGTTGTGTAAGTTGATAGTCTGGCCTTCCCCTGAGGGTAGAGGGACATAACCTTATGAGAAATTAAATGTAAAAAAAATTGTCCATGGGACTCGAACACGGAGAGTGTGGACCCCATGAGAACAGAAGAGTGGGGAGTTTGACCTACTAGAAGAAATAGTGGTTAATCTATAAAATTGTTATCATCCAGTACCTGTAAAGGAACGCTTATTTAGCCTAAACTCTTTGAAGCACAATTATGGAGTCATATAGTGAAAATAGATATAAAAGATTCTTTATAAATGTCTATTTCAAAGGGATTTCCTGATTTGGTTGAATCGGTGTATAAATAAAAGTCAGGACTAGACATCGAACAGTGACAAGGTCCAATAGGGGTATATATAATGACTCTCTATTACCAGAGTTAGGGCTGTTCTTGTCTAATAATTATCGTATTCTCTTGATATACATGTAGTAACGATAGTATCAATACAAAATAGTTAGGTGAGCTAATGAGGCCTCTGGGCCTCTCGTTCAATTGCATGTCACAAGCTAGAATCCTACAATTACTGCCTTCTATATAATGCTGTCTTATACAATACAAAGGAAAAGGGACATATTTACTTTATGACATTATTGTTTCTGTGATATCTGATTTCATGTATGATGTAACATTTAGTGTGACCTTATTAGGGCAATGTCCATTTGTAATCATAACGCTTGGTTCCCGTTTAAAATGTGACTATTCAAGACATGTTGACTGAAAATCAGTCATTAGGCAGCTTTAAATTTGTGGAGAAAAATAATATTCGATGACCAGAAAATAGAAGTTTTTAAAACCCTGTAAATCACAATAGATCTGTACCTTGACTGCACTCCCTCAAAAAGCTCAGTCTGATCAGTCCATTAGAAAAACAGTGTATCAAGTTAAAATAGATAGATCAGGTCAGGCGTGGTTTGTTTTTGCCATTGCAATAGTTCTATAAAACTTAACTCAAGTAAGATTTCTGAAAGTTATGTTTTCTTCAAGTGATGTTACGAAGGATTATGGGGGTTTATCCATTGTAAAAATTTGGATAAATCGGGTGTATAATGGCTTTTGATGTCTGGGTTAAGGATAATATCTATAGAGGAGTTGCAATACTGGAATAGGGGAATTGGCATGGCTTTGAACATCAGTTTTGTCAAACAAAAACAAAAAGCTATATACGTCTCATTCCTAATAGTTCTCTCTCTTCCCCCCCCCCCACACACTTTATTTTGTACATTCTGTAGATTTTAAAACAACCATATCTTTTTTAGTTGCATATTACTGCCACGATAATAACAAGCACCATAATCAGCTGCAAGATAAAGGCTGTCTGATATGAATTATATTTCTCATTTCAAATCTGTTCAACATTGTTAGTCCATCTTTTATATATGCCTTGGTTATACTTCATCTGATGGCCTGACTGATCATCAAGTTTACCATCACAGCCAATGGTCACTGTACCGTCCTGGTGACAATGATAATGTTACCGGAACACAGATCACAGCCAATGGTCACTCTACTGTCCTGGTGACAATGATAACGTTACAGGAACTCAGATCACAGCCAATGGTCACTGTACCGTCCTGGTGCCAATGATAACGTTACCGTCCTGGTGACATTGATAACGTTACAGGAACACAGATCACAGGCAATGGTCACTGTACCGTCCTGGTGACAAGGACAACGTTACAGGAACACAGATCACAGCCAATTGTCACTGTACTGTCCTGGTGACAATAATAACCATACAGGAACACAGATCACAGCCAATGGTCTCTGTACCGTCCTGGTGACAATGATAACGTTGCAGGAACACAGATCACAGCCAATGGTCACTGTCCCGTCCTGGTGACAATGATAACGTTACAGGAAAACAGATCACAGGCAATGGTCACTGTACCGTCCTGGTGACAATGACAACGTTGCAGGAACACAGATCACAGCCAATGGTCACTGTCCCGTCCTGGTGACAATGATAACGTTACAGGAACTCAGATCACAGCCAATGGTCACTGTACCGTCCTGGTGAGAATGATAACGTTACAGGAACACAGATCACAGGCAATGGTCACTGTACCGTCCTGGTGACAAGGACAACGTTACAGGAACACAGATCACAGCCAATGGTCTCTGTACCGTCCTGGTGACAATGATAACGTTACCGTCCTGGTGACATTGATAACGTTACAGGAACACAGATCAGAGCCAATGGCCACTGTACCATCCTGGTGACAATGATAACGTTACAGGAACTCAGATCACAGCCAATGGTCACTGTACCGTCCTGGTGCCAATGATAACGTTACCGTCCTGGTGACATTGATAACGTTACAGGAACACAGATCAGAGCCAATGGCCACTGTACCATCCTGGTGACAATGATAACGTTACAGGAACACGGATCACAGCCAATGGTCACTGTACCGTCCTTGTGACAATGATAACGTTACAGGAACACAGATAACAGCCAATGGTCACTGTTCCGTCCTGGTGCCAATGATAACGTTACAGGAACACAGATCACAGGCAATGGTCACTGTACCGTCCTGGTGACAAGGACAACGTTACAGGAACACAGATCACAGCCAATGGTCACTGTACCGTCCTGGTGACAATGATAATGTTAACGGAACACAGATCACAGCCAATGGTCACTCTACTGTCCTGGTGACAATGATAACGTTACAGGAACACAGATCACAGCCAATGGTCACTGTACTGTCCTGGTGACAATAATAACCATACAGGAACACAGATCACAGCCAATGGTCACTGTACCGTCCTGGTGACAATGATAACGTTACAGGAACTCAGATCTGGTCCTTTGGATTTCATTCCATTTTCCATACCACTGCCAAGTAACTTCCCCTATCCATTGACATGCAAATCAATTAATAAGTAGTTATATTGTATGACTAGTGAAGTATAATGGATATGTACTACATGTAACAGAGCGCATGATTCAATGTGGGCGCGATATATTGCGGCTAGTATTTACCCCTGGAAAAACTTGAATGGAGTTCTTTCCTGGAAGGGGAGTACATGTATGTAACCCTGGTAAATACTAGCGCCAATATATCCCTCGGCTATAGAGAAATTCTCTTTAGCTCGATCGGTTGAGCGTAAGACTAGTAAGCCAGAGGTCCCGGGTTCGATCCCTAGCGGAGGCAGTGATTTAAATTTAATTAATCATGCGCTGTGTTACATTACATAATGTATGTTTGCTCCTATTAACTACACACTTTACAAGTAGTGCTTTTATTTTGTAAGTGCTTTAACTGTGGTATATTTGTGTTTTGATGAATATCTGAACATTTTCAACATCAAAAAGGTCTCTGGAATTCTGGAGTTATGTACAATGTACCAAGATGAAGTATATGACTTTTACTTAGCTAAAGTGACTCCTACAATAAAGGGATATAGCCTTCCTACTTAACATAACCATGTGGTATCCAATGTACAACTGTAAAGCTAATAGGAATCTCACATTGGTACAAGCTGACTTCACTTAAATTCCAGGACTAATCACTTCTAGATGAATCATTCATCCAGCAAATACCCAGTAAAGCTGATAGCAAGACTTGTTCTTTTGCTGCAATCATGATTCATTCAAATTAGTTTCCAAAAATAAATATATAAATTTGCGATTAAATTAGCAAGATTTACAGTTGTTGAATGTCGACAACAAAGAGATTCAAAGTCCAAGTTGTAGGTTTTATTTACAAGACAAGGGTGTAAATTGAGAGAGTTCTTGGTTTGAATACTTAGAGGGTGTAGATGAGAGAGTGCTTGGTTTGAATACTTAGAGGGTGTAGATTGAGAGAGTTCTTGGTTGGAATACTTAGAGGGTGTAGATTGAGAGAGTTCTTGGTTTGAATACTTAGAGGGTGTAGATTGAGAGAGTTCTTGGTTTGAATATGTAGAGGGTGTAGATTGAGAGAGTTCTTGGTTTGAATACTTAGAGGGTGTAGATTGAGAGAGTTCTTGGTTTGAATACCTCAGATGTGTAGCTAGGAGCTCTTGGTTTGAATACTTATAGGGTGTTAATTAACTGAGAGATTCTTGGTTTGAATACTTAAGAGGGTGTAGATTGAGTGTAGCTAGGAGCTCTTGGTTGGAATACTTATAGGGTGTTAATTAACTGAGAGATTCTTTGTTTGAATACTTAGGAGGGTGTAGATTGAGTGTAGCTAGGAGCTCTTGGTTTGAATACCTAGAGAGCGATGAATTTGGATACTCAAGTGTTGTGAGAAAGCTGTGAGTTTGAATACTTGAGACAGTATGGTGGTTCTCCTGCTTGGTATGACCGAACATATATTGTATGTAGTGTATTTACCAAAGTAGGCATAGAATTTTGAACACAATTTTTTCTGTAATGTGAATGTCTTAATGGTGAACTTGCTATTCACAGCCAACCAATACTACATTACAATTATGTTAGTGTATCAGCTGTTTAATATCTGTACTATTGATAATGTACAGATGTAAGTCAATACATGTTGTCCATTATTACTATTAAGGCAATTAAAATGTGTTTACCATACAGCGTGATAGAAATAATATCGATTTATGATGTCAAGATGTGTATACAATGTACTTGCCATATACCGGTGTACATTGAAGTTCATTGCTATGATCAGTATAAAAATAAGTTTGGCACTTTCGAACTTTGCATAGAATGTGAAGTGTCTTGAGATATTTGATGGTATCACATTGTCTAATAAACCATATGAATATGTGATTTGTTATTTGTTTCCTTATTTGAAGCTCATCTGGCTCAAAGAAGTACTTGTAGCAGGCATCTGTCAAACATCATCCATCAATATGTTCTTTATATGAAAACCAATCTGCCAGATGATGGCAGTCTGTACATGTTCCCATTGGAATGCTTAGTCTGCTGAAAAATCAAAATCATTACCTTTGTCATGTTGTTTTTTTTGCCCCAAAAGAACATCCTGGAATAGGAATTCCCTCCCTTATCCCATTTTTCAAACCACATTAAAGTCTTTCTGCAGGTATTTCCTATAGATTCTTTTAAAATTCATTGAATTTGGCCTAATATAGAATGAATAAGTTGAACAAGAGGTACATGATAATGATGAAGTATCATTACTTTGATGCTTAAAAAATGTATGTCCCTAATGTTAGAATTCAAACATTCATATTGGTGGCTCTTGATGGCAAATGCCCCCTTTTTTAAACCTAGAGGGCACTTTTTGCTCTAGTTATTATAAACAACCCTTTTATAAATAAAATAACACAAATGACATCTACAATCATTTATTACCACAGAATACAGTTTATGTATCCTTTCATGAATGAATACACAGAGGGTACTCATCTCCAACCAAAATAATATCTTACTCTGAACCCAATGATAACCTAAGATCATTTACACCATAAACATAGCCTGTTCAGTACAAAACAGAACTGATCATGTTTACTAAATAAACAAACAATTATACTCCATTCACAAAGAGTCCATACTTTTCCTTTAGTCCTCATTCACCATCACACAGTCCTTCTTTAGCCTTCTTCTTTCTTTCATTCACCATCACACAGTCCTTCCTTAGCCTTCTTCTTTCTTTCATTCACCATCACACACCTTTCTTTACCTTATACTATCTGCCTGATGCTCATGTTAACCAAACAAACTAACAATATAATATAGCCAGTGTTGTGAATACCGTATACTACACTTCACCTCTGTAGCAATTTAAAAACAACACACACAAAAAGCCTTGTAGTAAATCAATGATGCAAGTCAGCAATTTTTTAAATAAATAACTCATACTTGAATAATCTAGAATTAACTTGCACATATGTTATCTCGCATTTCTCCTAGTACCTCACGACATTGAAGCCATTCCAACAAATAAAGTTATCTTTAACTTTCATGTTAATCAGAAACGACTATTTCATCAGTTAGCATATACCAACAATGTCTCAAATACCAAAGAATTTTCCTATAATTACAATATTTTTATCAAAATTAATTGAGTTTAAAGAACTTGCTCAAACCTTGAGAAGAAAAGATGTTGGACTTGGGATGGAGATGCTGAAGTGAAAATATAAACAAATATTTAAGATGCGATGGATTGAAGACCCTTATCAACTTCCTTGAATACTTATCTTCCACAACTGTGCTTCAAAGGTATAATTCACAAGAATGTAAATAAGCAGAATGAATAAGAATAAATATTTTGATCTGCTCAATAGATATTATCAAGATTTTTTTTCCAGTTGTAATTGTTTCTCCTTATAAGGTAAGGAAAGTACAAAGTAAGTACATGTCTCGAGATAATTGCTTTACAGTGGTATAGCTTGGATTGAAGAAATAGAAACCTTTAATGACGAAACCAATATTTCATTTTGTGTGCTTTTACTTAATGCCATCTGAACTTACGAGTCCTCAGAATAGTCACCCTCAAAAATGTAAAATCAATTGCTTTTCACGAGACTATTTTCCAGTTAGTTTGTGAGGAGACTTGTAGGTTACATTTTTTTTTTGAAATTTTTAAACTTCTGCAAATATTTATTCGATAGATTAATAACTATCACAACTGAAATACGATCCGCTCAATCACAATTTCCAGTGTCTGCAAATAAAACATTCGGACCAAGTTGTCAAGTAAGGTGCAAAAAATATAGTGATGAACAGTATTCCATTGAGTAACACATCATCTGCTAACACAAATCAGAATTGCCTAGAAACATTTGTAAATAATATAATATGTTGTAAAGTACAAACCCACTTACAAGAATTGTGGGTGAAGCTATTTCGGATATTTCAATTTTTGTTAAGTTTTTGTAATTTTTTAAGTTTAGCCAACAAGGGTATTTTTCAAAGATCTCTTTTGCACAAAATTGTCCTTGTCAATTGCATATATTTCTTAGCATTTTTTATATATTATTATCAATTATTCAATATATTAAAGTTTATGTTTTTATTCTATTTTAAAGAAACCTACAGATAATCATATCGGAGTAAATCTACCTCAATAGAGGAGTGTTTACACTATCACTGTGCACGACCAGATAAAAATATACACGATAATAACGATACTATTAATTCTTATAATAATATTTTCTTTCGTTTAATTCAATTTTGAAAAGTGCATGTCTAAAATTGATGGCATGCAGGATCAAACTGTTCATGCGCAGCTTTTTTGACATAAATTTGGTACCAAAATGATTTCTTAAAATTCTGTACAATACCAGATGCAGGCAGATTTTAAAATAATTGCAAATCTTGACTGGCCCCGATATAAAACCTGCATGGACAGACCACCATGAAAACCTTAGCTAAAACCAAAAGTTTGTGTTTTGTGTGTGTAGACTGTTTAAACAAAAAGCTGACTTTCCTGTGGCAATAAAGATCCCTCTTCATTTCGTTCATTTTGACAATGAAAAATGATGTTCAGTATCAAAATATTTTGCTTGCCTGTTCTATTCCATCAAACTGAATAAACTAAAGAGGTACATATTATGCAAGTAAGAATCAACAAAAAAACCTTTTACTGAATAAAACACATAAATATTTTACAAATATGCACATGCACAGAATGGGGGGAAAGATATTAAAATTAACTGATCTTTATCGAGTCAATAACATTCTCAAGACAAAACTTAGTACTAAATTTTGGATACATGAAGTCTGTATTTTATCTTAAAACCATAAAATGAAAGTGCTGAAAACATTATTTGCTTGTTTTACGGTCACTAATTATAAATACACTGCATCATTAATTCATCCTGAAGAAGAAAAAAATCAAAATTAGGAAGAGACAATCACCTATTCTGTTGAAGAATCAGAAGACTATACAAATTAAATTACATGGAAATCAATGTACATGGAGTTAAACTGACAAGTACCAGGTAAAAAAAATATACCTGTATCTCCAGCCATAACAACTGTCATAGTCAATCTCTTTGAACCTTCATCCCAGGAGAATTAACCCAGAAACAATTATCATAAAAAGTGCTTCTGGATGGGAGATAATAATGTTAACTCTACACCATCAGAATTCAAAGTTGTAAACATGCTAAAATTCAATGATATTACTGTTATTTTATTTCATCCACATATTTTATAACAATGACTTACAACAGATAATTACAATGTATTTAAAGATATAACACTCAGAAATGGAATTCCATAACAACATGTCTGACCAGCTTTACTACATCAGATATATCACGTAAAACAAAACACGCACACACACACAGTTGCATGCAATCCGATCTTTCACCTCAGTACGGAGGACAAGCCACATCAGTGGCACCAATCTAATGTGATTATGTTTACACAGTAAACCCATGGTACAATCTTTTCCTATACAGAGTTAAATATATATATACGTAAAAAATTTAAAGACTTTTTAGCTCTTTCTTTATATGCAGCAATACAAATCAAACGGTATATTTGGCAGACTCTGTATAAAGGAACACTAGCTGTGCGTTACATACAGAATAAAATATACATCACAGACATTATTATTCTCTCCTCCTAACAAACTCAACCTTACATTGTGTAGGTTTAAATGTGAATGGGAATGGGGATATATATTATTAAAATGAAATCTGTATGTACCTGCAAACATTTCACTCACAAAGCAAAACAACAAATTATTTTGAGAGATATTTGACTGTGGGCGATGACTGACTGTTAATCTAGGTAACACAATATCTTCAAGTGTTAATCTATAAAGGTGTGTCATAATGGTAGGACGAAAATATTCTAAAGTGAAATAAAAAAAAATCTTGATAATTTTCTTTCAGTTCCAACTGATTGAGGCATATATAAAATCACATCTGACTTAATTAATATGCCACATTTAGACTGAAAACAAGTTACTTCTAAAAACTTAAAATCGGTTGTGAAAACATGGTGAAAACCCTTGTTATACAAAAGATAAAATATTTTTAAATCAGTTTCAGCTACAGATATGGATTCCTTTCCCCATAAACTCATGACAATGTCAAGGTTCAATGATTTTTACTTAAAGTCACTTGTTTGAGTAAAAAATATTTTTTCCCTCTAGACTGTATCAAAAAAGCCTTTATAATGGTTCAGTAATTATGCTTAAACTGCTTTAAAAAAAATAGTGAGAGTAGATTTGAAAAGTTTTTGGCAACAAGTCTTAAATGACCCAAATGTTATTACAAAATTGCTTAGAGTATTCAAAGAATGTTTAAGATATTAAAAGAAAAAGAATATCATGTATCAAAATTTATCAGGAAATTTGACTGAAAATTGAATGGTGCTTCATAGTAAATAGACAGGATGAATTTAATTCAGCATAGAAAAAAATAACATAGACAAGTCATTTAATGTTTTGATGAAATGATACATCCCCATTCACAGTACAGTAGTTGTGTTTCTAAATAGATTATCTGCTAATGAGTTTCCTTTAAATTGGAAATTGCGCATTTTCCCCCACTTAATCCCTCCAGCTGAATCGACTCCTTTTACGGGATGGCGAGTCCATTAGCACATCAGGAGAGGATGTCCTCTTTCGTGAAGAATCGTAATTTTGGGAAATTTCATCCATTATAAAGCGATTCAGTTCCTCCATATTGTTATTTCGAGGCAGTTGTGTACTAGGTGTACCATGAGGTCTATTGTAGTCCACACTGATGTTTGACATTGCACCATTTAGTCCTGTAAAGAAAGGTTTACAGTAATGAAATAACTCCTCTTATCACTTGCTTAAGAAAATCATAATATACACATTATATATGTAGCCAACACTAAAAACCACAGCAAGACAACCAGATACGGTCTCATGCATACAAGCAAAATCTGTTTATGTCCTAGCACAACCTTATAGTCAATGCCATGTTACCTTATTGCCACCAGTTGAAACTGCACTCCATGTATGTAACATAGGGCATATATATGATCAAATAAAAAAGAGAAGCAACTCCTGAATCCAGGTTTGCATACAGCTGATAAGTTTCAGTAGCTGTATTGTTGCTGATAAGTTTCAGTCCACTAGTATAGGCAGGCTGTCATCACAGATCAGCATTTTGGTGACTGCTACATGATGATAGTGGAGTAACAATGAAAGTCATGTAACTTGAAACATTACTCAATATCTATGACCTTATTCTACATCATAGATATTGTGTATGAAGGTTTTACTCGGACAACAGCCTGCCTAGTACATTGAAAATAGTCAGCACCAATACATTTATGGAAACCTGGATTCAGGAATAGATTTTCCTGTAAGTTGGCTTCTGTATACCACTAGGTACCCTCCTGAAACCTAGAACAATATAAGATTTCTCTACACTTATTGGATGTTGGTTCTCGACACTGGATTCATAGGACAGATGAGTTTAAAACCAATCGGGATTAATCTTAAAACTTTCATTCAGTACAGTGGGGCCTGACAATAACATTAAAAACTGGTGTTCAATAAGATTACAGTACCAGTAAAAGTGACTACTTTCCCAATGTTTCTGGTGATTTATGGCAGTTTACCTTGAATGGCAATGGCTTCTCTAAATGCTTGTAGATCTGGCTCTGCTGGTGGCTCACATCCTTCTGTGCCAGGTACCCGTGGGGAATGAGACCTCTCCAAGCCACTAAGTCGGGAAGAGGAGGTATGGCGAACTAGTGGACCAGACAAACGATTTCTAGTGGGAGGAGACTTTCCACAAAGAAAGGCAAGCAAGTCTTCTCTACGTATATGCCTTCGCTTCTTCTTTGCCCATGCAACAATGTCCTTTGTTCTGTGCTGTCTACCTCTTTGAACACCAACATCTACACATCGTCTTAAGGAATCTACACTATCTGTAATAAAATGTTGAAACATTTTAGTCTTCGAAAAAGCCAATTTTCAATTTTGAAATCAGGATTGTACAGTTTCTTTGTATTTAAAGATTATTAGCCCACAGACAGATAAATGATGTTGAAAAGTTGAACAGGTTTCTCCTTTTCCAACACTTTGCTACCATACATGTACCTATCTATCAATCATGGGTTACAGACATGAATGTAAACTTTACTCGCCTGATGGTGACATTAACAAATCAATTTGAATTCACTTTAATACCTGGTCATAAATATGCAACAATCACAGATCATGCTACACATCCAAGTGTTGGAAAAGGAGAAACCTGTTCAAGTGACAGATGAAGGAAGCCATCTTAATTATACATGCCATTTACTAGACAGTGGGCCATGCCAGTTCTGCATCAAGATGAGAGGGATCATAGATTCTCAGAGAACCATGTAAGAAGCATGTTATAAGAATCAGCTGTTGTGTCAAAGTTGAAGTCAGATTTGGTTGAGGAATCGGAATAAGAAATGTATGAATCAGATTTGACTCCTACTTCCTTTGGGGAAATAACAACCCGCCACACATGTATAAAAAAATCTGCATGTAGCATCTTCAACTCTTCATAAATTACAAAGCTAAAACATTGACTATGCATTATATACACAAAGACATTACCTTTATATAGACTAGTTACAGATGCAGCAGCATTCTGAAAGGGTATAAACAATGAAAGCCCACTGTGTCGATCTGAAACAGAAAGGTCAAAAATATTTTAAAAAAACAACAACAACAGTGGTATAACAGTAATAGAGGGGATGGGTATCCCATAACTAATAGGAAGAAGAACTAATAAAAACTGTATCAAAGGTAATGAAAATAAGAAATTAGCTGTGGGGCAAGTGATGTGATTTTTTGTACATGTACATCTTCATGATTTTGTTATTTCATCAAATTTGTCAACAAAATTCTGTTTCTTGTTTTCCCCACTTCGGTCACAATTGATTAAAAACCACACTGACAGGAAGGTTGCATGCCTGATTTCAATCTCTTTTTTTTAACACAATTTAATAATTAGAGTATGATGCAATAGAAATTCCATAGCTAAAGGTAACTTGCAAGATAATTGTATTACTCAGGTAAATACAACAATTTTCCCCCCACTTTCCCCATTTATTTGTAAATTTTTGAGCCCACACCACCCTATTGCCACATGAAGAATATTTTTATACTGTATAATGATCCTTACCATATATAGTATTTCTATTGAATGAGTATTGTGTTATCTACAATGTACCTGTTTTGTAGATGAATGACTTCAGAACCAAAAGTACCTCATTGTCTATTCTATTATAAATCCGTGTTTGGCAAATACCAAATAACATATTTTCTTTATTAATCTTGTCCAAACCTCATCATGATTGTCCACTAAACGAGATACCAGAATAGCAGAGAAGCATGACTTTGGCCTATTAGCTACTGGAGGTGTTATAAATACAAGTGTTTTTACAAGTGTATAAGCCATTCAAAACTTTTATAACAAACCATGAAATAAGCTAGGCACTCCCTTTAACATAATACTTTACACAACAATTTTATTTTGAAATGATTCACTATTATATATATACAAGTTGATACAGATTTACAAACAAGATAGTTTGTAGTTTTTGCTATTCATTCAGTGGTATCCCAAATTATTCAACGAGACCCCAAGCAGGTTTGTTGTTTATTTATGCTTATTACCGAATAGCATTATTGTCTTAAGCATTATGAAAAAATTATAGTATTTTGAACAATCTTTTCTTATCTGTTATAGCATAACTGGGATTTTTTATATTAAATATTTCCAAGCCATTCAATCTAGTACTTGAACTAAAAAAAAAATCCCTCATCATACACATTTCTGTCATTCATTTTTAGGCATATTTGCTTTTTATGTAATATGCATTCCAGTTTCAAATTTACCATTAATTCAGTCAAGCTGTTTTTGTTTCATGCTGGAAGAGATACAAGAGGCCCAGAGGGCCTGTATCGCTCACCTGGAAATGTTAGCAAAATTAAGTTGAAATAGCCAGACATTGCTGTACATGTATTATTTACATGGTTAGTCGGGGGTTATATTTATATGCAATTGGACAAAATCCGGTCATCCTACAGGAAAAGGAGGATTTTGATCATTTGCTTTGTTTCCACAATTGGGCCCTGCCCCTCTGCCCACAGGGGGGTCAGACCCATCGTTGATACGAAATAAGTTCCCCTTCACCCAAGGATGCTTTAGACCAAATATGGACATAATCCTGTCATTCCTACAGAAAAAGAAAAAGGATTTTAAACCTATTTTTCTATTTTCCCTATTTGGCCCTGCCTCTCTGCCCCAGGGGATTAAAACCCAGTTTATACAAAATTAGTTCCCTTCACCCAAGGGTGCTTCCTGCCAAATTTGGACAAAATCCTTTCATTCCTACAGAAGAAGAAGTATTTTGAAGAATTTGCCATGTTTCCACTATTAGGCCCGCCCCCCTGCCGAAGGTGGTCAGACCCAACGTTTATACAAAATATAGTCCAACTTCACCAAAGGATGCTTTAAGACCAAATAGACAAAATCCTGTCATTCCTACAGAAGAAGAATTTGCTAAATTAACCCTATTGGCCCTACCCCTCGGGCCCCAAGGGGGCCACACCCACTGTTTATACAAAATTGATTTCCCTTCCCCATAGGATGCTACTTTTCAAATTTGGTCAAAATACGAAAAAAAATGGATATTAAAGCTATTCCTCTAAATTCGTTATTGGGCCCGCCTCTCTACCCCCAGGGGGGTCAGCTGACCAATCATTTATACAATGTTGGTTCCCCTTCACCAAAGGGTGCTTCATACCAAATATGGACAAAAATCCTGTTGTTCCTACAGTAGAATTTGCTCTATTTCACTAAAAAAGACCCTCTGCCTCAGGGCCACACTCACTGATTATACAAAATTGAGTCCCCTTGGCACAAGGATGCTCCTGACTTATTTAGGATTAAATGTCTTAACCCCTACTGTAGAAGAAGGATTTTAAAGGTTTTACCTTTATTTTCCCTATTCGCCACCCCCCCTGCCCCAAGGGTGGCCACACCCTACCGTTTATACAAATTGTGTCCACTTGGCCCAAGAATGATCCAGATTAAATTAGAAGAAAATCCCTTCGGTAGAAGAAAGATTTTGAAGGTTTTACCTCTATTTCCATAATTTGGCCCCCACCCACCGTTTTTACAAAATTAAAAGTCCCCTTGGTCTAAGGATGCTCCAAACCTAATTTAGTCAAAATCTACTTGGCCGGATGCTGCATTATGGCATAAGCTCACCATGTGAGCTAAAAATACAGAAAGTCATGAACATATGTTTTTGAAACAAGTTGATTTAGGAAGACATTAATTTGTAGAAAGAGGTATTTAATTGATACTGTTGATTGTTTAACAGGCTAATGGTAGGCACAACCCCTCATACCTCATTTTATCATTTAATTGAATGTTTAAAGAATTACCCTTTTTTTTGTTTTTAATGCTTTAAATTTAAAAAACATTGTTTACATGTACAGTTTATAATTTAATATAATTTCCATATGCAGGATTATTCCATTCAGCAGCAAATCCCTGTGTTTTATAGAGCATTAGATTGCTGACAATAAACAGGCTAAGGATCAGAGTTCTGGAGCCCAAGATTTTTTTTATGGCAAGTTTTAGCAGTCTGTACAGTGACCATGCTTTTTGGTAAGATCAAAAGTATAAAAATATGGGTGTTTCAGGTAGCCTAACTGTCGTAACTGAACCTTGTTTTTACATCTGCCACTAACAATTACATCAATTATGATGGGAGTAAAAGCAATTTATTTGGCCATATTTAAGAACCTTGAAAATTTGTAAATTAACATCTGGGAAATCAGTTCGCACGGTCTTTCTGGTTATTAGATAGCCACAGCTAGCTAGTGAGAACATCCTTTTGTTTCTTCCTTTTTTAAGAACTTGGGTTTGCGCATATTTATATTTATAATATTTCTTAAAAAAGTTGTACATCATTGTCTTATTTACATATATACACACATCATTGTTTTCTTCTATTCTCTTCAATTATAGGAATATTTCAGGTATTGGAAATCAGGTTACAAGCTTTTGGCACCTTTTTAAATTTTGCCATGCTAAATTTCTGACATCGTTTAAGCAGATTTTTGAATCAAATTCATAAATGCTGAAGTTACATATTTAATTCATATTAAAAATGCCACACCCAATATTTTTCAGAAATTAGAATAAGCTTAGGACAAAGCTATTTTTTTAAAGTTAAATACATATTGATATGTTATTCCAAATATTAGAAAATAGATCACACACTAAGTATTTTTCGTTTCATTTATTTCTACAGTGAGTGTCAAGACTGCCGCGATCAGCTGCAATTCATTCGCCTTGGTCAGTCTCTCGAAAATCATGAAATTACGCACTTCGGGAAAACAAAACTGAAACATTTGCACGAACCATATTGCTATAACAAGAACAATAATGTGATCACATATTGTAAACATGAATCGTTTTCAGTACCTTTGTATAATTGTGCTATAGAAGTTGCAGAATTTTGGAAGTGAAAAAAAAGTTTTTGTGTTGCGTATTCCCTCTGTGCTTGAAGGGTTTCCGCCATATTGGGTTCTACATCGAGTTCTTCCAAACACTCCTCTTCAAAGCTATTAAACCAATGTTCTGATGATTGTTCGGCGCCATTATCTTCTTCGTGGGCCATATTGAATACTAAGTATCAAAGTTAAAGCAACAAAGGTGAATATAAACCACACATCAGCATGAATAATCCCTCTTTTTTTTGCACAACTGCTAAACTTTCCTATCACCGTACGACGGAAGTATTGGTTTGAGCATGCGCACTAATTAAAAAGTGGCTGATTGATTGTGACGAAATTAGCCGAAGGCCGACGGTTCCTCCCGGAATGTGTGGAAAAGTGTAAATGATAATTTCAAATTGTCATTGACACTTAAAACATTAGAATAGACGTTAAAGTAATACATAATGACCGCCAAAGTATCAAGAAATGATGGTAAGTTTATAAAACCGCATTGATAATTTTCGCCTATTGGTATCCCATCAGCCTCAATGATCGACGCCATCTTGTTTATTTTCATTCGTGATGAGCATTGTAGACCGCTCATGATTTTCTACTTGTGAATCCCCGTCACGGGGATATTCAGCAGACATAGGGCGGATTGTGAGTAAACAGGCAAAGGTGACCGTCCCGTCTAAAAGCCCATCAAGCCCCGGGCGAGATCACAACAGAACGGTCACTTTAAACGACTCCAAAAACACCATGAACAATCATGTGAATGATGGAACAGAACAGCAAGATGTGGAAATGGACAACGCTTCTAAAGAGGGTTCGACAGGTTTTACATATGAAACTAACGTTTGCATCAGTATTACTTTCAGTTCGAATTAACAAACCAACAAATCAATGTCATGCATTATGGATGCAAAACAGATCATCACTCTTGGCCTTGTTGCCCTTCATAACAAACCGATTCATTGATCTTTGTGTTGGTTTTACCGGCTAGAAAATGAATTGATTGTGCTTTTAAACTGCTTGTGCTATATACTCTCTCTAACCTTATATAATATATCCACAACTGAATCTGATACATTTTTGGTTATTTTCACACGAGATGAAAATAATGGACCTATTTGAGACTCTAAATTGGGGCTAAAAGTAGTCTTTTTTTGTATCACTCGATAGCACAGTCAGCATAAATAGGACAAAATGTTACAAGCACTAGCCAGACTTTCAGCTGGGCCCACAGGGGTGCCGAACAAATTCAAGAAATACAAAAAATGAACTGTTATTATCATCAGTATTCATCACAGCTTGTCATAATGTGTTTTAAGGCAGGTTTTGCAGCTGCTGAAACATTTCTATTTTGAAAGTGTGCTTTTTCTATTTGTTTTTATAGAGGAGGGTAAGGAGGGAGCAGTTGAAAGTAACTTGACCACAGTGAATGGAGACATACAAGGGATAGGGGCCACCAACCACCAGGACAATGAAGAAGACCAACAGATGGATGAGGGTCAGTACTATGGTGATAGAGGACTGAACATGCATTTGTAAGAATTTGCTACCACAGCACATTTAACATAAAATTACTGCTAATACGTCAAGACAATCAGAAAGTGTTCAATGAGTTTGTGAGCATACTTGGGACAAAACAAAATAGAACATTAGTGATACTTGTGCTTTCATCTGTTTGAATTTGACATTTTATTTGTGTAGATGAAAGCAGAGCAGAGGCTACATTTTCCTTCATAGTTGACAATATCAGTAAGCTGAAGGAGACGACTCTAAGTCCTCTCTGCATGATCAGGAATTTACCATGGTGAGTTGATTAAAAAATTGATGAATGTAACTTATTTTTTTCGATGTATAAAAGAAACATGTATTTTACCGTTACCTTGCAGTAGTTGGGTCTTTTCCGTGTTTAAACATATTATTGTGTCATATAAGATATAGTCATTATATAAGGCTTGATATAAAATCGTTTAGCTGGAGTGATATTTCAGACATATTTCATTAGCTTTTAAGACCATTTGATTGTTGTTTTCAAGCTTTTGTGATGAATATTTTTTTCACTGGTTTCTAAAATACATGTATATTTCAGGAAAATCATGATAATGCCAAGATTTAGCCAAAATCCAGAGAGACACAATCAGAAAACACTAGGATTCTTTGTGCAATGTAATGGAGACTCGGATTCAGCGTGAGTATTTTGGTCTTAAATAATAAGACCTACTGAAATGGTTAGTCATTTGGTACAGAGGAGTCATATTGGCAGGGCTCTCCCCAATTTCGCGAGCCAATTGATCACCCTTGGTTCTCCCCAGATTTTTTTAAGCTGATATGTTTCATTTTCAACGGACGTTCAAGACCGGTCCGGACACAACACTGTAGCATGCTGAACAATACCATATCAAATTTAGGGAGAGAGGCAGGATTTTTTTTTCTAAAGGACCGGTGCCTTTTTAATTGGGAATTTTACTGCGCGGACACAATTAATTGAATTTTACGACATGTCACGGATGTATGATATTAGGGAAAAATTGTTTGATCACGCTCCAACAACCTCATGTGTAAACAAAGCTTGAATTCAATGCCCCAAGATAAACTTCTATTTGTCAAAAAAATTACAACGTTGTACAACAGTCTATTAGAAGGCATACTTTATTTTTTAGCTCACCTGGTCCGAAGGACCAAGGTGAGCTTATGCCATACCGCAGCGACCGTCGTCCGTCATCCGTCAACTTTACACTACTAGTCATGAACCACTGTGCAGATTTTAACAAAATTTGGTGTGGTGCATCCTTGGGTGAAGAAGAACCAATTTTGTATAAATGGTGGGTCTGGCCCCCCAGGGGCCTGAGGGGCGTGGCCAAATAGGGGAAATATAGCAAATTATTCTTAAAAATCCTTCTTCTTCAGAAGGAATGAAAGGATTTGGTTAGAAGCATCCTTGGGGGAAGGGGAACAAAGTTTGTATAAATGGTGGGTCTGGCCCCCCTGGGGGCTGAGGGGTGGGGCCCAATAGGGGAAATATAGCAAATTCTTTAAAATCCTTCTTCTGTAGGAATGAAAGGATTTGGTCAATATTTGGTCAAAAGCATCCTTGTGGGAAGGGGAACTAAGTTTGTATAAATGGTGGGTCTGGCCCCCCTGAGGGCTTAGGGGCGGGGCCCAATAGGGGAAATATCGCAAATTATTCTTTAAAATCCTTCTTCTTCTGTAGGAATGACAGGATTTGGTCCATATTTGGTGTGGAGCATCATTGGGTAGTGGGGAACCAATTTTGTATAAACGGTGGGTGTGGACCCTTGGGACCTGAGGGGAGGGGCCCAATAGGGGAAATAGACGTAAATCTTCAAAATCCTTCTCCTTTGGTAGGAATGGCAGGATTTTGTCCATATTTGGTCTGAAGCATTCAGGGGAACAAATTTTGTATAAACAGTGTGTCTGACCCCGCTGTAGGCAGAGAGGCGGGGCCCAATAGGGAAAATAGAGGTAAAACCTTTAAAAATCCTTCTTCTGCCATAGGGATTAAGGGATTTTATCCTTATTAAGTCTGGAGCATCCTAGGGCCAAGGGGACTCAATTTTGTATAAGCAGTAGGTGTGGTCTCCGAGGGGGGTGGGGCAGAAGGGCGGGGCCCAATAGGAAAAATAGAGGTAAAACCTTTAAAATGCTTTTCAGACCATCAGGATTAAGGGATTTTATCCTTATTTAGGTTGGAGCATCCTTGGGTGACGGTGACTCAATTTTGTATAATTGGTGGGTATGACCCCCGTAGGGGCATAGGGGTGGGGCTCTGTTTGAAGTTTGTTCTCTATATCTCAAGAACTGGATGGATCTTTCTGAAATTTCATATGTACTAACAGCACCTACCATGGAGTGCTATATCTTTACTTCATACCAATCACTTTAATTATATTCAGGTGAGCGATACAGGCCCTCTGGGCCTCTTGTTTTACAAGCGATTTATTAAAATGTGTATCGGTTTTGTACTTTGAATACCATATATGACATATGAGGGTGTTTTTTTATAATTGTATCCTCAGTTTATCCTCTTTAAAAATAATTTAAAGAAGAATTATTTAAAAGTTTTTAATGTTGCATATAGGGGAGACAATCAATGAAAAATGTCATCTCCCATTTACTATTATGGTAAGAGAAAATGTTTAACTAAAATTTACAGTAACAAAATTTCTTTTAAAACTGTTTGGCAGTAAATTTGATTGAAGGTTTAAACAGCTTTTTTATTTGGGCCCTTCCTATAAAAATAACAACTCCGGATTTTCATTCCGCTTTTTGTTTTGTACTTTACACAATCAAAGATGGCGACCATCACTAACTGAATACACACGCTGTTTCAGCGTTGTCAAATACAATCAAATGTGAGTAAATAAATACTTAAAAGCCTGATCAAGTGTTTGTTTTCAAGTCTTACAGTTGTTTCCTCAATTAAACACCTATTGATCATGTTAGAGGACCCAGTGGTAATTTATTTATACTCGAGTGAGCATGCCTGCCGAACACCTGTGGATTTGGCCTCAGGTCCCCTCCCCCGCTAATTACAGCCCCCTGAGGCTCAAACCACCGTGCAACTGACATATTGGGTCATTACTGGACTTGGGGCATCCTTGTTAGCTCACCTGGCACGAAGTGCCAAGTGAGCTTATGCCGTGGTGCGGCGTCCGTCCGGCGTCAATATTTTACTTTAAACGACTTCTTCTTAATAACCGAAAGGCCTAGGGTGATGATATTTGGCCAATAGCAAACTTGGATGAAGGGCTACAAAGTTTGTTAAAATTAATGACCTTCATCTATTTTCAAGGTCACAGGGGTCAAGTATGTTAAAAACTTCAAACAACTTCTTCTCAATAACCAAACTGCCCAGGGAGATGATATTTGGTCAGTAGCATGCTAGGGTGAAGGGCTACAAGGTTTGTTCAAATGAATGACCTTCAATTATATTCAAGGTCACAGGGGTCAATTGTCTTAAAAAAACTTTGAATAACTTCTTCTGAATAAGCAAAATGCCCAGGGTGATGATATTTGGCCAGTAGCATGCTGAGATGAAGGGCTACAAAGTTTGTTCAAATGAATGACCTTCACCCATATTCAAGGTCACAGGGGTCAAATATGTTAAAAACTTTAAACAACTTCTTCTCAATAACCAAAATGCCCAGGGTAATGATATTTGGCCAGTAGCATGCTGAGATAAAGGGCTACAAAGTTTGTTCAAATAAATGACCTTCACCCATATTCAAGGTCACAGGGGTCAAATATGTTAAAAACTTTAAACAACTTCTTCTGAATAACCAAAATGCCCTGGGTGATGATATTTAGTCAGTAGCATACTAGGATCAAGGGCTACCAAGTTTGTTTAAATGTATGACCTTGAATCATATTCAAGGTCACAAGGAGCAAATATGTTTAAAATATTTCAACAACTTGTTCTGAATAACCAAAAGGCTCAGGATGTTGATATTTAGTTAGTAGCATATGCTGGGATCAAGGACTACTATGTTTGTTAAAGTGAATGACTTTGACTTATATTCAAGGTCACAGGGGTCAAATTTGTTTAAAATCTTTAAACAACCTCTTATGAATAACCCTCGGTCCCAGGATGTTTATACTTTGCAAGTTGCATCCTGAGATGAAAGGCTATACAATGTGTTCAACATAATGACTTTGTTCAACTTTCAATCACAGGGGTGAAATGTTTTTTAAAAAAAAAACAGGGTCTTTTGAACGAATCTTAATCATAAATACTGATATTTTGCCTGTAGCTTTATTTTAGATCACTTTTAAGGTTACAAGTGTGAGTTTTATACCAGGTGAGCGATGCAGGCCCATTGGGCCTCTTGTTATTTATTCAGTGTCAAATTCTTGTGTGGAAGACCCCCTCAGTACAAATAACAAGATGATACAGTTTAAGGTGATATGGTCAGTTAAGCTGATACGATATGGTGGATTTCTACCTGAAGCTGATACGGTTCCGTATCAGCTAAATGGCCTGGGGAGAACCCTGATTGGCTCAACCTGCACGCAAAAGTCGTTCTGGTTTGAAATATATGCAGCAGGAAACAATTCCTATTAGCAATTAAGGCTTTACATGATTAATGACATGTACAATTTGCTTTCCCCTTTCACATCATCCCAGAAAATTGATCTGTACAAATGTTGTTTCTCATGCTTGAATTTCAATATATTCATGTTTTGTTACCAGAATACATCAGAAGAATTCTGAATATGTCCCTGAGATACTAGTATTGTTACTGTATCAGATGAACTACAGTTACGCTTGTCTTATGATTTTGATTATATGTGATACTTTGTTTAGGTCCTGGTCATGCAATGCTTCAGCAACACTGAAAATACTCAACCACAACACAGATGGGGAAAACTTTAGTAGAAGTAAGTATTATTCTCAACAAAAACATGTTATAATATAGATAAGGAAAGTTTGGGTATAAGTACTATACTTCACAATACAGATAGGAAAAACTCTAATATCTGTTTATAATCCACTACAAAACAGACTGAGGATGCTTTTTAAGGAGTAATTGTGATACTCCACCACTGCTAGTGATATGAAATATATTTGGCTAACCTGTTCTGAAGGCGTGGCATACTGTGGCATCCGTCATCAATCCATCATCAAACTGTTCAAAATTTTTTTTGTCTAAACCACTGAACACAATTTCATGTAATGCACAAACATTTATAGAGAATACCTTAAAAGTTCATAAGAGGCCATACTGTAAACTTCCCACATAAATAAACATCCAACGCACTTACTGTTATAAATAATACATACATCCATCTCATTCTGGGGTTAAGTTGTGATTAATGAAAGTCAAATGTTGAAATTAGTTTTAATTTTCCCAAATGTTTTGACTTAACATTTTGCTTTAAAACTGATGTTCAAGTTTTTCAAGGAACTTTTTGAAATTTTCACTAATCGATGTAGAGGGATATCATTTTGATTTTTCTTTCATATTTCAAAATAAATTTGAAAATGACCATTTCAAATTAAAAAATGTTATCATTTTGCTATGGCCAACACATTTTAGCCTCCTCTTCTTTGATTGCACATGTTAAGGGTTTACCTCACCAATATATCTAAGTGAATTAATTGGGTGTTTTTTTCTACAGAAATCCAGCATTCTTTTTACAACAAGGAGAATGATTGGGGTTACAGTCATTTCATGGCCTGGAATGTGAGTTTTTCATTTTGTCATATTGGTATCTACGAAAGATCTAGTGGCAGAATTGTTATAGTATTATTTCCAACCTTTCCATTTTGACTTAAATAAAAATAAATTTCTGTTGAAAGTATTTAAAAATCAACATTGTGATCGCAATTTTTCAACAAGATGGAAAAGAATAAATGTTTCTAAAACAGCTGAAAGTACCTACATCTAAAGCAGAAACTGTGAGACAAATATTCCTCATGGCAGACAAGGCCACAGACAATTCGCAGGGGAAACAGTTTGAAATCATGGCAATATTTTTGCACAATGGAGATATTTTCATTTACAATAGAAACTTCATATTTATAATGTAAAGCAGGTTATTTCATATTTATATGTCTCTCCGGCAGAGAATACATTGATGTCATCCTGTCTGCCTATTTGTCTATCAATATTTGGCTTGTCCATAGCTTCCTGACTGTAGTGAAGATTTACACAAATATTTCTGGCATCTAACTCTGGAACCCTGTTAAAAGTCAGATTTATATGTTCAAATGCAAAGTCACAGCTACGTCTAACACACAAGAGAATGTGAACAGTTTCTATCAAATAATCAAAGGCCCCTTTTCTCAGTTTTGATATTCAGAAAAAAGCCTGCATAGCTTCTTTGCAAACTCATGAATACTTGTCATAGCAAAATAATTTTATTTGTAGGAGCTTATGGATCCCAGTCGGGGGTTTGTCAAGGATGACAAGATTTCACTAGAGGTCTATGTCAAAGCAGATGCCCCTCATGGTGTCAGGTAACGTTGAACTTTTATGACCTCATATAGTATAGTATATCCATCATTACACTGTCTTTTAATGCTTGTATTCTTCGACTATCCTGGTAATCGGTTAGAAATTTAATGAAGATTTGTGCAAATGACATGGAACAGTTAGTAATGTTTTGTTTGTGGTTATCATCTTCTCAACAATCACAGGGGATAAGTTAATATTCCCATCAAAGACAGCACAAGGCATAATTGCTGAATTATTGTCTCGCCGCCACGAAGTAGCGGAAGTAAGCCCAAGGTGTTACTTTTCTGCTGACGACGTCGTCAACATTAAGTTTTTGCATTTAAGTTAGTTTCACTGAAAGTATAAATGCTAAACCAACCAAACTTGGACCATAGATGCATCTTAGGTATTAACTCTCAACCTATGCATCAAATGCTGGATGCGGCCTACCTTTCATGGTCCATTGACTTTGTCAGCATCTTGATCGATATTAAGGTTTTGCTTTTAAGTTAGTTTCTCTGAAACTAAGTTCGTTTCTCTGAAACTAAGTTCGTTTCTCTGAAACTATAAGTGCTACACCAACCAAACTTCATATCATTTCATTTACCGGTATGTCGCCTTTTTACATTGAATTTATTTCACTGATATGTGCATGGATGGTCAAAGCGGGACACACAGGGTAGACATATCAATCCGAATGGCTTGTTACATGTAAATATTAAAGATTCTTACCATATATTAAGTTATCAATTTAAAAGCATATTGAATTAGTATCCCCAAGTAAGATGATCATGTAATTCAGCTGTTATCATGATCAGTGATGATATGAAAAATGGACAAGATTTGGGCAACTGGCAAAAGAGAAAATGGGTAACTGGAATGACCAGACAAGTTCGACAGGGACATGAACATATGCTGATATTAGCTTCAGATATATTGGACAATAAAATCTGAAAAAGTAGAATTCACAGTGTATATTTTACAGATCCATCATCATAGACAATGAGGTGTATTTTTTTTGTGGTTTAAAGTTTGATGGCCCATGTGTGAATGGAAGGAGATTACCATTTGTTAAAATCTGCTTTACATGAACAGTCAAATTCCTTAAGTACTTGCAGTCAAAAATATCTATTTTGTATTTTATTTGCAGTTGGGACTCCAAAAAGCACACAGGTTTTGTTGGCTTGAAGAACCAGGGTGCCACTTGCTACATGAATTCTCTTCTCCAGACTCTCTACTTTACAAACAGGTTACGGAAGGTACTGTCTTTACACATAGTTTTGTAATGTTTCTTTCATTGTCATATTTGCAAAAGTGATTAACACTTGTCTGTAGATAATTGTTGTAATAAAACTTTGAAAATTTTACTTTCTCTAGAAAGTCCATTGAATTAGCATTCTTGCATGCTTCCGAGGAGCTTTTTATTGTTTGTGAAGCAAATCTTAATTTAACCATCTGTTTTAACTTAGACATTTGAAAGTAGTAAATTGAGTTTTGACAAATGAAATAATGTCAGAAAAACTAATCATTTGATGTCATTCTGTCGCTTGATATTATGTTCTCTTCTGACAAATGATATTAAGTGGAATTCACTTTTAGTATTGAAATTCAGTGTAAATATAACTGTCCTATTTCTAAAATGGGCATATTTTGCAGGAAGATATCTTGAAGGTTCGAAAATATCAGCTTTCAGAATGGTTTAAAATTTACTGTTTTTCAAATATTCTTTGAATTTACAGATCATATTCCTAAACAGTTCTTATTATACTTGCATTTCCTTTGAAAAAAATATGTTTGTATGATAACCAGAGTGAAGTGTATTTTAGGGTTTTCACTTTTATTGATTATCGCTACACAGACAGAATTGTTTTGTGTATTAAATTGCATCATGATCTTTTAGACCTTTACGTCATGAAGCACTTTGTGACAGCCCCAAAGATACTCTCATCACACAGTTCTTTTTTGCTACATTAAGAATTATTATAAAATATCATTTTTACTGCTGTTGAAATTGTGTCTTGAATGTCAACTGGAACTTGTTCAAATACGTGTCAAGTGACCTATACTGCCCAAATAAAAGTCTGTCAGATATGGAATGGTTGTATTGAATATCAGAGTTTATAGATGCAAAGTAGAATATTTGATGTTGACCAGGCTGTGTACCAGATGCCAACAGAGAGTGATGACTCGACCAAGAGTGTACCTCTCGCCCTGCAGAGAGTCTTCTATGAACTCCAATATAGTGATAAACCAGTAGGCACAAAGAAACTTACAAAATCATTTGGGTAAGTACATTGTTGTACAACAGAGACTTCATAAAACTTTGATAACTTATCACGTTTCTTTGCTAGAAAGTAACCAAGGAAGTTGTTATTGGTTTTATTTTTTTGTCTGTATAAAATACTGCTTCTCTGTCTTAAAAAGATATAAGTTACATGTTTGTAAATGTGAAGTTGAAATGTAACAAAAATAAGCTGTCTTAGTGATGTAAGACATGCCAACCCTCCTGCAAGACGTTGGAGACTCTTCAAAACATGTCCACCTCTCTTAAAACATACCGCCCACTTTCTGATAGAATTTTTTTTTTATATCCCAAGTCATGACCTGCAAGGTGAGTAAATTGACAGAGCCTCACAGATGTGAGCAATACAAGACGAATTGTGCCTCTTGTAATAGTGGCATTTATATTTCAGCTGGGAAACATTTGATACCTTCATGCAACATGACGTTCAAGAGTTGTGCAGAGTGGTAAGAATACTCATTTGCCATCAGTTAAAATTCTTGATTATTTATTTTCCTGTAAATGCTAGATCAAATAACTTCTTAAAATGGTCTACACCTTTTCTCTTCTATGCAACTGCTTTCTATTCTGAACTAGCCTCCCATTATTGTTGACCAAATTACTATTTCACAAAATCTCCTTTCTTACACCCAGATGTCCTAGAGTTGAATACACTAAAAGGATGGAAAGGTATTTTGGATTGTGAACTAAACTGTAAATTGCATTACCCCTGCATGATATTTTCCCCACTGAAGAGTGGTAATTTTACCATAGTTTAGGAGAAAAAATGTCAGTTTTGGTTATGTTCTGTTCATTTCCTGCTGGAAAAAAATGAAAACTTGATTGGAATTATATGATGGAATGGTGTTTAGATGGTATAACAGCTTTGATCTGGACCAACTCCTGGGGTGTGGAGAAGGGGTGGGGGCATGTGAATGGGTAAGTTTGTTTAAACTCGAAGGAGATATGTAGAAACTCGACAAATAAATAGTCTTCCTCAGTTCATGAATAGAACTGTCCCCTGGTCCTTCAGGTTTGCTATTGTTGATGCATGTTTAGGTAATAAAATATTTACATGTAAGTTGTTAATTTTCATTCAAAAACCATTCAAACTTGACTGGATTTTTTTTTTAATGGTAGTTTGATAGTATGAAAAAAAGACCTTAGGGCTAGAGGCAGAGTGCTGAACCAAAAATGCTATCATGCAATCTTGAAGGATGGAAATGATATGGAAATTAAGCATATGAAAACCATTTTTAAGTATTAATCTGGAGGCCTGTGGGTTCTTCATCAATGACAAGTTGTGAATTTCATTCCCCTGGGTTTCAATGTTTGGCCCTGGGGACGGGGCCTGTTAAATCTACATGAGGAATGTAAACTGACTTAAGATGTTTTATCTTGTAACTAAAATAATATATTAAATAGTTTCATTGTGTTTTGTTATTCTGACATGAAGGTAATACACATCTTTCTTTGTATACATGATTATTTCCACTTTCTGTCTCGACAACAAAAAATAACTCGTAATACAAGTCAGGTAACCATTAAAGCCCTTGTGCCTTTTGCCTTTATTGGAGTTGCATTATGATACTGACATAGCTTAAATCCAAAAGAGCTAAGTGAATCAACATGACAATCATGTTTTCAGTTGTTGGAGAATATGGAGAGCAAGATGAAAGGAACTGTAGTGGATCAAACCATACCAAGATTGTTTGAAGGGAAAATGCTTGTGAGTAATTGTTTAATTATCTTTTGTCTGCAGTGATGTATAAATGCATTGCTGAGACACATTTATTTGAGTTTTTAGGTCACCTGAGCTCAAGTGACCTATTGCTATCCGTCTTCGTCCGTCGTCCGTTAACATTTTACATTTTCAACTTAAGCTGAAATACTGGCAAAGGGATTTCATTAATATTTCATGGGAAGGTTACTGACATCTCCCTGACCAAGTGTTGTTATTTTTCAGGTCGATCAGAAATCCAATAAGGCCGACACGGACGCCATTTTGAAAAAATAATTCAAACTTAAAGTCAAGTTCTACTGGGCCGATTGAACTGAAACTTTGTAGGAATGATCAACTCATGGTCCTGACAAAGTGTTGTTATTTTTCGGGTCGAGCAGAAATCCAATAAGGCCGACACGGACGCCATTTTGAAAAAATAATTCAAACTTAAAGTCAAGTTCTACTGGGCCGATTGAACTGAAACTTTGTAGGAATGATCAACTCATGGTCCTGACAAAGTGTTGTTATTTTTCGGGTCGATCAGAAATCAAATATGGACACCACGGTCGCCATTTTGAAAAAGGTATTTCAAACTTAAAAACAAGTTCTAATAGGCTGATTTAACTGAAACTCGGTCTAGGAATGATCAGCTCATGGTCCTGACAAACTTAAGTTAACGTTATACTTAACTATTTTGTACTCAAATTGGTACATATTTCAACAACAAAAATAAATACTGTAGACTCAGGTGACCGTTTAGGCCCATAGACCTCTTGTTTAATCCACTCTTGGCGAGAGCCGAGCGGCTTGTTGATTCTGTCCAGAGAACGAAATGATGGACCAACTTCCATTCGGGTTGCGTGAGCATAATTCAGTCTTGCATGCCTCCACTATATAGTTTCGTTATCATAAATAGAAAGTAGAATCTGACACTCACCTGTGTCTCCACACAAACTGTTTATCTCCGGTGCATTCTACAAGTGTTGTGGTAGTGAAATTCGTGCACTGGATTTGAGCGTTTTAGCAACTCGGATTGAGGAGTGTTTGTTTTAGTGACTCTAATTCGAGAAAGCACATGTGAAGACTGTCGAGCATTGACGCTCTCTGTACGGTCTAGCTTTTTATATTTTGTAAGTACAAGGAAAAAGTAAATATATATACTTATAAACCATATGAGTGATGAAGTAAAACCTCTATTTTGATGTTTCAAAAGGGAACGTAATATGACGAATCGTGCTTATAGGTTGATAACGGTAATAAACCATCGTTGTTGCCACGGACATGGCCGAGACGAGACGATATGTGAACTGTGTATGCTTATCAAACATTTCTGTAACACAGCATGCTATTTCTGGTGTATTCATTTATGAAAATGTAACAATTCAATAACATGACACAACTGCCGCTGCTGTTTGACAAGAATTCGCACTGTGTCAAAATATTATCAAATCCGGTGTAAGGGAAATAACTCTTATGTTGGTAAAGTCGCGTTGAGAAAAATAATTCAAATGTATTCCAAGAACATTTGTGAGATTTTGTGATGAATTGTATATTCAATGACAGTAAATAAAGTCACTACATATATTGATAATTATTTTTTATGCCATACCGCAGCGTCCGTCCGTCAACTTTTCCCATAAAACGCTACTAGTCCTGAACGGCCAAGTAGATTTTGACTAAATTTGGTCTGGAGTATCCTTAGGCCAAGGGGACTCAGTTTTGTATAACCGGTGGGTTTGGCCACCCAAGGGCCTGAGGGGCAGGGCCCAATAGGGGAACATAGCAAGTTATTCTTTAAAATCCTTCTTCTTCTGTAGAAATGAAAAGATTTGGTCCATATTTGGTGTGAAGCATCCTTGGGTAAAGGGGAACCAATTTTGTATAAACGGTGGGTGTGGCCCCCCCTTGGACCTGGGGGGGCTAGGCCCTATAGGGGAAATAGAGGTAAAACCTTTAAAATCCTTTTTTTACCATAGGGATTAAGGGATTTCATCCTTATTTAGTCTGGAGCATCCTTGGGCCAAGGAGACTCAATTTTGTATAAGCAGTGGGTGTGGTCTCCCAGGGGGCAGAAGGGCGGGGTCCAATAGGAGAATTGGAGGTTAAACCTTTAAAATCCTTCTTCGACCATCGTGATTAAGGGATTTTATCCTTATTTAGTCGCGAGCATCCTTTGGCCAAGGGGACTCAATTTTGTATAAACGGTGGGTATGACCCCCTAGGGGCATAGCGGTGGGGCTCTGTTTGAAATTTGTTATATCTCAAGTACTGGATGGATCTTTATGAAATTTCATATGTACTTACAGCACCTACCATGGAGTGCTATATCTTTACTTCATAACAATTATTTTAAACATATTCAGGTGAATGATACAGGCCCTCTGGGCCTCTTGTAATATAAATAAAAAAGAAATAAAAATAAAAGGAGTATAATATGTCTCTTTTCTCCATGCATGTTTTCCCACTACTGTTAATTATCCTTCATTTCACAAGCACAAACTGCACCTATTCTTTATTACCCATTCACCTATTGCCATTCTACATGTAAATGCTCATGTCACATCATTGGAGGATGCTAATTAATGAAAATTACAACAATGCGTCACAAAAGAGGAGAGGGAGAAATGTTTTTAAGGCATTATTTAAGAGGTGATTGATTTTAGAAATTCCAAAGTCAACATCATCACATGACATGATTTTCGATTAGCAGAATACAGAACACATATCTGAGGTATTATAGTAAATATACGTGTTACTGAAGTAATTAAATTTAAAGTGGTGATCGGCTTTAATGTCACACTGACATAATTCTAGTTGTTGTCTAGAAACAAATAGGGGTGTTAACGATAATTGACTTTCAGTTATTTTTCTATAATGGTATTTCAGATATGTTACTCATGAAAGTAGTAGTCAAAAGGTTTTATCCTGGCAGAAATTGGTGTTTGGCATATAGTGTTTCCATGGTTTGTATGGCGAAACTCATGTCCAGACAGTTAAGTTTTTGTGTTTATGTCAGTTATGGACTTAGTAATACATCTAGGGTCATGAAACCCTCACACGTTCATGCACCTTTATAAGTAAAATATTTTACAGGACATCATTGTGATCTTGACCTCAGTAACTATTTTGCATTTTAGGTCAGTTATGGACAAACACTGCAGCTAGGGTCACTCAACTTTATACACTTATGCAACTTAATGAGTTTATGTCGCACTGCATTCGTAACCATGATCATTGACATTGGTAACCTTGTTTTAATTCTTAAGTATTGGAGTGGGGCAACTGTCACATTTCTGATTTTTACCAATTTCATATACTATAAAAGTCATGAACATGAAGCTATATATATATATTTCAGTCATACATTCGTTGCAAACATGTGAATTGCACTTCTCGGAAGGTTGAAGCATTTTATGACATTCAGCTAAACCTGAAAGGAAAGAAAAACGGTGAGTTGTGAAAGCATTTCTTTTCTATCACATAAGGAAATATATTGAAAGTGTAACCATATCAAAGAAAATCTGTAGTGAAAAACTATAATTCAAAATTGCTATCACCTGTCTAATTAATACATTCATATTATCTTAATTTGTACAATCGGGAATGGAAATACACTAGTTAAAGATTTATTCAGCAAAATTATTCAGCCTTCCTTATTTTATTTTGCAGTGATGGAGTCTTTTGAGGACTACGTGAAAGTGGAGACACTAGATGGAGAAAATAAATATGATGCTGGGGAGTTTGGACTTCAGGTATGATTTTCAATTAGCTTTCTTGCACAATTTTGATCCTTTCTTTGGTAAAAGCCAAACATTTGAATACAACCTTTTCATTATTTCTTATACTTGATATTTCTAAAATGTAGCAATCACTTTCATTTTTTCAAACCTATGTCATATATTATTTTTTAAACCAATGTGTATTTTGTTTTAATCAGGCAAGCTAACCATGCATTTCTAAGTTTATATGTTGTCAAAACCTAAATTTCGTAAAAACTGTTCAAACATTTTTTAAGGGAAATTTGAAAATTGTTAAGTTTTTAAAATGAATTTCAAAACTTTTAATGAAAGGAAATTGTATAAGTGTTATATTGCTCTTCTAGTTACTGACTTGTTGATTTTGTTGTTGCCAGGAGTCAGAGAAAGGTGTGATATTTGTCAGTTTCCCTCCAGTCCTCCACTTACACCTACTGCGATTCATGTATGACCCCATGTCTGATGCCTATGTCAAGATCAACGATAGGTACTGTTTATTATCATAATTGACACAATGAAAATTTGTTTTCTTGTTATATTATGAAAAGGGTTTGGTCACCTGAGACAAATTCTTATCTGACTTACCTATTGCCTTTTGTCTTTTGGAGAAAGAAAAAAATGCTCTGAACCAGTGTTAAGAAAATTTTGTAGGAAGCTTCAATGGCCTTAGACAAACCAAAAATTGTGTAGAAAGCTTCAATGGCCTTAGACAAACCAAAAATTGTATAAGAAGCTTCAATGGCCTTAGACAAACCAAAAATTGTGTAGGAAGCTTCAATGGCCTTAGACAAACCAAAAATTGTGTAGGAAGCTTCAATGGCCTTAGACAAACCAAAAATTGTGTAGGAAGCTTCAATGGCCTTAGACAAACCAAAAATTGTGTAGGAAGCTTCAATGGCCTTAGACAAACCAAAAATTGTGTAGGAAGCTTCAATGGCCTTAGACAAACCAAAAATTGTGTAGGAAGCTTCAATGGCCTTAGACAAACCAAAAATTGTGTAGGAAGCTTCAATGGCCTTAGACAAACCAAAAATTGTGTAGGAAGCTTCAATGGCCTTAGACAAACCAAAAATTGTGTAGGAAGCTTCAATGGCCTTAGACAAACCAAAAATTGTGTAGGAAGCTTCAATGGCCTTAGACAAACCAAAAATTGTGTAATCAATGTTATGGGTCTGAAGGGGTAAAATTGGCTAAACTTTCATCAATCTTAATTATGGATGGAGAGGCTCAACATTGTGAATTTTCCTGTTTACTGACTTTTAGCAGCATGATATTGTCGGTCACTCCCCAACATCATTTTGTCAGCAAAACTGCAGTTTTAGAGCCAAGGTCACACTTTAACACTTTTAAGTGCTGTGGGGAAGGAAGTCACTTTGTATCATATATTTTTTTGGCAGTTTAAAGAATATTTAGAAATTACTGTATTCTGTCAATTGTTACTTCAGATTTGAATTTCCTGAGCGGTTAGAACTGGACCAATTTCTACATGAGAAAGAAAAGACTCCTGCCTCTTACATTCTGCATGCTGTGCTTGTACATAGTGGCGACAACCATGGGGGCCACTATGTTGTATATATTAACCCAAAATGTGATGAAAAAGTGAGTACTTCCTTGTTGTGGCTAGGCTGCAGCATTCAGACACAATATTTCTGTACATATAGTATTTATAATGTTGACATTATAATGCATTACCTAGGTTATAACCTCTACATAAATTGCTAGTTGAACATCGACCATGTTGAAATACATAAACACTCTGGATAAAACCTGTAGGGTCATGATCAGTAACTTGAGGATTATATGGTGTTTGATCAATCAAAGGTAAGTCTTAAATCATCAGGTATCAATCTTGAAATTGGGAAGAACATTATGTCATAGAACAGCTCTGCTTATTAAAACCTGTATTTGCAATGTCTGCCATACAGTATAAAGTCAATTTTACAGAATAACTGAAAGAGACTACAGATATATCTGAATACGAGAACATTTTGATTCAATGCTATCATAAGATAATTGAAATCCTTCTTCAAGCTTTACAAAAAAAAGAAGCATTTCCAGAAAACGTTGATTGTATTTGAGAAATGTGAGTTTGAGAAGATGGGGTTCTATTGAATGTTGTGTTATAAAAATAATGTTGATGATTTTTTAGGTCCAAAATGAGTGTATAAGTATTTAAATCTTCAGAAGTATAGTTGTTTGTTTTGTGTATTTTGGCCTATTAATTGCAAGTGTGTGGACAGTTCAGGACAAATATAAGATGTATTATGAAATTTTTTGTAGTGGTGCAAATTTGATGATGATGTCGTGTCCAGGTGTACAAAACAAGAGGCCGTTGATAAAAATTTTGGTGGACATGATGACGAGATTTCTGTAAAACACTGTACAAATGCATATATGTTGGTGTATATACGAGAGAGTTGTATAAGTAAGTTTTTCAGGAAATTTTGAAAGCACATCCATTTTATTTTAATAATTCAATTTGCCTCATATCTCTTATCATATTGAAATGTCTTTATTAGCCATGGTACAGCATATGATAAGTGTGTTGTGAGTTTACTGTGCCTTATTATGTAGTGGTGTTCCTATTGATCAAAGCTTGTCTATATCTATTCTTTTATACTTCATTGTCTATCAAGTAATGTTTTTTCTTAAACAGCTATAGTCACGGAAGTGACAAATCAATGATGTCCTTAATTATATCCACATTAATCAGTAATAATTTTTTGGAGGAAAACAAATCAGAAGAATTCCCACTGAAGACTATATCAAAATTAAAAAAACTGATCCATTTATATGTGCATGTTTCTTTTACATATATGAAATTAATTGCCATAATGATAAGGTTTTATGAGCTCTTTTATGATAAGGCTTTATAGGCCTATTTATGATGAGATTTATTCCATAAGTCACTTATATTTCACTTCAAATTTTCATTGCCTCAAAAGTCTTAATCATAAGAATTTTAACGAATGTTGACTTTTAGAATATAATTGTTGCAGAATGAATAAGTTGTCCACTGATGATAACTATGTTTCATGTAGTATTTCTTGCCTGACTTTTCCATAACCTTAATATTGTTTTGGTCATTAAGGCAATCATGTTAACTGAGTTGTCACCTCTATCATTTCAGATGAGTCTTTACATGTTATGAGTGAGTCAGATATTCCACAATGCTTAATTGATAGACTAGCAGAAGAAAGGTGAGAAAATATGTATATATTTGCCAAAATGATGTATAATTTGTGACCCTGATTGAAACTGAAGTTATAATAAACCTGTCTTATGAATGTTGTTTTAATTAGTTCGAATACTTTGTAGTAGTAGTAAATATTGATTTGATTTCTCGATTATATGAACAATTGCTGAAAGCATGCTTCTTCTAAAGCATCATCTATTTAAAGTCTTGGTTGCGGATATGGTCCAGACTCCTCCTTAAGGTTATTGGTACATTAGTTATATACTTTGTTTGTGTATCGACTGTTTATGTATTTCCAGACGTATGGAAGTGCAAAAGAGAAAAGAGAGAACAGAGGCACACTTGTATATGAATGTTCAGGTTGTGACAGAGGACCATTTTTATGGTCACCAAGGCAATGATCTCATGGATCTGGAGAAAGCCAACTTTAGGTGAGGCTCTTGTTCAAGGCTTAGCAAAGCCATTTCTAATAGGTTTACTGTGAAAAGAGGTAAAATGTCTATGTTATTAGAATCGTAAAACTGACAACATTAGTTTTAGTAAGGTGCTATTAAAGTATTAATCTACTGCATAGTTCTTGCACTGTTTACTTTACCACAATGGAGTTTTACAACATTTAAGTTTTTAAGCCCAGCATCATAATCAGATGGTGGCTTTATCAAATGGCCTTGTTCTCTGATATGGTTGCTGTCCATTAGTCCATTCAGTCAGTTGCTCAGTCAGTTATTCCATATGTATACAAATCTTGCATCCACACACTCTGAAGTTGTGCACATGCAATTTAAGTTTTGATGGGGCCATTTTTATTTTGTCGTCGTAATGATCAGTATGTGAATTCTACTTTTAATTTACGATGTCAATTACGATCAGGTGTCAATCACATGCCTCGCAAATCGTGCGGTGAAATCAACTTGCAAAGAAACAATAACAATTAAAAACACAAAATATTCCCTTTTTAACAATAATCAAATATAGTATTTAAAGAAAAATGGTCAAAATTGTAAATAAAGCAGCCGTTGAAATATAAGTTGTTTACAGCATCAACGTAAACTTTGGATCAATATCCGGCACCATGCTGTCGGGGGGCGATATGTCCCAAATTTGACACTTTTTGAACAGAAACATGGGGAAATGAAATACAATTAAGAATCTATTACTTAAATAACTAAAAACACAGGTCTTCCGTCTGAAGTAATATTTTCCTTGAAATTAGTATGATTACTCACATGACATGTCAAGGTAACCGTGAATATTTGTGAAAGGCATGCTCGTTTTCTTTTCGGAATATGTGTTTGGTGGTCCTAATTTTTTTAATTTGATATACAGTCCTACAGCAATTTACTGCACCACATGTTTTGTTAAGACTAAAATGTATAACCAGCAAGCTATGGTCAATCTATTGTTTTCGCTTACTGGGGTGAAGCGAGGTGTGAAAAATTTACCTTGAGTGGACAGATGATTACCTCGGGCGATGTAAAGTTAGCCGGACCTATTGTGTAATTGTCCAGTTTTTACCTTATAAAATCCATTCACGGCAGAAAAAATATAATAATAAGCGGGGTCCTACCTTTGACCATATCATAATAAACGATATTGTTTTGCTTAGTTAAAGAAAGAAAAAATCGGTACATGGGAAAATATCATAATAACCGATATATCATAATAAGTGGGTTCCACTGTACTATTTCAGCTTAAGTAAAAAAAAATGTATGTAAGTCTATCTTGGGATGATGGAATGTAAAATACAAAAAAAAAGTAGATCACTGTAACCTATGCTTGATTTTTTACCTGATCCTTTGAAAAATTTTGTCACTCTATATCTTTAACTATTTCACTACGTTTGGTGTGCAAATATCCTCTTGGGATGGCAAAGCGCAAAATACAAGAATATGCCACTTTGACCTTTGACCTCAACCCTTCGAAACTGTTTGTCTGGGTATTATCTTATAAGGTATTTCACCTGAAGTAACCAGATTTGTTATGTACCGTTAGTACATCATGTGAAGGTGGAATTTCCAATGTTTATTTGTATATTGTATGTTTAGGCTGGGGGAGTACGGGATATATGTTGCTGTGACCTATATCCTAAAACAGGTGTACAGCTCAATAATAAAGAAATAATTACTAGGTGGGGACTATGGATTGCTTTGTAATACCTTTCTTTGGTCAGCATCTGGCTTTTTAGTTTGCCTTTTTTAAGGATTGTGGGACTCGTGTGGTCCCCCACAGTGTTGGCATCAGTGTCCCACTTTGGGTCAGTTATTGATCATATATTTTTTTTGTGCAATATTAGATTCACGCTCACTAGGCTGTTGACTATTGTAAGGTTTAGGCATGTTTATGGAATGTAAGCAATGAACAGATTAAATGGACTTCGTTATAGCTTTTGAGGAATTTTTTGGTGAGCATCTTGCCTTAAAGGGTGGGGATGGGGCGGGGGGGGAGTTTTTAATCACCACACAACATAGGCTTTTACGAAGTTGAGGTTAAGATACAGTGTTAGCAATGTACTGAATCATTATTGATAAACTAGAGGCCAAAAGAGCTTACTTAAAATTCGTGAATACTTTCATAAACATGTTACTTAAGGATGTACACCTCTGAGAAGTCAAAAATTTCCTGTATTAAACTTTTTTTCTTATATGGATTTTTGGAAAAAGGAGTAAATGGCATAGTAGAAAATGCAAAAAAAACCATATGTCTGTGTGCTCGTTTTTGTGCTATGATCGGTCAAAGATACCAATTTACCACAACATGTGATTTTAGGTGATTTTTGGGGTTTTGAGCATTTGCAGAACAAATTCATACAATTTCTTCCAAGTGTGTTATTAGATATGTATAAATGTTTGTAGNCTACTGGTGTATCCACATACGCTAGTAACTTGCTGTGGAACATTTTATGATGCTGAGCGACTTTCAAGAAAGTTTCTTTTACTATATATTAGCTTCAAAGCTCTTTTATCATGATACAAATGTACATGTTAACATATTTTTGTATTCGGACATACATCTATAAAGATATGTAACTATGTTTTTACTGTAGCCCATGTGTTGTTTGATTACCTATATAGTAAAACAATACCAGGTTAGCAACCTACAACATCACCGATATGTGAGCTATAACGTTTTCTCCAACAGCTATTGTAGTATGTGGTTATACACCAAGACTGACATGTGGTGTATTTTTACACCAGATCTGTCTTGCTTGTCATCTGACTGATGTAGATTTTATGTTTTTGTTTTGTCAATAGCAGAAAGTTCAAGGTTAAGAAAACATCATCGCTGTTAGAATTTATGGAAATGCTTGCAGAAAATTTGGTAAGTGAAAATGGGGTCTTACTGATAAATGTAGGGGAGGGAACAAAACTGGAAAATGTAAGGGAGGGAACTAAAAACTGGCTATGGTGTAATTATCTTGCATATGAATATGTAGTCTCTTTCATATTATTCTATTGATATCAAAATAATAAATGTACTCTGAACATCCTTTTCAAACTTCTTTAAATCAGGAGAATAAGGCATTGTTGACAGAAACCATTATGGTGTATAGATTTTGCAAGGGCAATAGCTTCTGGACAGCAGTTGTAGTTAAGAATATTGAGAGTTGAGTTGGCATGATTTGATATCCATTTTTTTCTCTAAAATCCATATTCTATTTAGCATTAATTTCATTTTGATAATGCCATGTATATGTGTTGATTGTAGAAATTGTTCTATTTTAGAAATATCCTGTAAACCAGTTGCGACCATGGCCGTTCCAGTGTCGACAGAACCAGACTTACAGACCAACACTCGTAGACGTGGAATCAAACCTTCAGAAAACGGTGCGTGCAGAAACATGGCTACTTGGTGGCACATAGTTTAGAGATAGGAATGGGAGACAATTAGCATGCACCAAGTTAAGGACCAAAATGTGATTTTGTTGAAATTGCCAAGAATTAATTCAGATATCGAGTTAAAAAAAAATATTCATGGACATTTTGTAAAACAAATCAACTGATTGTGAAAATAATCTTGAAATAAAGCTTACTATATTGTTAGTATTTTGAAAATTGAAATTTCAGATACAAGATGTAGCGGACAATGAAACTCCTTGGACACTGTTTGTTGAAACACTAAACCCAGAGAGTGGTCTTCAGGCTCTTCCTAGTTTTGATAAAGAAAGTAAGTGCACTAAACTTGATTTATGAATCTTGACAACTTTTTCCAAGGTTTCTTATTTTGTATGTGTATATGGATATATTTATGATATAAATTTATGCAACTAACATTGCACGGTGCAGAATTGTGATGAATTTTCACCCCAGTGTGAATTTTCCAGATTTGTAAGATGGTTAAGTCATTTCTGGAGTAAGAGCTCTGTAACTTACATTGTGAAAGTATCTGGCAATAATAGCGGTCCAAGACATGGGCAGCTCTGAAAGATATAAAACCTACACTAATTACTTAATGGTTCCAGATTCAAATTGATTCTTAATTGAATGTAATCCAAGTAAAGGGAACAGCTGGGAGTCTTCATATGAATTGGTAGTTTTGATGTATAGTAAGTTCTATTGTTGTAAACAGCAGATATACTGAAGACACAAGACTTCATGTGAATTCTGAACATCGACCATATGCAAAAATTGTCTACAATATGGTCCTACTCAACACTTCCGTGATTTTCTATGTACAATAGTTGAAGCAAATGTCATAATTATGTAAATAATTTAAAATTCGACTTAAATGTAGACATATGTGTGTTGCACATACCCTTTTCAGAAGTTATACAATCTTAATTTACTTGTTTTGCTTCCTAAATGAAGTATTTTAATTGATATAGTTGTATTCTGACTTATTACTGTAGAGACAAGGCCTTTAGGTCATTCTTAGAAAAGGTTTCAGGTAAAAGAAATATTGATTGATGTGTCACTTTTATTCTATCTTTGTATTACTTCATCTTAAATTACAGGTGATGTGCTTATCTTTCTGAAACTGTATGACCCAAGATCAAAGACTATATCCTACTGTGGTCACACCTATGTCCCAATCTCCGCCAAGACATGTAAGGATTTGCAAAAAACAAAGGTTTTGTGATGATGTCCAACTTAAATTATAAGTTGTACAATATTAATTTTTGATTGTGAATTTTAAGCACATAATTATGGCTGCAAGCAAAAATTTTGGATTTCAGAGTTAAAGCTTGAGAATGTAAGTCATTATTCGTTGTGTTTAGGAGTACTACATAATCATCTGACTAGAAGGTCACTAACATTTATTTCCTAATGCACAGATTTGGTGAGACTTTACATTAAGCCCCCATCATCAAAATTGATATGGTGATACATCATCAGGAGTACTACACTAACATGCCATCAGACATGGCTCTGCGTAGGTCCCTGTGTCACCTCATGCAAATGGTTGAGAATCTCCCCCTATATCTATATATAACAATTTTTGGGTATGAGAAATGAATACAGATATGCTACCAGGATTGGCTTTGGAGTCTGTCCCATCCCAATGAGACTTAGTCCCATTGTCATTTCATAAAAACATTTAAGATCCCCACCATATCATATCATATACAATTGCTGAGCATGAACATTTCTATACATGTATGTTACCAGGATGCTCTGGGGTCCAGCCCTACCCCAGGGAACTTGGTTCCTTAGTCATTTTAGAAATGTTGGAGATCCCCATCACATAACCACATATACAATTATTCGGCATGAGAAGACAAACACACAAGTGCTATCAGAATTGCCACAGGGTCTTGCCTTCACCCAGGAACTTTATCCATTGGTCATAACATAGAAACGTTTGATACCCTGACATTAAGCATATGTACATGTTGAGCGAAGTGAAGAGCCGTTAGTGTCATGATTTGCTCAGGTGGACTTACTTCTTTGGTCAGAAACAGTTTAGACTACCACGAAAACCTGTCTACCATATATGTGCTTGCTGAGAACGGAGTGATTAATACTATCATGCTCTCGAGATTAGCCCTGGGTTCTGGTCCAACCCCTTCAAAAACATTTGCAATATATTTTTGATTTTTTTACCAAAAGTGTTTTACCAGAGTTGCTTAAAAACGAAGTGTGTAATACAGGACTTCTGGGCTTTTTTTATGTTCATATTTGAATATTCTATGATAAGTTTTTCTAGGTTTTCACGTGACTGTCAAAATTCTTCATATTGTGAACAAAGAGGTAAAAATCAGAAATTAGAAAAATATGTCAAGATCATGAGGTCATTCGAAGGATAAGGCCACTTAACTCAGGTGAGCATCCTCATGCCCCTTTGGCCTATTGTATCCTATTTGTTCTGATTGTGTCTAATTTTTGTAGGATTCTAACAACCAAGATGAAGTTATATGGAGATTGAAGATTATAATAATTTGTATTTCATTTCAGCTGAGCTGTTGCCAGACCTATGTAGGAGAGCAGGTTTTCCAGTGGGCACACCCTTATTATTGTTTGAGGTAAGTACATCTGCTGTGTCCCAGTGAATATAGTGCCAATTTTATTGATTTTCATGAAAATTATAAGCTACATATCTTTAGAAGTTTTAGTATCATACTTATTTGTATTCGCCTGTAGTAGGTGCATTATTTATCACATTGATTAATTTACATAAATATCTTGTCAGTAATTTTGAGCTGGATGTAAAAATACCAGCAAGACTCTATCATGACTTATCAGTCAAATGTTGCACCCCACCTAGCTACTAGCCTTTTACTTAAATCCCATTGGTGATTATCGGGGATATATACAACCAAGCGAAAGGTAGGGCCCCCTGCTGACCTCTGCAACATGATATGACAGTTTATATGTAATGTTACTATAGGAGGTGAAGCCAAATATGTTGGAAAAGCTTGAAGACTATGACCTGCCAATAGAGAAGATGTTGGATGAACTGATGGATGGTGACATCATCGTGTTCCAGAGAGAGGAAGCAGACTTCCAACAATACCAACTACCGTCCGCTAGGGACTACTTCAAGTAAGGCCAGCAACTGTTATATCCACACAACTAATTAGTACCATTATGATTTTTGCTTGCCTGGTTAAAGACCAAGTAAGCTGATGAGTTGGCTTATCATCCATTGTCATTGAGGTCAAGTTGAGGTCAAGGTCATTGTTACTAACTATTAATACAAATTCATGGACAAGTTGAAGCCAGTGATGGACTGATGATCAATATATAATAATCGAACATCGATCTATTTTACAATATGATTGATGGTAATGTAGAATAGAAAGGTTACATTAAAATCAGTTACAAGCTAATTGTATACTTTTCATTTTCCCAAATTAACACCAAAGGGCACCATTTTTATAATTCATTACAGTGTAATAGCTAGCGGGGGCCGTTAGGGGACATGTTATTGTTATTTAGAAATAGTTGGAAAGTCACGTTACATATTTAAACCTGAACATATATATATGTGTGTTTTTTAGATTATATAGTAATTACGGAATTACTATAGGTACTGATAATAAAGTTAATATGTTGTCATTCATTCCCTCCTGCCAAAATCTTTCCCCGTGATCAATATAACATGGACCCCATTGGAAATAAGCTTTCAAGCTTTCATGGGCTATCCTCAGGTTTATAGATCAATGTTTGTGTTGTATTAATTGTATAAATATAATTACCTATATCTTAAAATCAGTTATGAATTTGAGTTTCATATATAATATAATATTTTAAGATAATACAATATTTTATTACTGACGATAATTTAATGCATGTAGGTTCATTAATATTTGAGCGTCCGGAGAGCTTGCAGGAAGGGGATGCCCAATCACCTGCTCCTTGGACTGCCCCAAAAACCTGTGATATTCTGTTTAATATTTTTAGTAATATATATGTATGTTGTACTGTTATATGTATGTCAACTGTCATGTTACATGTGATGTCTATGATCTATTTCCTGAAATAAACATTATTATTATTACTATTATAGCAATACTCAGTATGCTTGTTTGAACCTTTTAAAATTGGATAACACATTTGAAGTACATATTTTTTCAATTGAATCTGTTTTGTAGGGATCTGTATTATAGAGTAGACGTTACTTTCTGTGATAAAACTTTACCAAATGACGAAGGCTTCATGCTTGACTTGTCTATGAGGATGAACTATGACCAGATGGCCAACGCTGTAGCACAGTACCTTGGAACTGACCCCTACCTTCTTCAGTTCTTCAAACCACAGAGGTAAGTCTTAGAATTTCTTTCTTATTAATCCAACTGGTACATGCTTAATATTTTGTGTTACTTTGTGAAATGGTTTACCATCTGCTACCAGAAATTCCAAAACCTTTGCCACTTCAAGAAGGGTGTAAAAACTCCTCAAGATTTTATCTTTTCAGTCCCACTGTTACGTTCTAGAAAGTTGTGTCTCATCAGAAGTTATCTTAAACCACCTGGGCCCATATTCATGAAACTGTTCTTATGCTCAAGCATGGATTTTGTGTTCAAGCCCAATACCTTGTTTCAGTTATAAATTAATAATAAAAAAATAAAAAATGGTTGCAAAAAATTTGATGAGACTTAAAGTCGAATACTGTTTTCAATAATTTGAGAAAAGCAACATAAAAACAAATATTCCTGTTATTAAATGAGATTGCCACAATATCGGACTCCTGCATGATTGTATTAGTATTGTCATTTCATTGTGATATTGTACTCTTCTGTAGCTACAGAGAAGGCCCTGGCAATGCCATCAGATGTACGTTTGAGGGGAATTTAAAAGATCTTCTTCTCTACGCTAAACCAAGGCAGCCTCGGAAACTTTACTATCAACATGTAAGTGTTCACTGTGATTACCAGTCTATCACATGTAAGTGTTCACTATGATTACTGTTCTATCACATGGAAGTGTTTACTGTGATTACCGTTCTATCACATGTAAGTGTTCACTATGATAACTGTTCTATCACATGGAAGTGTTCACTGTGATTACCGTTCTATCACATTTATGTGTTCACTGATTACCGTTCTATTACATTTATGTGTTCACTGTGATTACCATTCGATCACATGGAAGTGTTTACTGTGATTACCGTTCTATCACATTTATGTGTTCACTGTGATTACCGTTCTGTCACATGGAAGTGTTCATTGTGATTACCGTTCTATCACATGGAAGTGTTCACTGTGATTACTGTTCTATCACATTTATGTGTTCACTATGATTACTGTTCTATCACATGGAAGTGTTCACTGTGATTACTGTACTATCACATGGAAGTGTTCATTGTGATTACCGTTCTATCACATTTATATATTCACTGTGATTACCATTCTATCACATGTAAGTGTTCACTGTGATTACCGTTCTATCACATGTAAGTGTTCACTGTGATTACCGTACTATCACATGGAAGTGTGTTCACCGTGATTACTGTTCTATAAATGTATAATTTGAAAAACTAGAGTATGAATCACCTAATTTTATGAGAAAATAAAAATCCTTTAAAATTAGATTCCTAATGTGCACTTAAAAAATCTTTTCTTACTAAACAATTATGATTTTTTTTCCCCTGAATTGATTTTTGTTGTGCCTTGTTATTTGACAGCAATAGTATATAAATGTGTATTGTTGTGTTACAGTTAAACATTAGGATTAATGAACTAGAAAACAAGAAGCAATTCAAATGTACGTGGGTGAATAGCAAGATGAAGGAAGAGGTAAGTAGTTTGTTACTTAATTAGTTTTCCTGATTTATTTTGCTGTTTGTCAAATGATCATATATTAAGTTTGTAGTTTGCAGAAATTAGGATTGGAATGAAAGATAGATTGATGATAACTGTTTCTGTTTTGTCATTGTTATTGTTGACAACCTATGTGCATTGTGTTTATTCAGTTTCCATCGCCTTGCTTTCTATAGTCATAATTTGTATGTCCTTGATGTATGTGCATGCAAATCTCATATTGTGTTTGTAGAAAGAACTAGTCCTATATCCAAACAAGAATGGCAATGTGGGGGATCTTCTAGAAGAGGCAAAGAAGCAAGCAGAGCTATCTGAGGATGGTTCTGGTAAACTCAGGTAATCCTGCAAAACTACTAGCATTACAAATGTTAAAATGGTGGACTTAAAAATATCTAAGTTATTAGATTTAGTGCTACTGTTCAGTATTGAATGACCATTATTTGGTAAAAGGGACTTATACTTGATAATAAGTGAATGACCTATATTTGAAAATTAGTGACAAATTTTTGATAATCAGTGATGGTATTTGATAAACAGTGATAATATCTGATAATCAATCAGTGATGGTATTTGATAATCAGTGACCGATATTTAATAATCAGTGACCGATATTTAATAATCAGTGACTGATATTTAATATTTAGTGACCGATATCTAATAATCAGTGACCGATATATAATAATCAGTGACGATATAAAAAATTATATAATAATTAGTGACCGATGTCACTGATCGGTCAGTGATTATAAAATATCGGTCCCTGATTATCAAATACCATCACTGATTGATTATCAGATATTATCACTGTTTATCAAATACCATCACTGATTGATTATCAGATATTATATAATAATCAGTGACGATATATAATAATCAGTGACGATATAAAAAATTATATAATAATTAGTGACCGATGTTTAATAATTAATGACTGATATTTAATAATTAGTGACCGATATTTAATAATTAGTGACAATAATTAGTGACCGATATTTGACATTAACGAGTACTTATTATAATAAGTGACCTGTAAATAGTCATCATCAGATCTGTATGTGGCTATCCGTGATCGATTTTTGATAGTCAGTTACCAATATTGATTTCAGGCTGTTGGAGGTGATCAGCTACAAGATCTACACCATACAGAGAGAGGAAGCCTTTTTGGATGCCCTCAATCCAGCTGGTGCAACAAAAAGTTACCGAATTGAAGAATTACCAAAAGATGAGGTGCGGCTTGGAGACGATGAAACACTCATTCCGGTAGCACATTTCCACAAGGTAAGGAAAGACTTGATCTGTTGGCAAACTGTGCAACATTTTTTCCCCTACCATTTTATTGGAGGAGAGCAGGATACTACAGTGTTACCATGTTCATTCTTCTCCTGTGCTGACAGTGTCATTACTCGAGGTACTTCATCTCTTCATTGATTTTGATGAAAAGTTATACAATTTAAGCACTGTATGAGGATACCTCAAATGAGTTTGTATTTAAGGGTTCCAAGATCAAGGCCAATGTCACCATCATTATTCATAGAAATTTGTCCGTCAGTTCAGTGTCATAAGTCAATGACTTCATTTCTCAAAGAATTTGGATCAGACTTGATGCATGGTTTAATGAGAGAATGTTTGCCATTATATCTAAGTGAATGATACAGGTCCTCTGTCCGTCTTGTTTCATACTTCAAACTGATTTCTGATTTTCTTTCTACTTTCAGGAAGTCTTCTCAACATTTGGAGTCCCATTCTTACTAAAGATTAAACAGGTAAATCAGAATGGTCCAACATTAACAAAGAAAGACTATGAAACATTTTTAATATTTTTATAGCGAGAATGGGTTAAATTTGAATTATTATCATTGAATCTCTATTGATTTCATTTTGATTGGAAGTGATTAAAAATAAACTTTGGAATAATAGAAGTTTGAAATATGTTTAACTTAGGAAATTGATAAAAAAAGCATTTATCATTTTTCTACACCATTTTTGATAAGATGTATCCTGTCTATAACTTAACAAAGCATTACTTCTGAACCGATGATTACTATATCATACGTAAATTTGCAATCGTTCCACCTAAGCTGGTGCAGACAAAACATCCACTTCTATAAAAGTCTTATCTGAACCTTCACTCCAATGCCAAGGTCACAAATTGTAGGCAAAGGTCAAAGTGGATTTGTCATATGTTGCAAGTGTTATTTCTGCATAGCAGAGGGTATGTAACATCAGGATTAATGTGCATACAAGTAGTGTATTTTCTGGATGCCTACGCAAAAGAACAAGGTCAGAAGTGGAGGTCTACGTATTAAGTGTCTAAATGATATAAAAAGTGTGTCTCTTCATTAGAGCCCCACATAGCAATCATGGTGTGCATCTGTGTGCTCCTCCGCCTGTCTGTCCACACTTTCTTTTCCTGACATTATTTCAGAAACTCAAATACTAATCTTTCTGAAATTTGACATGGTGATACACTGTGATATGTAGATACGCCTTAAGGGTTTAAAAAGTGGTTAAGGTCAAGGTTACTGTTGCTGAAAAAATGTAAGGGTGGGGAGGGGGCAGTGGCATGGCAGAGGGCCCTTTCCACATGCTTAATGGCAAATATGTTTTTAAGCTTTTGCATTAAGTACTGGGACAAACATATAAACTGAACTATCTGCCATCATATTAAAGCAGTTTTGTGAATGGCTCAGCCATTATAAGCATTTGATCTAACAGCATCAACATTGTCATGTGAAGTGAGGTGTCAAGTGTCTATCACACTGACAAGTATAAAATTGTGTCGCAACAAAACATTTGTAGATATAAATTAAGTAATATCAAATGTAGGTCATGGACCTATATTTTCCACTTCACTGACTTAAACCAGACCAGAGATTAAGGAGTACACAAAATTGTATGACAAACTTGTAATTGTGTGTGAATAACGTGTCGAAGAATTAAAATAAAAAGTGCTCTTTTTTCATTGCTATGTAGAGTGAGCCCTTCTCAGCAGTGAAAGAAAGAATCCAACGCAAAATGGATATTCCAGAGAAAGAGTTTGAAAAGGTATGTACTGGTTATGCATAGAGATGTATTGGTTGTACTTAGAGATGTATTGGTTGTACTTAGATACTATTGAAAAGGTATGTATTGGTTGTACATAGAGATGTGTTGGTTGTACTTAGATACTATTGAAAAAGTATGTATTGGTTGTACATAGAGATGTATTGGTTGTACATAGAGATGTATTGGTTGTACTTAGATACTATTGAAACGGTATGTATTGGTTGTACATAGAGATGTATTGGTTGTACTTAGAGATGTATTGGTTGTACTTAGATACTATTGAAAAAGTATGAATTGGTTATACATAGAGATGTATTGGTTGTACTTAGAGATGTATTGGTTGTACTTAGATACTATTGAAAAAGTATGAATTGGTTATACATAGAGATGTATTGGTTGTACATAGAGATGTATTGGTTGTACTTATATACTATTGAAAAGGTATGTATTGGTTGTACATAGAGAATATTGAAAAGGTATGTATTGGTTGTACATAGATAATATTGATAAGGTATGTATTGGTTGTACATAGATAATATTGATAAGGTATGTATTGGTTGTACATAGATAATATTGA